CGTCCACCACGGTAGGCTCCCTCGGCCCCGCCTCGGCCCCTTCCGAGGTCCCCCCCAGCCCCCTTGCTGGCTGGCTTTCGGACCCAGCCGTGACAAGACATTGTGACAACATGTCCGCTCTCTTTCTATCCACGGCACCCGCTGCTCTCCCTTCTAGATACGTCGGTCTATCCCTCAAACTCCACGACCCTCTTGCCCGTCTGCGCGGTGGCGGCTGCCGTCGGCTCAATGTCCACCAGCTGCCCGTCCTTCGCGTTTCCACTGGCGCCAGCCTCGGCGTCCGCCCCGGAGAGCAGGTCCCGGTCCTCGCTGCGAACGCTCCGGCGTTCGGCATCAGCGGGGCCCATACGCACGCCAATCTCGACGCCAATGTCGGCGTCGTCTTCGTCGTCGTCGTCCCGGGGCTGGAGCGTCTGGTTCGACGTCGCGTTCTTCTCGAGCTCCTTCTGTGCCTCCTCCATGCGCTTGCGCACTTCGGCGGCCACGCGCATGCCGTCTGTGACAATGTTGTCGAGGACGCCCCGCAGACCGCGTGTTGCGCCCTGCGCGGCGGGCGCCGCGGCCGCGGGAAGCACGGAGCGGTTGCCAAAGTTGATGCTGGAAAAGGTCGTGAGGGAGGTAGAGGGTGTCGCAGCGGAGGGCAGGCCCTCGATGATGTGGAAAGAGGTGGGGAAGGAAGACTCGAAGAACTGCTCCAGAAGCTCGTCCGCCAGCACGACCATGCGGAACGTCGGCAGGGTAATGTGCAACGGGTTCGCGGGGTCCAAGGCGGCGTTGGCAGCTTCGGACTGCGCCTTGGAGACCCTGCGTTCTGACAGGGTTGTCTGCTGGCTTCCGTCGGTCGAGCTGATGGACAGCGAGGGCGGCTTCTTCGCCCGCTTTGGACTGGCTGATGGCGACTCGAGCGCGAGCAGGTCCTCCTCTTCCTCTTCCTCGTCGTCGTCGTCTCCGATGGCGAACGCGCCCGAGTTGTCGCCCTCGGCCGGCGTCTTCTCTGGTTCTTCCTCTTGACGTTTGTTCTGGGGGTGGTCCGGGTCGGCGTACTCGAAGCAGCGCCTGATGAAGGCGCTGACGCTGCCAAGAAATCTTTCGTTCGCCGAGATGCCCCCGAGGCTCGTCTCCGATGCGTTCGGGTTGCCCTGCACCGTGATGCCGTTCACCGTCGGCGTCGACGCGCCGGGGCTCAGATTGCCCTCGAGGCCTCGCCTCGAGAGGAACAGCAACGTCTCCGAGATGCGCAGGATGCCCTCCCGATCGACCTTGCCGTCACCGTCGTCGTCGTACAGCTCAAAGAAGTAGCTCATGGTGCCCATAATGTCCCTCTTGCCCCTGACCTGGGCGAGGCCCGAGACGACATTGGCCAAGGTCAGCTCGCCCTTGCCGTCGACGTCCCACTTTTTGAACAGTCGCTGCATGAACTCGTGGTCGGCAGGTTCCGGACCCGTACCCCAGGGGTTGAGCAGTGCATCGTTCCGCTTCTGGGTCTCCGTGAACGTGTCGCGGCGGGGCGTGATGGGCGAGTCGGAAATAGCCCACTTGGACATGTTGGCAAGGAACTCCCGAAAGGCATCGTAGTCCATCATGCTCGTGCTCGGGCCGAGCGCGACGCGGCCCTTGTCGATAATCTGCTCGTGATTGTCCCGGAACGCGTCTTGCGCCCTGCCTCGGCTGTTTCGCGCACGACGCTGCTTCTCGCCCTGAATGATGAGATCTCGCTGTTGCCTCTCGTACAGCATTGTGTAGAAGCGGTCGTAGAGCGCGCCCAGCTCCTCGGCGCTCAGGAGCTTGCTGTCGGGACCGAGGTTCCTGATGGCCGTCCTCTTGGTGAAGCTTTCAATGTTGTTGAGAACCGCGTCCTTGTTCTTCAACCTCGACTCGGTAATGCTGTTGTGTGTGATTTGCGAAAACTCCTTGAAGGCCACGACCATGAGCTCCTGGAATTTGGTCACGCCCCGAAGCTTGGGGTTCTCCGACTTGGGATGCGCAGACTCGTCGAGGCGGGTGAAGTAGGACTTGAGGACCGAGATGAAGGCCCCGTCATCCGTCGCATCGAGAAGCTCCTCTCCGTTGATCCGCAGGATAGCCAGGCCAACCTGGAAAAGGACCTTGGGGCCCTCGACGAAGAAGACGTCCAGCACGCGGAAGGCAAATATGAGGGGCATCGAGTTGACGTAGAGGGAGAGGAACCACGGCAGGGACACGACGGACAGCTGCACGTCACTCTTGACCAGGTGCTCCCACAGAATGGGCATGGTCTGCTCAACAAGCGACTCAAAGACCTTCTGATCGAGCAGCGTGCCGTACATGGTGGTGGAGTAGTAGCCAGGAACCAGCCTGTCACAGAGGGAGGAGAGGAGGAAGAAGGCCTGCGCCTCCGACATGTAGATGAGCAGCGCGGCCACGACAATGTTCATGGCCTGGCAGTATCCGACGTCCGGGTTGACCCAGCTGTAGGCGGTCAGAACGCGACGCAGCCGGCCAATGCCCTCTGGATCCTGGAAACCGGGGTACTCGGGAAGACTCCGGTTGAGATCCTTCTCAATCTCGTCAATAGCGAGCGAGTCCTGTCCGGCATATTTCGCGAGCGTGTTTGCGAAGAGCTCTGGGTTCTCGAGCCGCAGGTAGATGGATCCAGACGTGAGCTCCCACATTTCGCCGCGCAGGCGATTCGGCAAGCCTACCCTGATGAGCTTGTGAAAGGTGGGCTGGCGGATGAGGGTGACGTTCCGGCCGTTGTCTCGCAGGTATTCCGCCCACAGCCGCATCTTGGCGCGGTCTCGCAGCTTCTTGGGGTCGCCAGGGTATCGGAAGAACATGCCGAGGCCGGCGTCGGGCGGGTTGGCGCTCTTCTTGTCGTCGGGGCGGAGCAGGTACTCGGAGTAGCACTGGCCGACGACGTTCTTCAGCTTGCCGACGTGGCCGACGGCGGCCTTGAGGCCCTTCTTGAGACCATCGCAGAAGCGCTCGCACGCCTGGCGGGTGCCAGCAAGGTGTATGGTGATGCGCTGTTCTCGTGCGTCCTTCTTGTCGCCAGCGGCGTCCTTGTCTTTTTCCTTGTCCTTGGATGTGTTGTTCGCAGGGATGCCGTTCCAGGTGGTGATGGCGAGGGCGAACTGGAAGGATTGGCTGCTCAGGCGCTCGACGCGCTTGATGGAGCAGAGAGGAAAACTGAAGCCGTTGCCCGAAGGACCGCCGCCGTGGGTCTGGCCGGTGAAGGCGGAGCTCGTGGATGTGCTGGCGGCGTGGGAAAAGCTGGTGGGCGTCGTGGAGAAGCACATGTAGGCCTCGGACAGGTGCAGCTTGCCGGCGTAGTGGTAACCGCGGTCGTTGTCACGGTCGCCCTGGGTGGCGTTGGGCGGGGGGATGGTGAGCTCGGCATTGATTTCGTAGAGGGGGTTCTGGGAGCTGGGCAGGCGGAATTGGGCCTGGAAGAGCGAGGACTTGGAGGGGTTGCGATCCGAGTTGGACAGGTTCAAGCCCTGGGTCGGGTCGATGAACGCCTGGGCCCTCTGCACCAGGCTGGAAAGGTTCAACATGGTGGCGGGCTCGCAAGGATCAGCTGGTCATGTCGGTAGGGGCAGACGGGTTCTTGGGATCGGATCGAGAGGGATTCGTTGGGCGTGGACTTGATGAGCGGGATAGAGGTCGGCGTCGGAGGGGATCGTCGGGAATGGAACAGTTGGCTAGGAGAGAGGGGCGTAAGCGACGGATGCGGTGGGAGCAGTGTGTCGTCGGTGGAGACGTTTGTAACGACAGTCAAAGAGGAGTAGAGCAGAGGTGAGCAAGACGGGAGTCAGGACAGGCGTTTGTCGGATTGGGATTGCTCGTTGCGGGTTGCCAGTTCGAAATCGAGGGTGTTGTGTAGAATGGTAGCAGCAGTGGAGGTGATGGATGAAGATGTCTTGTCGTTGGAAGGTCAGTGGGGGGGGGGGGGAGAACGAGACCGAGAGAGGGTCAGCAGCTCCCACGGCACCGGCAGCGTCAGCGGCAGCAGGAGCTGGGGAGCTCTCGGCAGTGGAGTGGAGGGAGCCTTCCTCCGTTCAGTTTGGGGGGCATGAGTAGGTGGCCTGGCGGGGCGTACCGTAGCAGCGCGAGGACGTAGGGGCCCTGGGGTGTGCCTTAGGGCGCGACCCACGCAGCCACCATCGACGCAGTTCAACCGCTAGCTGGGCTGAAGCCTCAGGGGACCCTGCCCCTGATTGTGCCCCGAGTTTGTTCCCTTGCCGCGCCTTTGCACCATCCCTTGGGCCCTTCGTGGTGGTTCACGTCTTCCAACACACCATCGTGCCAACCACTGTTCCCCTCTGCGGGTGCCTGAGCATCCAAGTTCCTCCGTACCTACGCAAGTTTCTTGCATGAGACACTTCACGGCCCCTCGCCATTCCTCTTCCACATCACCATGCCGCGCCATCCAGACAACCCCTCGTCAGCTTGTTGTTCCGAATCATTTGTATCAATTGCTGCCCATGGTATGAGGGCACGTCACATGCGCTCCCAGTGCTTCCCTTCCCAGCCCTGCCTTGATGCTTCAGAAGCACGAAGCTCCGTGTCCGAGACCCAGAAAAAAAAACTGGCCCCCTACCCGATCTCTACCAAAAGTACGCCAAAAACACCATACCCAATGATGCCGCTTTACCCCCCCTCCGCGACGCCCAGCAGCTCTATCGTCTAGCCAAATGAGCCGCATCCGTGTATCGTTCGCTTTCTCTTCTTTCCGCGGCTGAAGCCTGTGTATACCATGCTTGGTTGTGCATCGGTTGGACAAGAACAACAACAACAACAACGCTCATCTCGTGAGCCGCCCCCCTCATCGTCCTGTGCGCGTGAATAACCGAAACCTTCCGTAAATAAGGTTCTACTCCATTGCCACCCCCGTACTCGGGAGAGCCTTCAGGAGGACCGCTGCGTGCGTAGAACTGGCCAGGCCGCATCGAACCCAGGCTGGATGTCTGGCGGATCAAAAATCTTTAAAGTACTGGTCGTACTGGCGCGCCATTTCGTCCGTATACGGCTCGCGCTTGCCATCTTCCTCGGGATACTGATCGAAGCACTGCGAGTCGCTCGAGGATCGCACGGGCGGCACAATGGGTCCGCGCACGCGCTGTCCCAGCAGCTCATCCCACCGGATGCCTTTGAAGAAGGGGTGGTCTTTGACGCGCTGCGCGCCACCGTTCATGTTGCCGAGGCGCTTGGAGCGGTCGACGGTGCAGAACGATTTGATGAGATCCTTGGCATTGTCCGAAATGTGCGGTTCCGCCGGGAACGTGACGGGCTTCTCGACGATCCTGCGGCAAGCGTTAGTCGGTCATACTTTTTCCAATCCATCGCTAGCCACACCAGAGCCACATGTCATCGAGAAAGGGGACGTACTGCTTGTAAATCTCGATGGGGTTCTGGTGCCAAAACGGCGGGTAGCCGGTGAGGAACTCGTACAGCAGAATGCCCAGCGCCCACCAGTCGACGGCGGTCGTGTGGCCCTTGTTATGGATCACCTCGGGTGCGAGGTACTCGGGGGTGCCGCAGAGGGTGTACGTCTCGGTTGGCTGGCCGTCTTCGCTGCTGAGGCGCTTGGCGAAGCCAAAGTCGACGAGCTTGATGTGGCCGTTCTTGTCGAGCAGCAGATTCTCGGGCTTGAGATCGCGATAGGCGACGCGGCCCTGCTGCTCGTGCAGAAACTCGAGGACGAGCACAATCTCGGCCGTGTAGAACTTGGCGGTGCTCTCGTCGAAGCGGCGCATCTTGCGCAGGTAGCTGAAGAGCTCGCCGCCGGGGACGTAGTCGAGCAGCATGTACAGCGTGTCGGCGTCGGAGAAGGCGGCAATCATGTTGGTGATAAAGGGGTGGCCGGAGACGTCGCCGAGGATGCGCCGCTCGTGGCGCACGTGGTCGACCTGCTTGAGCTTGATGACCTCGGTCTTGCGGAGGATTTTGAGGGCGAACACCTCCTTCTTCTCCTCCTCGGACGGATTGACGGGTCTGACGAGGCAGACACGAGCAAACGTGCCGGTGCCGAGGGTGCGGATGATGCGGAAGTCGTGCGAGCTCAACTGGGCGCGGCTGGCAATGGGCCCGTGACCGGCATTGTGGTGGCCCTTGCCGTTGGCCATGCGACTCTTCATGCGCGAGAGAAAGCCCGGCTCGCGGTGGGTAGAAGACGAGGTGGAGGCGCGCGGACGCGTCGGCTTCTCATGAGGCGTGACGGGCTCCGTCTTGGATTGTGACACGACGGCGGCCATGGTGGGCAGCTCCCGCCGTCACGGCGTGGTTGCTTTGTGATGTGGCGTGGGAAAGTAGGGCGACTGCCAGGGACCGTCCTGTGCGCGCTGGTATATGCGGGTTCGCAGGTGGTCGCGCGCAGTGACAGGCGGAGGGGTGCAAAGTGGCCGACTGGTGGGCTCGCAGACCCGGTGGACTCGCAGAGTGGCGGACTGTCGGGTGATGCGACGACAATTCGCGCAGCGCTCGAGGTAAGGCGGGAAATGGGAAAACGGTGCACAACGGAGGAGAGCAAGAGGTCCTGGGTCGGCGTCGTGGAAGGGCTCGTCAGTAAGGCGAGACGGGAATTGAGGGCTGCTCGAGGTTGTTGGAGGGGATGCAGCAAGCCGGCCACGTTTCAAAGATCAAGTCGTCGTTCAAGGTGTGATCTCGTCACATCGGATGCCGCCGAGGGGTGCTGGGTCGTATGGGGGGGTATCCCGTGTATCGAAGGAGGGGGTGAGTTTGGTGGAGAGGGTGATCAAGAATGGACGGACGGATGGATGGACGGATAGGTGGTGGGATGTGGCCGTGGTCGGTACGGCTCACTCAGCTCGTGGGGGCTCCGGTTTACAAAGGCGAGGAAGAAAAGGCGTCGAGGGTGCAGTCTTGGGAGGCATAGTTTTTGTTCTGTGAGGCCGCAAATAGTCTTGTCGGGGGGATGGAAGGGTGGGAGGAGGAGAGGCGGCGGAGGAGGCGGAGGAGGAGGAGGACCCTCTCGGACCATGCCTCGAGACGAGAAAGGAGCCAAAAAGACAATCTAGTACGAGACGAGACAACAGGCCCGAAAGACGGTCAAGGTCGAGACGCAATGACGAGAAAGGAAAGGGCAAGGCAGAATGATGAGGGGACCCAAGCCGACGGGTCTCCTGGGTCTCCTGGGTCTCCTGGGTCTCCTGCCAGGCCACTGCCCTGCCCCCAATACACCTGCTTCTGTCTCGCCTACACCTGCCCTGCCCCTCCCTGCACGCACCTGCCCTGCCCCAAATACAGTACAGCTGCTTCCGTCTCCCCTTACACCTGCCTGCCTCCCCATGCCCCGCCCCCAACCCACCTTCCCAATCCCAACCCCTCGATCCGGGTTCAATGCGACGGTGAGCGCCCGACTGCAAATGCGCAGGTACCTACCGACCTTACTGTGCATGCACCTGCAGCATGGTCCAATCCAGTGATGCAACATGATGCAGATACGAATTGATTCAGATGGATGAGATCAATGACGAAACCATGGGGGGGCGCGGGGGCGGCATTGCTTGGCCCTCTTGTCGTTGGATACGACGAGAGAGCACCACCTCATGGTCAACGACGACGCCCAATGCCCCCAGGTGAGAGTGAGAGTGAGAGTGAGATGGCAGTATCGACAGAAACGGTGCCGCGGGACGGTACTCGGCCACGCCAAGCCTGTTGCGCTGCTGTGCCGTCAGACCGGCCGGCCGGCGGCATGCCTGAACTGAACTTGACCCGCCGCCACCACGCCGACTCTGCCACACTAGCAGAGCCTGTAGGGCCTATCCACATGCGGTAGGTCTCTCAGTGGTGGTCCTGGGTACCTAAGGTAGGCAAGGTAGGCACGTCAGGCACGTCGTACAGTGGGTAGGTCCCTAGAACCCCTGGATCTGGCCCCCTGGCTCCAGTGGTCTTAGCGGCCGGGCATCCACGTTATGACGCAACCCACCCTTCCCACGCTTCCACCCGCGAACATGCCTTGGGTTGGTTGGGTACCTTTTGTCAATCCTCCGATCTTCCGCGCTGCACCCCACGCACCCGACTGCCTGCCGGGCGTCACATTCATGCCGACATCTTCTGAGCGGTCACCGGCACGGGACAAGAAGACATGGGGTTGCCTCGCGAGGAGAGAGGAGATTCGACTGGCCACTTGTGTGATGGGATAAGGGCAGCCACCGCTCCCTGGCATCAAACAAGAGCACCGACACCAGTGGCGATTCTCTGTCATGACCCTGATCAAAAGGGACGAGTCAACGAGGCAAAGACAGAGAAAAAAAAATACACCAACAAGAGGTAGATCACAGTAGGAAAAACCTGCTGCCGCGTCTTTCTTTGTCTCAGGGCAACCCACCGCTCGGCCGATGGCGATTGATCGATAACCTTAGTCAACCATGTTCCCACGACGACACATGACAGTCGTCATGGCCCGCTCGGCGCCCGGCAGCCGGCACGCGATCCTACCTTGTTGCCGCCCTGTCCACCGTTTTCTCTTCTTGACTTGCGATACGGTGATGTAGCAAGTAGGAGGGGGGGGAGATGGAAGCATGGACTGAGGCAAGGTCCTGGAGCTGCTGACGCAAGAAACCTGTGACTACACAACCCATCCATTACCTGATCTGGCGTGACCATGCCACGAGAGATCCTGTCATGTTGCGACTTGGCGGGTGTCAGCCTGTGCTGGGGGTTTGGCTTAAGGCTGGCCCGAGAGAGCACTGGCGCTATCAATGGAGTGCCACATGTCATTTGACGGTCAGCTCACCGGTTCATGCTGACCGTCGCGTACACCGCTTTGTACTAGTGAGTGAAGAACCAATCTTGTTTTGGCGTACTATAGTGTTTGCAAGACTGTGACCTCCATCAAACTCTTCCAGACCGTCGTTTAGGACCATGGCAAGCGTCTGAACAGAGTCTGGTGCTGTTTCACCACCAGGTGACCTGGTCGCTTCTCATGTCAGGCCAAATAAGGGCATTTCAGGTACATACAATACATATCGAGTGATAAGCCTTTATTTCCGCGTTGAATCAGAGGAGGTACGTGATACATGATGTGGCCTGTTCTAAACGATTGCCGACGCTTTCCACGAAAATGACTTCACGTCAAATCATGCAACACCATGTTGAGGCTCCGTGCTAACACATCTGACTGGCTGCAGCTAAAGTCTTCGCACGTTCCTCTGCAGACATACTTTCTTGTTGAATACCACCACAACAGCCAGACTTCCTAATTCTCAGCCATCTCAACAAAAACGCTAAACGCATCTCCTACAACTCATCATCTCACAACAAAGTTTCACAGCCAGCTTCAGCCGCCAGTGCAAAACGTCTAGCTCCATGCTGCCGTCACACGACAGCCTGGTCTCCAATCTCCATCGCCTGCTATCCCCCGCGCGCCTTGACAAAGTCGACGAGATCAAAGAAGCTCTTCTTGTAGTTCCTCGCCTGCGAAGTCCTATTGACAGTCTGGATGCCGAAATTCGACGCCCCGTCACCAAACTCCCTACGCGCCCCTTGTCAGCGATGATCACAGACGCACACTGAGGAAGAAGAAAAAAAAAAGAAAAGAAGAGAGACAGAGACAGAGAGAGAGAGAAAGAGAGAAAGAAGAAGAAGCAGAGTGGCTCACCAATTGTCCGCAAAAGACCAGGCATACGCCCCCGCCACATCCACGCCGTCCTCCCAGATGGCCTTGAGCACCTCGGTCAGGTAGCTCAGGTAGTAGTTGCTCCGCGGCGTGTCGAACAGCTGGTCGGCGAGCGCGGCCTTGTCCGTCTCGGCAAAGACGGGGAAGCCAAACTCGGTGATGACGACGGGCCGGCGCCACGTGTTCCAGACGTAGCCGAGGTAGCTGCGCAGGTACACGGGCGTCGTGTAGACGTAGCTCTGCGAGCGGTAGCCGACGTTCCAGCCGAAGCGGTTGACCTGCGTCTGGTGGACGCAGTAGGGGCGCAGCGGGTGCCCGGCGTCCGCGGCGCACGCGCGCACGCTGTCGGCGTCGCCGGGCGTCGGCGGCGCCACGACCGTCGCCGTGTAGTGGTTGATGCTGAAGTAGTCGGCCGTGCCGTTGAGGTAGGCGAGGTCGGCGGCCGTCAGGGGCACGTGGTCGGCAATGGTCTGCTTGTACGAGTCCGGGTAGTCGGCGCCGAGGAAGAGCGGATTCGCAAAGGGCCCGAGCTGGAACGTGTTGAAGTGCTCGGCGGCGTAGACGTCGGCGGCGCTGTCCGGGTCCCGCGGCACGCCAAAGTTGTTGTTGAGCCGCAGCGACACCAAGCCCGTGCCCTTGATCTGCTCCTTGTAAAAGTGGTACACCTCGGCGTGCGACTTGATCACGTGGTCGATCGACTTGCCGTTGTTCGCGTACAGCAGCGGCTCGTTGTACGTGTACCAGACGGGCACGCGGTCGGCGTAGTGCGTCAGGACAATTTTGGCGTAGTTGACAAACGCCGCCGGGAACGTCTCGTTCTGGTACGCCCCGTTGACGTAGCCAATCTCGGCCGGCTCCGCCGCCGTGCTGAGGTTGCTGCCGAAGAACTGCAGCGGCGTGTCAAAGTGCAGCAGTGTCACCTCGGGCGTCATGCCCTTCTCCAGGATGAAGTTGATCACGTCGTTGTAGTGGTCGATGCCAGCCTGGTTGACGGGCGTGCCGGGGAGCGCGAAGGGGAGGATGCGGGTCCAGGCGATGCTGAAGGCGTACCGCGAGACACCCATGGCCGCAACCCGCTCAATATCTTGCTTGTAGTAGTAGTAGTTCTCGTTGGTGACATAGCTCTTGGGCCGGTCGTCTCGGACCAGAATATCCATGAGCGACGGGGACTTGCCTTCGTCGGCCGTAGCCCCCTCGATCTGGCTCGCAGAGCTCGAGACCCCAAAGCGGAAGTGTTTCGGAAAGTGGTAGCAGTCCTGCGGGCCAAAGTAGTCCCTCGGGGGCAGCACGAGCTCGCTGCTGGGCACCGGCGTGGGCGACACGGTCGTCGAGTAGACGGACGTCTCGGTAAAGTTGGGGGGGTTGGCATGTCGCCACAGAGCAGTCCACGCCGCCTGGCCGTAGGGATCAGACGAGTCGTCAGCAGTGGCCGTAGAGTTATCTCGAGGATCCCATTTGCCCCATGTCGTGTAAGAGAGGGACGTGACGAGACTGGTCAGCGACTCGGACGGCTCGGCGTACGTCTCGGTCGTTGTGGCCGGCGGCACTGACGTCGCATACCTCACAGTGTCAGTCAGAGTGTGGCTGAAAGGCGTTAAGGTGTATTCAGGCTCGCGAGTCCTCGTCGCCTTGCACTGCGGTCGTGGTGTTGGGCCCTCGGCGTCGAGGTAGACCTGCTGAGCAGCGCCCAGCGTGGCCAGAACGAGTTGCGCCTTGATCATCATGGTAGCAGAGCACAGAAGAAAAGCCTTCGAGTTGACCATGTGAGGATGTTAGACACGCAGAGACATATCCTCGCCATCGGGTGCTCACTAGCTCAGCTTTATATAGGCAGATGCCGTCATGGTTCAGCAGAAGGACCCCAAAGGCAATGATGATGCCTCGGGTTCGCGCCCTACGCAAGCGCACATCGGCAAAGCAACATTGCGTTGATGAACTGGACCCTCTTGTCGAAAAGAAGAATCGGCCCGAGATTAATGTGGAATCCGGGGCTGCCGTCGCAATGGCATCGTGAGAAAACAGGATGTGTTGCTGGCGATCCCCCGCAGTACTCCAACCGGGGACCATGATCATGACCCAATGGACTGGGGAAGCGCAGAATACTCCGCACGTGGTTTGCGTGTAAGTCGCTGGCCCGGGGTGTTCGGTGCTTGATTCTCCATGGAGAATCTTCACACCAAGGGCGCCAATTGGGAATTCGAGTGTCGATCTGCTGCTAGCCCGCCGACCCAGCGTATGTGAGAGCAACGATCATGTAGCTTGGAGGGGCACTGGCTCTGAGGGGGAATGTACCGAGCTCTCGTGAATGGCAGACGTAGTGTTACTGGGAGGAGTTCCGGGAGATTGCGTGGAAGAGCCGGACGATCATCAACCTGGACTGGACGACGAAAGGTCACAGGCATCGTATGATGGACAATGTCGCCGAACTGCGCTACGACTCGAACAGATTCAGCCAGCGATGAGAGGAGCATGGAACCATGGAAATTGCAGGACACGCTCAAATCAAGTCGCTTATAGAACTCCTCCTCTAACCTCTATACCTGCAGGTATGAGCCCGGAGTAAATTGGAAAGACAAAACGCAAAGCCATGCCATGCTTTATCATGCCAGAATGCACGCCGCTCCATCGTGCATGGCTCAAGCAGCAGAAGACGTCTGCGAGCGTCCAACCCATAGATACCCCGCGATGCCGAGGCCGAGCAGACCGGCGATGGCATATGCCCCGGCCCTCGTCGTCCACAAATACATGGTCGAACCAGCCCACTTCTCACTCCGCCGCGCCGCCGCGCGTGCGGCCCACGTGTCGACGTCGACGTCGACGGGCGGCTTCGCCCTCGGATCGTCCGTGCCCCCAGCCGAAGCGACGGCCGCAGCCAAGGCCTCTCTCATCTGGGTCGGCGACAGCATCGGCACGTCGACGCGCAGGAACACGGGCCTGTGGTCCGAGGTGCGCAGCAAGGGCAGCGCGTCGTAGGCCCTCACGTCGATGCGCGCCGCCGAGGCGACGCCCTCGTTTGCCCCTGGCACGTCGAGGTACAGCACGCGATCCGTCCACGACGGCCAGCGGTGCGACGCGAACTCCCAGTTGACCCCACCCTTGTCGTCCTCGCCGTCGAGCACGTGGTACTTGTACGTGGGCGGGAACCGCACCTCGGCCTCGCTCATGCCGTGCAACGTCCTGCCGGCCTCGCGCTCGGCCGTCAGCTGATCCGTCTCGAAGAAGCGCGGGTAGTGGTGCTCGCTCGCGTCGTCGAGGCTCGGGAACGGCGCCTTGGGCGGCGGGCTCTCCGCCGAGATGCGGTAGTTCAGGTCTCCCGCGACAAACAGGTGCGCGCTCGGCCTGAAGACGGACAGGTCCTGTAAGCGCGCCTGCTGCGCCTTGCTCTGCGCGTCGTCTTCTTCGGCGGCCAGCAACCTCGAGCGCTCGTTGTCTGCACCAGCTTCCTCGCCTGCGGCCGCCGTCAGTGCTGGGGACTCCCGCACCACAGCCTTTGGATCCTCAAACGCGAGTCCCTCCATGATGGACCCCCAATTTTCGTTCCTCTTGCGTAGGTTCCACTCCATAGCTGCAAGGTGCGTTGCCACAAACGTCACCTCCGTCTCGTCCTCGCCACGTCCAAACGTCGCCCGCAGTGCGACGGCGCCCTTGTTGCCCATATTGTTGGCTCCGAACCCGACCTCAGCCTCCTGGATGTCTCGCAGCGCTGCCGGGTCGCGTGCGAAGAGCATGATGGCCGTCATGCCGACGTTGCGTGCCCGAACGAGGGTATACGGCCGTACAGGACCGGCACTCGCCGTCGGTGCGACGGTCACTGTCTCGTCGCGGCCATTTGTGTTCGCGTCTTGTGCGGCGGCGGCGGCTAGGTTGAGGGCCTCTTCGAAGGCGAGAAGGTAAGGGCTGATGAAGGAGCCGCCGATGAAAGCACTGGCGAGAGGGGAGACTTCTTGCAGGGAGCTATTGGTCGGTAAGATTGGTGGTCAGCCCATGTCTCTGTCTTGCCATGTTACCCCCGCTTTTCAAAAGGGATTACCCCGTGGAGAACAGAGGCCAAGAGACGAGGGGAAAACAAGAAGCAAGCTGCGGGACGTACAAAACAACGACCTCTGGCAGAGCTGTCGCATTCTGCTGAAAGGCAGCCTGCAGGTGCGAAGCAAAGACGGCGGCATTGATGAGTCGCTTGGCGCAGTTGAAGGTGAGGACGAAGAGGTCAAGCGTCGAGGGTGCCATCTTGATGGCGATGGGTGTGATGGAGGGGTTGGCAATGGCCATGGTCGAAAGTCAAAGCACTGACGTCTAGATTCCGAATCCAAGTCCAGGGTTGGGGTTGCCCAGCATTCCCTTGGCCGGGGTCTAGAACTTGGGGAGGGGGGCTGTTGGTGTGGGTGTGGGTGTGGCCCAATGCTGGGTTAGGTGTTGCGTGCTGGTTGGGATGGTAGCACAGCCTTGGGGTTGGTGGTGTGCCGCCTTGCCGGCAATTATCCGATGTACTCACACAGGTACTCCGGGCACCGTAGGTACCTCTCTCCTCAAGGCAAGGCAAGGTAGGTAAGTAAGTACTGAATGAGGTGATGGCCCAAAGTAACCTCTGTCGAGATGATGATTCGATGGTTCGCCAAGCAGAGAGCGGCTCCCTGTTATTTATGTCTTGTCTGTCCGCCCTCCTCTCACCCACCATCATCGGCGCCATCATGGCAGTGCCCTCTGTCCAGGCTTCCGTCCCATCCCATGCAGGCCCCAGAAACCCCCGCCAAGTCTAACCCCCGTTTGGCAGCTGACCTTGCCCAGCTGCGTGTACAGCCTCCTGACAGGCATCACGAATGCTCTCCCACGCCAGCCTCTCTGCCATTAGCTCTCAATAGTAGGTGTATACCCTCGTCCAAGCTGCACGCCTTGTCTCACATGTGCCGGCCTTGCTGTTGCTGCGCCCGAAGTGGCCTCAAATCTGTCCCAATACTTGGACCGACACATTCAGCTCCCTCCACCTCATCATCGTAGTGCCGTCCAAGAGAAACATGTGCATAATACTCATAGTGGGAAACAATTCGATTTTGAGGAAAACTATCTCGTGTGTACGTACGGCCTTCGACCGCACCCCTTCGTCCGCATGACAGGAGCGAAAAGCATCGGATTAACACCACCTCCATACTGACGTTGACCAGAGTGCGGAGATGACATCGTCGGCAGGCCAGAACATGGTGTTGGGTGCTCGTTGCGTTGGCCAGGACGCACGCGTTGAGGGCCGTTTGGTTTCGCACATTTGACCCTGCAGCCTTGGCGCAGTCACATTCCAACCACCCGGCGCCGTAGACACTCGAGTTTAACAGGCCACCAACACACACAGGGAGACGGGCCATGTGATATAGCCGCCTATGCCCAGTTGCCGCCGCATCCCTGACGTCCTCTGCTGGGTGGGGGAGAAGTTCATTTGCCAACTGGGGATCCATGAATGCTGATAATTGTTCACGCAATCGAGGCCAAATGCTTTCCCCCTCCCAAATTGGACGTCATTATTCCGTAACAGTCGCTGTGGCCTGGCCTTCCCCCGTCGAACGTGGTGTTGCTTCCCCAGAACCCACCTGCAGCGCGACAAATGCCATGCTTGAGACCACGATAGGAAAAGGCCAATCATCAATCGCATACCCATTAGAAAAGAAATAGACAATGCAAGGAAAGAGTAGTTGGGACAGCTCCAACAACGCACCGACCACGCCGTCGAATCCAGATAGAGGTTGTCGGATTTCGGACTAGACGTTTGCGAGTGACACAGGACGACAACCGAGTTCGTCGCGCGGGGCCCTGTGCAGTCTGCGTTGATGTGAGCTGATCTCAACAACGATGCCCCGACGGATCGAGACACCGGACATGCCGTTCAGAACCATCCCATGTAGTGAGCAATTCGTCATCAATGCGGATGTAGTCCACAATAGAAGAGGAATCGTCTGAACCTGGGGGTCCCGAGCCATAGTACCAAAATATCAATACCGCACTGTCGGAGAACCATGTTGAAAGCGTGAAAACAAGGAGACGTGACCGTTGCAAGTGGGCGAGGCGAGGAGATCGAAAGACAAAGCGTGCTCTCGAGACCGCATGATGGATAGATGATGTTTCCAACCAGCGGAGCAACGCTCGCCTCTGCTGCCACGAATAAGACAGTCCATAGACTCAGTCTGGTCGTACTCCAGAAAGAGGGGAAGGGGGGGGGATTTGAGTTAAGAAGTGCTGACAACTGCTGCTGATCATCTCGCGCGATGGGCGCCATACCCGGCACCAGCACCCTTGGAGGCTGACCTCAACCTAGTAGGCCAAACCGTTAGAAAACTGAATCATCCATCGTGTACATTTCTTGGGCGGGTGCACTCACGTTCTGTCGCTTCCGCCAATTGCAGGGCTGGTGTCAAGCGTGTGCGCACGGGCACCAGCATCTTGTTCAATCATTTTGCGGCGCGAGCTGGAAATGGCGTTAGGCTTCACTCCGGCACCTTGAGGGAGGTTCGGCTGACCAGCAGTTCCGGCCGTGGCACGAGTAGCCCGGGCCTTGTCGTCCTCTTCCTGATTTCCTGCAGCCTGGGCAATAGCCTGGGCGTTCTTCTGGTACTTGTAGACAGTCCAGTCGAAGACGTAATCGTACTGGAATCCCTCGCGGACGAAAAGATCACGGAAGATCTTGCGAAGGTAGCTGTAGTCGGGCTTATCATCGAATCGAAGGGAGCGAGTATAGTTCAGGTAGATTGCAAACTCGTTCGGGAAGCCGCGGCAGAGGACCTCTGTAGGGGTAGTCATCTTCTTCTCCATGATACGGTCGTACTTCTGCTTCTTAGTGGCAGCCTTGAGACCCTGCCAGGGCAGGGAGCCACGGCAGAAGTAGAGCATCACGTAGCCGAGCGACTCCATATCGTCACGTCGAGATTGCTCTACGAGACACAACAAGTCAGTGAGCAAGTCACGATGGGCATGATGCGAGGGCATGTTGGGGGCAGGGGTTCCAAAGACTGACCGACACCAAGATGTGTGTTAATAGAGGCATAACGGGCAGTGCCTGTCAGGTTCTTGTTCTCTCTGTAAGGAATGTGGAAGTGAGTCTTAGGGTCGCGATACTTCTTGGCCAGACCGAAATCGATCACATTGACCTGGTTACCACGCTTGCCGATGCCCATAAGGAAGTTGTCGGGCTTGATATCACGGTGGATAAACGACTTGGCATGGATGTATTCGATGCGGGAGATGAGCTGGTCGGCGAGGAGGAGGACCGTCTTCAGGGAGAACTTGCGGTTGCAGAAGTTGAAGAGATCCTCGAGGGAGGGGCCAAGCAGGTCGAGAACCATGGCATTATAGTCGCACTCGGTACCGAACCAGCGGACGAAGGGGATGCCGACACCGCCAGCCAGGGACTTGTAGACGCGGGCCTCATATTCGAGCTGAGGGTGCTTGGCCTTGACGCTCTCGAGCTTGATGGCGATCTCCTCGCCAGAAATAATATTGGTGCCCAGGTAAATGTCGCCAAAGGAACCGGAACCAATCTTACGACCGATACGGTACTTGTTTCCGACTCGCAGATCCTGTCGTGGTAATAGGTTAGCAAGGTCGGGAACGACTCGATCGATGATATCGTTTGGAAGGAAGGGCAATCCACCTGGGGGGCAAGGGGCCGTACCATGGTCGTCATGCTGCCGGTGTGATGTGGTGCTTCCGTTCCGCGAGGAAGGAGGCCGGGTTTTGGGAGGTTGTGTTGGGTCCGGTATGGCTTGGACAGCACAGCTTGATTGCTGCTCAATGGACAGATTAGCTTTTGCTTAGGCAAGGCTTGATGTTTTGTGGGAATCTTGGGTGTGCAAATGTCGGGAAACAAAATGAACGGTCTAAAAGGGAGGGTGAGAATCGAGCTGGTTGCGGCTTCGTCCAAGCAGGAGGGGCGCGTCTCGATAGTTGGTCGTCGAGGACCCTCCCAGCTCTCTCGGCGCAGTCCAAAGTTGTCGGGGGGTGTGTGGGTTGTGGGCCACGGCCTCGCGTGATTAATAGACCAACGCGGGCAGATTGGTGATCTGGAAGAAGAGGGGCGAGGCGAAGGGTTCTGTGGGCGTAGGAAGAAGCCAACTTACCTGCTGTTGGTTGATTTTTATCGCGTGCAGGTATCGTGAGACGCGAATTTCACGGTTCGTCAGGACGAAACCGAAGGGATGCCGACCGAAGGTGGGCGGTTGGACGGGCTGGTGAAGGTCAGCCCTTGTTGAGAGGAGAGAACGACGGGTGGGTGGCAAGTCGACAATATGGAACACCAAGTAATCCAGAAGGGATTTCTGGAGTCAGAAGGGGGGCAATCGTACCTTGGGGGCCTGAGGGGATCGTGGCGTGGAGGTTGTGATGTGCAGGAAGGAGAAACGGGGAGGAAAGAGGCGAGGACAGGCGATTCGGAATGGAGGCGAGGGTGGGACGCAGAGTTGGTGGTGAGGTCGGCTCAGTGGACTCACTGCCTGGGCTGGGCTGGGCTGGACTGGCTACCTAAGGAAGGTACCTACGGGCTGCTGGTGGCCGCTGGATGGAGGACGAGGAGAGAGGATGGGACAGGGTGAAGAGCCTGTACCTAAACTGGGACCTTGCTTTAGACGACTTGTACTGTGAACAAGTCACTGCCCACCGCTGGCCGCCTTGCTTGCTTTGCTTGGCTCACTGGCTGGCTGGCTGGCTGGCTGGCTGGCTGGTGTCCGGCCACCTCTGCCAGCCTGTCTTCCGCGGCGCTCATTGATTACCCCCTTCCGCGCTCCTCACTCCCTGCTCCCCACTGGAACAGTTTTAGGGGGGGAGGCGGTTTTCGGCTTGGGTCCCAAGTTGTCTTGGCCTTGGCGCCCTGGCCACCGTGCAGCAGCCCAATGTGGAGTCCAGTAAGGATCGCTCAAGGGGTACGTACTATTTAGGACACACCGAACCAGGCGCTTCCTGCGTTTGCTGGGTTCTGTCTCGACTCGTGCCGCGGACGGAAAGGAATTGGACCGGGACAGGTGCTTTGGCCACACCGCCTATGCGAACCCAGGCTTGCAGGATCGTGCTGGAATCATTACAATGCCCAATGCCAATTGCAATGCAGGGAAAGAGGCCGCTTTGCTTTTCAATTTACGTTCTGTCAGACGATGTCGCAGACGCCTAGGCGAGGAAATAAGCCCTCCCGGCTTGGCTCTCAGCATCAATGGAGAACCCACATTCCACGATACATACATATTAAGAGCTGTTAGATGCTCGAGGGGCCATTTCGGAAACCATCAAAACCCCTAGTTGGCGCAAGGCCCTGGGATCACCGTGACGACTCAGAATCCACCGAGACCCAGGCGAAGAGGGGCCTTTGCAGCCGCCAGGCGGCGAGGCTCTTCAGAAGGTCAGGACTATCTAGGCACGCCCGAAACTTGGTCGGAGAGAGGGACCGCTTCACACCTACTAAACCGAGACTTGTCATGCCCTCCCTGCTTTGCCTGCCGGCGGGCATGTGCCAATGAACCAACTAGATCGCGATCGTCATGTTGATCTCAGTCTCGTCGTCGTCGTCGTCGTCGTCGTCGTCGTCGTCGTCGTCGTCGTCGTCGTTGTCGTTAGATGGAGGAGTGTTTCCCATGGTCCTGGTCATAACAATCGCCTTTGTTGAATGCTGACAGCGGTGTGTCTATCTTGCGGTTGAGGCAGTCGCGTGCGCACCTGACCAAACAGCCGGGACATCCTTCCCCGTCTGTCTGTAGCTCCTCTCTCCCCTCATCACCGCTTCAGGGCCAAAGGGAGGAGAGCGAGGCAGGTGGTGCCGCGGCCCACCCACTGTTGGGGCAAGTGGCATGAGACTGGCCACCCTGCTACGAAACACAACACAATCAATGACCCAAGCTTCTCCCTTCTCATGATTCAAGACTTCAGCCCAGTCCGCCCGTCGGTACAACACGAAGCTCGGCAGCTTGCATCCCATCATTTCCCGCTTCTGCGATGCTTTCCTGCCTCATCCCTCGCGGAAAAGAGCAGATGCAACCGAGCTCCCTCCGAGCTCCGTCCCTTCACCCTACACCGCTGATAATAAGCTAGCTACCCGCCTTAGGTCGTCACCTACCCAGCTAGCCCCAAGGCAAAAGGTAAGGCAGGTCAAGGCAAACCTGGCCGCCTGAAAAGCGAGTGGCTGATATGCCGCACGAACCGAGCCTGCATCGGTCACGAGGCCTCCGCCCATGTCTACCAATGGTCCATCCATCGTATCGTCACTTCACTTTCACCGTTGCGACGGACCAGATCGGCCCCTTTTGACAATCGTCCAGCAGTCAGTCTGCATCTTCAACCTCCCGATGAAGGCAGCCCCTCCATCAATACCAGACCTGGGAGACCTGGGAGATTGAGAGCAACCCCAGACAAGGCCCCATGCCTGGCTGGAGACTATGATCGATGGAACAGGGGCCGACTGTACGCAATCTGCGGCCCCGATCAATATCTCCGGCCGTTGCGACGTCACTCATCACAATGTCTCTCACAATACGACGGGTATCCTGAACCTTTGATGAGGTCTGGTGCACAAACATGTCCCAAATAGGCAGTGACGGACGAGGCGATGATCAGCATGTCGCCGGTTCCAGCCCATTATCGACCTGCACGCTGGCTCGGGAGGCAGCGCCAAACTCAGCAGCCATCAACAGGCAGGCCAAGCGAGCGAGCTGGGCCCACGTTCAACATCCAGCCTTCCATCTTACGAGCCAGTGACGCAATAGTTATCGATAAAGGTCGAAACGCAACCCTGACTGCCAATGGCTCGTTACATGTCGGTGTGGGCTGATCGGACATCCCAAAGGGATACCACCAGACAAGCTCAGCCGACCAACAGTTGACATTGGCCTGGGCGGATACAAGGCGATACACGCCGTACTTCCAAGGGGTCGCGCCCGACGACCGAACTTTCCTCGCTCCACCCTGCCCTTTGCCCAACTTCCAGCACAAACTTAGCTGCAGGCGAGGGAATTACATTCACCAAGACCATGCTTACATCTGACTTGACGTGGGCAGGCCCTTCCCACTAATACTACGAGGGGCAAACTCCTGCGCCCTTTACTAACTCGTGTCGATTCGTTGGCTGACCGCTGATCGTTGATACCCCGCGCCTCTTCATCATGGTCCGAAAATAGCCAGCGAGCCGCGGCAACTTACCCATCGAATCACCGCTCTCGGTAAAGCGCCTGCGTTCGCCCTTTGATTGACACAGGCGAATCGGCGCCAGAGCATCATCATGCTCTTAATTTCCCTGATCAGAACAACGCTGACTTGAACCACATCTATACCTCCGCTCTCGTTGCCTGCATATTGAACATGTTCTCGACGATGCCAGGTCTTACTAACATGCAGATGAACTTCTGCAAACATGATTGCGATTCACGTGCATCACCTCTTTGGAGTGGGAGCATAGCCTGCCAGGGGTCCCCCCGGAAGCGAATGCAATCCTAGTCTACAATGGAACGCCTTTAGAAGGTGGGCAGGAGCTTCTAGGCCCTGTAAGTCAGATTCGGTTCGTCAACCCCTACTAATCACAGATCCTGGAAGAACGTCAAGGGTCCCGTTGCCTGACTACGGCCATGAACGACAATCTGCCTTCCGTTGCGATCCGTAACGATTGGTATCGGACCTCATGTCCGTGTCCATCGCCACTTACGGCTGTCATCTTGAAACACCATGGATAAGACTCTTACCGGCAAGTCTAAAAACCGACACCAAGCCTTTCCTCGAAGAATGATTCAGATTACAGTTCTACAATTTCATTTGAAGGGCTCTGGTACAAAGCACGCAATCGGCCGTTTCGTCAATTGCAAATTGACATAAGTGACGGAGCTTTATCCTCATCGTTCCATCCAACATGTCATGCAGCCAACCTTCTTGACTCGTGCTGTCGTATCATGGACGCCTGCAGCAGATAAATTTTGATCGGGCTTTCCGGGTGTCGTAAACCTTCGCCACGTACAGGTGGAGGTCCCGACCCAACAGCCGGCAAAGTTTCGGATATGCCAGGTCGACGTCCGGCCACCACACCCTCCGTGTAGCGGAGGTGCTCAACCCGGACACTGAAACTCGACTATTTACAAGAAGCTACCTACTACTACAGTAATGGCTGTCAAGAAATTCCAACTTGAAGCCCAATCATAGTGGTTCGAACATTCGTGACAACATAAGACGTAAAGCACGCTTCACACAAGCCATCCACTAAATTCTTAATGTCAGTCACAAGCCTGCGTAGGTCATGTTGGGAGGAAGACTGATGAAGGGTATTAGTCAACCACCCTGGATCTAAACCTATATTGCTGATGATCTTGTCAACTTGGCGGAGTTCGCAATTTACGATCGCTTCTATTCGGTGCCGAAGAACAAGCCTCCTTTCCACGGTGTGCATTTGTCTTGGATGCCCACGCAGCCGCTTAGCGTTCTCGACATCTGGAGATCCTCATTCAGCTACTTTGACGATATCTGTCAACTGTCACTTGCCTTCACATCTGGGTTCCGACGATCCGCATCAACATGCATGGCCCTCAACGGAGCAGCAGATCCATTGTCGTAGTCGCACTTTCCTCGGCTCAGTCGCTGAAGACGCCATTCATGGTCTATGGACTCGGCACCATACCAATGATTTTCCATGTGAGACCAAGGCTCTGTATCGGGACAATCTTAGTGCCTGCTTCGTCCTAGAATTGACGGGCGGATCTATGCGCGCCGTCTGGCTTCCTCTTGAGTCAGCAGGGCAGGACGGCTGGGACAAGTTACGAGGCGAAGCCTTTACCATGCAGTCAGTGTCTTTCATTCTGACCCAACCAGCTCAATTTCACCCTAAGTGAACGCGGCGATATCAACCCTCTTTTGGTAACCGTGTGACAGAACAGTTTACCTTCCCCTTTCGCTTACAATATGTCTTGCTAGTCCAGGACTCGGTCCTTACACTAGACAGCCTCACACCGCTACTAATCGTGTCCTCTCAGAGCTGACCTGGCGCCACTTATGGACTTGAGGAACGCGGCAGCGTTCTCTGGCCGTTCGAAGAAGTCATCATAAGCCCAGGGACTAAGACGCTGCCAAATGTCTTGCTCAGCTTTGAGCTCTTCAGGATACTTCTCGATAGTCACGTTGGCTTCGATGGCCTCGAAGAACTTCCGATACACGGGACGATCGGCAAACCACATCTTAGTGTACTCCCAGTATTCAGGGTACCAGCCTGCGAATTCCCAATCGATGATGCCCGTGATCCGCCCATTGTGGTATTGAATGTTGCTCGGGTTGAGATCAGCATGAGTGAATCTGACGCGGTACGTGCCTGATCTTCCATGTATTGCCTTGACCACTGGATCGTACATCCATGTATCAAGAGGCCCACCAAGGCGCAGATACGAATGAAAGTCGTCCACACTATGGAAAGGCCCAAAGCGAAGATGGCCGACCCGATGGTCCAGTAAAGATTCTCGATTCACTGATCCGACGAAGCCCTTCCCAGGTGGTTCGAGGTTTCGCAGTTGGTGAAGATAGCCAGAGAGCTCATCGCCAAACGCGTGGACTTGTTCTGGGCTCATGTTCGTGTAATCGGTGCCACTGCCTGGAAGTGCTTCCATGACAATATGGACGGCACCATCAGGCCGCTCATACACCTCGTACAGCTTGGGTAAAGGCACCGACGTATGGTTGCGGACAAACTCCATTGCTTCTACCTCGTTCCGCGTGGTGTTCAGCTTGATGACCTTCTTAAACGGCAGGCGGACGATGTTCCCTGATCCACCTCGATTTCTGCCAGGGTAGAGGTACTGGCTGGCCCAGATGCGTATTCGAATGGATAAGGGTAGCGCGTCCGATTGCATCGCCACGCGCCGGGGAGCGATGGGGGTTCTTGACGAGGATGAGTTTGCCATTTTCAAGTCGGTGGCTCCAACAGACTTCAATTCACCGAGTGCCCACGCCTTGTTTTGGAACTTATTCGGTTATATGCCTTGATTATGAGGCAAAACAAAGGCGCGCCCATAGCACCCCACTTACGAGGCGTTCACGTCTGGTCGGGCGGATAATGATTGGAAAACTTCCGGCTGGCAAAGGTTACCGTGAGATCGAAGCTCTTCTGGATCGGGTTCTGACACCAGCCGAAGGCAGTGATGAGGATTGTATTACGTGGACGATGAATGTTATTCATCTACTCCAGGGCGAAGGCTCACCGTCCAGGGGAGGGGATATTCGTGTGAAAGAGTTCATGGATCATGCTTACTCTCGCAATAAAGGTTGGTATATCGAGGATCGGTGGAAGTACCGCGACCACAGGGTTGGCCACGTGAGAAGGAAGTTTGCTTGAGTAATTCCGATTGCTAGCTCTGTGGCTGTCGTGACAGATAAATGGAAGCATAGTAGCTTGCATATTTCTTACTTCTGAGATAATCCGCGAATGACCTTTGAGAAGACAGAACAGCCCTCGCCTTTCAAATATGGAGCACAGTAAGCTGTGGCAGCGTTGGCGCTACACCACGGTGAATCCTGCCAGCCAGCTTATCTAAGAGACGAAATTCGTTGTCTGCAATCCAAAAGTACATGGATTTCAAGAGCAAAGCCAATGGGGTCAGAAGAGGACTTTGCGGCTTGAGAAGCAAGCCGAAGTCTGGGCGCCCTCGATCGGCTTCTGTGTGGCTGGCCCTGTTGTAAGATATCAAATCCATATGGGGACAAACCAGATGGGCCATCCGGATTCATGAACAGTCTTCCAACTCTACGAAACTGCTTGGCTAACGCTCTGTTTTTCCATCTGACAACGTTCTATAAGACCAGGAAACCAGGAATGTTTCTGTCAAACTTCCAAGAAATCAAAGATCTTTTTCACGGCCATCTCGTCACCCTCCACCGTCCCGCTCAGTTCCCGGGTTGCCCAACCATCTGTCCATCCGCCACCAAAGTCAATGATCCAAGCATCGTTTGTATCGCGATGGATCAGTACGTTAATGCCTTACCATCGCCCTACACGACTCCGATCTGATGCAACACGTGGACAGTCTCCTGGACCTGCAAAGTCCACTTCTTGCGACGATCCTTTACGATATTAGAAGCCGCCTCGATATTCCGCAGTATCGTTAGCTCCCAGGTAGCCGAAACCGGGATAAACTCCTCTATAAATCCGACGGCTCTCTTAGCGTCGGACACTTCAATAAGGTCGAGGAGTTTTGGGACGCGGGTAGTGGTCGCATAGAGAGGCAGTGATCTTCCAGAGGCATTCGAGCTCCCTTTAGACGGCTTCCGGGCCTTTATTATCTCCCGCCTTGAAGCATATCTCTTTCCCGTCAATCGCTACACCTGCAATATAGCCGTTGTAGAGAATGTTCTCGAGGACGTGAATGTCCTTGGTGGAGAATCTCGGTAGAGTGAAGTTATGATCAACGTTGAGTTAGAATAGGCGGCCTAATGGGTCAAGAGAGGCGCTATCATGCGTGTCATTGCTGTCACTGCGAATCAGCTCTGCCTTGTCGTCCAATCTTCGAAAGCAAAAGGCTAATTCGTCTGGGAAGAGGAGAGGATGGAGATCGGTCGAGATAGTGGCGCCGGGCGTAGGCGGCGGGGCGATTTGGTCAAAAGTTGGCCTTCCCGCCTCAACGATGGCGTCTAGGATCTCGTTTGAAAGCGTATCCGCTTCGTCGTCATCCTCGGCATCGCAAGCGACATTGTATCTCCCGATAAATGAATTCTCGATCGGAGGGAGAGCAGTGCCCGGAGGAAACTGGTCGAGGTGCACGACAAGGCGCGCACTGTTCCAGCGGATGTACAAGGAGACGCGCTCAATACAATCGCTTGATATTCCCTCGGAGTGATGAGTGCTCATCAGTTTGCCGGCTTTTGGATGAACAAAAAGGTGCGAAGCTGGCTCACGGTGAGCAGATCCCGGGGAATCGAGAGGCGGGTGGTGTTGAAGTGACCTGTGGAAAATGGGCGGGGCCGGGTGTCCGTTGCCACGCGGTGAGTGCTTCAAGTTGCTACTAATAAAAGGTTTGGGCGCCTAGCACTGACGTTCTCAAACCCAATGAAACAGTACAGTGACCAACTATCCATCTTGTACGTTCGGACAGGCCTTGAGTCGGAATCCCTCTGCGGGCAGAACTTAGTGGCTTTGCTTGTTCTTCTTCTCCCTGATAACCAACGGCGCCAGCCCGACAGCCGGAAACTCAACCTCGGGCTCCCTAGCCAAGACCAAAGCCCCCGCGTCCGCCGGCGCCACCACGGGCCGCGCCGGTAGCTTGGGCCTCCCAACGACACCCTCATCGATAGCCCCGGCGTGAGGGTAGCGGCCCTCAGGCCCGTAGAGCTTTCCCTCGAGATAGCGATGGGAGGCGGCCTGGGCGATGGTGGTCCAGTTCTTGGGGTTGTAGCGCGGGTTCGAGGTGTAGGGTTTGACGGCCGAGTTCAGGCGGTCCTGGGTACCGTCGACCGTCTTGTCGAGCCAGCGCTTAGCCTTTTTGCTGCCGAAGAGCTTGAGGGCTGGGGCCTTGGCCTGTGGGTAGTTTGCTGGGGGGCAGTCGACGGGGGTGCGGGGCCAGTCTTCCGGGGCAATGGAGGAGGAGGAGTAGGAGGAGCCGGTATGGGTGGTGTTGGAGATGAGGTCTGGGGGTGTGGGAGTCGCGGTTCGGGAGGGCGGCAGCGGGATTGAGTAAGGCTCTCTGCCGAGAGAGGATGTTGACGAGCGGCTGTGTGCTGTGGCCGAAAGGTGAGAGGATGATGCTCTTGGGTTGAGGTAGTGTGCAGTAGTGACTAGAGCGGTTGTCGAAGAGTCGTCGGGGAGCTCGCGGAGGGTTGGGTTCTCCTGCACGGGACTCGCCGGCATTTCAACGGCGATGCAGGGAGGCACTTCGAGCTCTGCTATGTGGTGTTGGTGCTGTTGGCGCCGTGGGCGAGGGGGTAGAGGTGGTGCTTGCTCATATTGAGGGTGTGGTCGATGAGACTTGGGGTGGTGACAATGTTGGTATGAGGGGTGGTGTTGCTGACGATAAGCAGGGTGGTGCTCTTGATACTGAGAGTACCGGTAGTGACCAGCAGAAATCTGAGCCATCGAGGCCATGACTGGTCGCCAGGATTAAGACGATGGCTCGATCACTTGGTGATGTTCGGTTTTGGTCGGCTTCTTCGACAGCTTTTCCGACAGCTTTTTCACCCAAGGTTGCATGCCAAATGAACAATCAAAAACAAGGAAAGTCCTAGGCCAAATTTAAAGAAGACGAAAGACTGCTTTCTTCTACTGACAAACGGAATGGAAGGGGGGCCAGGGTTGGTGATCCTCCGCCATCTACTCCCAAGCCCACGGCACTGTCAAACCATCCGAGATGCTTCTGATTGGCGAGCTCGCACTCGAAAACAAGACCCGACAGGGTTCACGATGGAAAAAGAGGGGACGAAGAAAGCTTGACCAGCCTTGCCGAGGATACCTTGCAGGGGCCCTCCGAAAATAGCATCATCGTCCTGGATTCTAACTGCCGATCGCTCGCTCTATAACTCGACGGGGACCTGTCTGTCGTCGGGGGCCGTCTCCAACTTCGGCCCCAACGTTTCCAGCGTCTCAATGGCCTCGTTTGCAAGTTGTACAGGGCCAGTCTTCGTCCGTGCAAGCTCCAGCGCAAACGCCCTCGGACGAATGGCCACAGCCTCTCGACCGCCGTCGTCTCCGACGATGAGGTCAAAGTGGTCAACGGCGAGGTAGTTATAGGTCGCTCGATCCGCCAGTAGCCAAGAGAGACACGTCCCATCCCGCCATGCCAGCTCCTCATCAAGCTTTTCGGCCTCGTCGTCCGTAAAGGGCGGCACGGCTGCCCTCCAGGCCTCTGTTGTGCCGCCGTTCATTTCGACGAGCGCGGGGAACAGCCGCAGAGTCTGGCCCTCACGCGGCGGCGTCTCTGTGTCGTTGATGCCCCGAACACTGTACCGGTGCAAGTTTGCCAGGACGTTGAACCCGCGCATCACCCATTCGGTCAGCAGCAGCCCTTCGCCTTGGCCCTCTTCGTCGACGGACAGCACGATGCGCGATCCCGTCGCTTCGTCCTCGTAGATGCCTGCGTACCTCCGCCTCGCCTCATCCCGCGCCGCCGCCTCGAGCGCCGGCACCAGCCCTTCGAAAACCCGTGACAGCAGAATCGAGGCTGGTAGCATCTCGGGCCCCGCCGTCATGATGGTGACAGCCAGTCCGAGGTCCGGCACGAGCGCCAGCGCAGAAGCGTAGTCTGCGATGTCCCCGCCCTTGGTGTACGCGTCGACAATGCGGCCCGACGGCACCAGCTTGTCGAGGCGCAGGATCTCCCACGGCGCGCCGACCGACGTCCCCCAACCCGACGTAAACGACGTCGGCTTGAGCCAGCGGCGCGTCTGCCCCGGCGACAAGAAGCCGTGGCGCAGGATGGCGCGCGCAAAGGCGAGGAGGTCGTGCGTCGTCGTGAACATGCCGCCGGCCCTGGCTCGCGGTCAGTCATCTTGGGCCCGCCTCATCACGCCCATGCTCGACAGGCAGGCAAGGAAACAGAAAACCTACGCGTCAAAGACGCCAATGTCGTCGTTCCACTCGGTGTTGTTCACGGGCACGAAAATGGTCGAGTCGTCGTCTAGCGTGCCCCCGACTGTCGTGCCGCGCATGCCCGCCGGCTCGAGGATCAGCTCGCGTATGACCTCGTCGTACGGCTTGCCCGCCGCCGCCTCCACGACGAGGCCTACGAGCGAGATGCCGGCATTCGAGTAGGCTGGCGCGTGGTTCGGCGCATAGATGGGCGGCCGTTTGCTCTTGTACGCCGCCAGCAGATCTGCCACGGTTCTCAGCATCACGAGGGGACACCACGATTGTCCGCGTCAGAGATCACCCACCATCTTTGCTGCACGGCTCTGTCCCACGAAAGCCCGAACACGTTGGTCTGTCAGCCGCCTTGACCGGTGGCAGGCCCAGCGCCTCCCAGTCCCCGGGGAAGATGACCATGTCGAGGAACACTGCGCCGTCAGTCTCGGCCCTACAAGCTGTGAATCTGTCGGACAGGCGCAGGCACCGGCATCGGCCCAGTCCTAGGCGAAGGGATCGAACTCACTGTCCACGCCGATTCCCGACATGTGCGTCGCCAAAGACCCAACCGTAACCTCTTCCCACGGAACGCCCCCCTCGCTGCCCTGCTTCAGCTCATCAATCCATCGCCCAACCTTGTCATCCAGATGCAGGTCGCCCCTCGCCGCCAGCATCTCCGCCCCAAGCACCGCAAAGACCTTGCTCACGCTGCCGACCCGGTACACCGTCTCGCCGTTCACGTCCCTCGCGCCGGGAGGCGAATAGTGCAGCTCCAGCATCGGTCCTCTCTCTCCATCGTCATCATCGTTACGATGGTCAATGACCGTCTCTACACCCACCGAGAGGGCCGTGTTGTTCCAGCCCGCCGCACGCGAGAGGAGGTCGCGGGAGAGGGCCTCAAGGGCGGCGACCACGCGGGGATGAGAGCGCGGGGCGCGCGCCGGCGGGAACACGGGGCCCAAGGGCGGGCAGTTCCGAGGACGAGATGCCTCGACCGGCCGTGCGGCCAGGGTCGAGAGGACGACGGCCGTCAAGTGCAGGATATGCATGGCGTCAGGATAACGATGAATCGTGAATCTTGGTGCTGCCGATTTGAAAGGGTCTCTGCGGACTATCAGCAACAACTGGATCAGTCTCAACAAGCTGCGAAAGATATCTCTATAATGTATCACAGACGCGATGACGATCTTGTAAAGAAGGAGGTTGGGAAACCCAGCTCCGTCCGCGAAGGTTCACTTTGCATGCCGCGTACATCCACTCGCTCTTCCAATCAAGCTTCCTTGAGGAGGAATCCTTCGCTCCTATACTCGTATCCCCTGTCCCCAAAACCATCGGTACCCCCAATCCGGACACCGGATCACCGGATCTGCACGGAAAACAACGCCAAGAAGAACACGCGACGTAGATTCATCAGCTCTCTACCCCAGGTATCTCGACTTGTGTAAAGAGCCTGAACGCCGTGCATATGATAAACCTTGACCTCCTGCCCTTGCCTCTTGCATCGTCACGACGACTAGGTAATTACAAACACGGCAGAAAACGCATTCAAGCACAGAGCCTCGGTGTGTCATCGAAACATGGTCCCCTCCTCCCCCGCTCCCGCCTCGTCCGTGGTATAACAAGTCGTTCACCGTCGTAATCATCATCCCTCCACTGAATGCCCTTAGCCCTTCTTCTGACGCCTGCCTACTTCTCCGTGTGTCCGTCATTCAGCAGCATCTCAAGCACAATCTGCGTGCCCGCAATCTCTGGGTGGCTCATCGAAATCTTGACCGTCGACTTGCTCTCTTCGCCGAGCTGCTGTTGGCCCCCTGGCGCCTGGCTCTGACCCGGTAGCCAGCTAGTCGAGCTTACTGATGTGCCTCCGGTTGGCCCGCGTACGCCGTAGTCGAGACACTTGACATCCCGTCCCGCGATGATCTGCCGCAGACGCCCATTCTCCGCGTTGCGCACCTCGACGTAGTCCTCATTGAACAGCAGCAGGTACTGCCCGTACATGGTTGCCCCGCGCGCCTTCTTCTGCTTTCCAGAATACTCCATGATGAGCGTTCGGCTGACGTCGCCGTGCTTATCGACGTACACTGCGCAATCTTCGTACGCGAGCAGAAACTCCTGGTCGTTGAGGCGGAACATGCCCAGTGGCCGCTGGTCTCGAATACGCGTCGCAATGTTGGCAATTGCTGGCTCCCTGAGGTCTGGGATTGACATGGGCTGCTTCTTGTCCAGCGTGAGAAGCTCAAAACCCTTAGCCGTCGAGATGGCAATATACGACTGGAACAGGTTGAGCGAGTAGCACTCCGTCGGTAGGTAGAACTCGTCATAGTCGCGGAACGCTTCCGTCGCGCCGCCTCCCGGTCGCCGGCCTCCGAATAACCGCGACTTCTTTTCCGATGACTTGTGAAAGACAGGTTCCAGCACCTTGAATGTGTTGTGCATACCCTCCTTGCGCTTGTAGAACACCAGCATCCGCTCCTTCATCCGTGCGCTGGCGAAGAATGCCACGTCCTTGCCCAGCCGCTGCGGCGCCCGCCGGGGGTTATCGTGCACAGGCGCTGGGAAGTTTGACACGGGTGCCACAACATCCAGCGGGTACGATATGAGCGACCGGTCTGCGATGATCAGGCAGACCGAGAACTCCTCCAACACCGTAATCTGGGTCACCCGGTTTACCTGAACAGTCTGTCACCCGTTAGCGCAGCTCAGTACGACCGTTATCATGTCAGGCGAACTCACCCTTGTCCAGCCTCGGGGATCCGTCGTATCGGATATGTACACGCCGTAGTCTGTTCCGATTGCAATGATTGATTTACCGTAGGCTGTGAAGCCGGTGGCGCAGTTGACCTGCGCTCGGCACACCGGAGCCGCGCGACCAGGCCCATATACCTGCTCGAGCTCACGAATCGCCCGATCCAACGGCGTACCCCGTACCGGCACGCCGGCAGTCTTGCCAATGGCCGACACTGAGTCGTATGCGAACGAGCTGTCCGCCAGCACTCGTAATCGGAATGGTTCCGCGTTTTGCGAGAACAGCGCCTTGGCATGCCGTGTCTTGGCCTCAATGATCTTCTGCACCCAGTCCGCCCGCTTGTCCGGCGTCGTGGCAAAGAGGGTGTAGGTTTCGTGACCAAGATGCTTGATCTTGAACGGATACAAGATCTTGTCTTTCGAGTCGTTCGACATGGTGGGTGTTAACCTGCTCACGCTTACAGAACCAATCGACGAGCTTGTGGCTGCGTGTTCCAGGGTTGGGCGGTCACCGCCGTTACTCGTGATCTTACCAAGCCGGTTGTCCGGGGTCGACCCGCCCGTCCCTCGTGCCAAAGGTGCGATACCCTTTTGCTTCGATATCGGGTCATCATTCATGCTGTCGAGGAAGAGCAGCGGCATCGGTATGGGCTGATTCAGTTAGTCCAGGTTCTGCGCGACGCACTAGATTGACTCACCTCCTTTGACACGTCAAACTTCTTACCCCCTCTACCGTCACGAGAACTGACCGGCTTGGCCAGAATCAAGTAGTGGTCGAACAGGAGCGCATGCGTGTCCACCCATCGCACACCCTTGTGTCCCATTCTTGTCAGTTCGCCCTGCAAGATGAGCTCACGGCCGAGGTGGTCGAGGTTCAAGACGGAATGGAAACCGGGACGCAATACCAGCATTGCGTTCAGCTCCATCATCTCAACCTTCTTCTGCATCTCTGCCACCTTCTGGTCACATTCGAGCGTGACATTGTGAATTTCCGAAATGGCTTTCGCTAGGTTTGCCTTCTCCTCGCTGTCGACAAGCATGTTCTTTTCAACGGTTTGTAGCAAGAACGTGTAACGTTGCAACCGCGTGATGGGTGTCTTGAGGAAATGCGTCCAGTCTAGCCTGGTTGAGCGCTTGTGGCCGCGCACTTCGTCCAGAAACTTGGCAAAGATGATGTTGCGATCCTTTTCCCTGCGCACAAGGTATGAAGCATGCGGATACTGAGAGGCGTAGTCGATGTAGACGTCGCGAGCTTTGCGGATCCACTCGCGGAACAGGTCGCTGAACCCCACGATCCAAGGGCCCTGCTCTTGCTGCCGGTATTTGAGCTGCGCCAGCAGGTTCTCCTTGTTGGCGTCGAGCACAGCGTCAACCTTACCAAAGACCACAGCGACGAACTTATCGACGCGATTGGGCGCAATGATGGGGCTCGGCGCGTGCTGGATCTGATCCCTGTAGAGAACCCGCAAGACCTCTAGTTGGTTCATGTAGGTTTCCTCGCTGGTGACAATCTCGTGCAGTACGTTTTGTCGCTCAACCTCCTTCTTCGGCTTACCCTCGACCATTTCTTTGGTGACCTTGAAGAATTCGGCCCACCCCTCAACCTTCGTCTCATCCAGCATGAGGTCGTCGAGATTCGCCTTCTTCAGCGTCCTCATGCAGTGATAGGAGTAACAGCGACCGGGCGCCTCGTTCTCGTGAAGCTTTGAGGCGTAACAGCCAGACCCAGTCAGTTGCCATAACACGCCAGAAACGGTACCTGGCCCAAATTTGACCCATTCTTCCTCCGGGATCAGGATTTGCGCCTCCAGCAGCAACTCCACGACTGTTGTTGACAGCACCTCGGCGTCGGCCACGTTAATGGTCGGCACCTTGACAGTGAACAGGGCGACAAGGGCTTCTTCAACCGTTTTCTGCTTGAGATCAGGCTCCCCATCAGCCATCTCGCGAATCCATGCAGCGATGCCGCTGAGGGCCCAAGGCTCGGTGCATATGCCGAAATCTGTAGCAGTGAGCTTCCCGGGCACGAACTTTCTCCGCCTTCCACTTGGCAGCGTGATCATGTCAAATGTCATGGATGACGGCGTCCCTGACTCGTAGCCCTCTTGGGGATTGCCGTGGTTCGCCGTCAAGTACTGCTGCTGCTGCTGCTGCGTCATCTGCTTGAACAACTTGCGCCGCTCCTCGGCCGCATCAGTGCGCGAGCGCGCGGGAGCATGAACCTGAGGTGTGTTGCTATGGCTCGATAAGGAGATGGACCGTTCCGGATAGGGAGATGCCGAGCCTGAAGCTCCATAGTAAGCCTCGGGCCCTTCTGGCGGGTACATGTGGCGTGAATCGACGCTGAGTGAATGCCCATGAGAATGTCGGTGGCTGACCGATCCTTGGGGGGAGAGCATAGAACCGCTGTCGCTACTTGGGGCCGGAGGAAGAGCTGGCAGCGGTCGATTCGTGAGACCAGGATGATAGAAAATGTCAGGATATTCCTCTTTGTTGGGCGAGTCGTTGGTGCTCTGTCTAGAATGCAGGGATACACGCTCATCGCCTTCGTCAAAGCTTAGTCGGTGAGCGGTGGGCGGCTGCAAGCCGCCAGTGTCACCATAATCCACGACAGCGTCTTTGAAAGCCGGCGCGCCCTCGTAGGCATCATAGGAGGGCTGAGGATAGGTCGTCGGGTCTGGCAGCGGCCTCTGGGTATTTTCATCCTGGTCTGCAGGCGGAGAAGCAACGCTGTTTCCATACGCAAGATTACCGGCATATCCACCGCTGAACAAGCCAAGGTCCATTCCACCATAGTCGGTATCACTGCTTTGTTCTTCCGCAGGTGGTGGGAGGGTGTTCATCGTGCTGACAGCACTGACAGGAACTGGCTCGGTGTACGGGTACGGACCGGGCCCTCCTGCTGCGGTGCTGAATCTGCGGTCGTCCATCTCCGCTTGCTGCATGGCTAATACACCGGCAGTGCCTTCAGGGTCGTCGTCATCGTCGTCGTAGTCGAACGTAGATGAGGCGTTATCCCTCGGGTTTGTGGATGCGTTTGACGAAAAACGACTGACATTGGACGAGTCGGTGGGATTAAGCGTTGTCGAGCTTGTGGTGTAGCGTCGCAATTGTTGCAGCTCGTCGTCGGAGAACTGACCGCCATTCACCGGGGCAGGTCTATGGCGGTTGATACTACCCAGCTCTGCCTCGATGTCGTGCATGATATCTTCTTGGTAGCGCGCTTGATCGTTCTCGTGCCGCCTCTCATCCGGCTCCCAAGTGGCCTCTTCGGAAACGTAGTCCATGGGTCTGCTTGGCAAGGGCGCATGCGTGGGGTGTCGCTGCAGGCCAGGAGAGTGAATTTGGGGTGAGTGGAGGGGTGACGTTGATGAATTAGATCTAGATGTCCGGGTGTAGAATGATGACGGATCGGCCGAGTAGGCTGGGCCAACAGGAATGTGAGATTGGAGGGGATAGGGTGCTTGTGATGTGCCGGTCGGGTACGGAGCAGGCGCGGGGTTGTTTCCGTTGGACGCATAGTTACCGTAGTTGTTGCCGTATGACTGGGTGTAGGAGGGATCATAGGATGGCGTTTGTGACGTGGTCGACGCATTCGAGCTGAAGCCAGGGCTTGGCAACGGTTGATCATGGCGAGCTGGCGCCTGAGCGCTCTGGGGGAAGGACTGGTTGTAGGTAGAGGCAGGTGACATGCCGTAGGTCGGGGCCTGGGGAATGGTCGGGGAGGTGTAGCCTTGGTTGTAGTTGTTGTTGTTGTAGCCATGCTGGGTGGGTGCGCGCTGGGGGCTTGTGGCAGTGGCGTAAGCCGCGGGGTTGTACGCTGCTGGCGTGTAGTTGGTCGGCGAGGCAGCGGTATTGGACCCGGCACTGGTCGAGCTATAACGCTGAACAGGGGGCTGAGGATGATAAGGCAGCGACGTGGATTGCGATCGCGCAAAGTGTTGAGGGTTGTAGGTCGAGTGGGAGGGGGTCGGCGGTGCGGCCGCCTGGAACTGGTGTTGGAAGCCTGACATGGCGCTGTTGGCGGAGCCATAGCTCGGTCGGTTCACAGAGGGGTCGGTTGGGCTGGTGAGGAAGAGCTCATCTCGGCCTCTAACGGATGGAGCGCTCGCGTCTGGGTAGCCCTGGGGAGTCGCTTGGTCCTGACCTTGGTCGAAGAAGGAGGAATCGTCGCCGTTGTTGAAGCTAGGTCGCCGCGCCGGGTAGGAGGACTGGTCCTGGGCCTGGTCGGCTACAGGATATTGCACTGGGGGCACATGGCCGTAGCGGCGCTGGCCATCGCCTCGGAAAGACATAGTCGCAAGTCAGTCAACCCCCGGGGTAGCGGAGGTGTTGCCTGTCAATATGACCAAACGAGCGCCGCGGGCTGGCGGTGATGATTGTACGCCGAGATTGGCAGGCCGCGTGCGCAGGCCAGTATGGAGGTGTCGTTCGAGGCGGGGAGGCAATTCAGGACGCCATGCACAGAGATTCTCGCGTTGGGGTCGCTAGGCAGGGCGATGGGCGTTTGATTGATGTTGGGTTCGGCGGGTGAGAGAGGTCGGTCTGCGCGCGCGCCGGTTGTGTCGCTTCTCTCGAGCTGTGGGCTCGGACAGTTTGCGAGAGGATCAGGTTGTGGAGAACAGGAAAACAAATCTGCTTGGCAAAGAATGACCCAGCTGTCAGCCTTAGCAGGCGAGGTCGAGAGGTCGAAGGGTCGAGTGGTTGGGCATACGAGGGGGAAACAGTGGACAAGCGGCTCAGGGTTCAGTGGTGTGCGCCGGAGTAGTTGGGTGCCCTGGATGGTGGCCCTGGATCGGAAAGCCAAGCCACAGCGACGGGGCTGGCCAAGCGAGTGTTCCCAGAAGATGAGCGGGGTGTTTGCTCGTTGGTGGTGGTGTCGGTGTTGGCACCCCCCGAGCACGAGAGCAGCTAGGCGGATGATGCGGAGGGTAGAGCGCAAAATGTAGGTCAGAGCACAGCACTGGATGGGGTGTCGAGGTAGCACGAGTCGGTCGCAGGTGGTGGTGATGGCGGTGGCGGCGCAGACAGGTGATGTCGATGGCCGCAGTTGTTTCCCGTAATGCTATGCTAGTCTTGGTAGTGCGCAGCACGGGCTGCCTCGGGTCTCAAACAGCGCAAGGCGGTAGACCATTCAACGATGGAATGTCAGGGTACAGCCTGATGTGCTAGTGTCGGTTCATGAAGAGGTAGCTTTTGCGGGGATGAATTAGGTTGGCTGAAGCCGGCGGGTCGTTCATTAATATCGGACTGTCGCTAAGGCCAAATTCAGGTATCAATTTAGATCGCAATGACGATGATTGTCCCAACCAACCCTCGAGCTATCGACTGTGCTGGCAAAAGGTGGGGGAGGGGATGCAGGATTGCGAAAACAACCAAAAGAAAGCAGGATGCAGGATGCAAGACGTGAGATACAGAAACCAGAGCACGAGTGGCAACTCAGGTTGACGATGGCCTTATCCTTGGCCCCATGCCCCCGGGGCAAGCACCATGAATGATCCTGCCTTCCGTCTGTCGAGAAAGCCTCAACCAAACAAGTCAGGAGCAACGGACCAGATCAGCCAGGAGCCAAGACCCCACCAGCCTCAGCGTGCGGCTGTGGCTGGGCGGTGCCTGCCCGCCCGCCGTGGCTCACACACTGATCATGGGCAAGGCCGTCCATTCCAAAGGCCTGGCTTCTCCAGCTGACAGGACTCGATTGGAGGCCTGGCGCCTCTAGTGGCTGGCGTCACATGCTGGTGGTGGGTTATCATCGATACTTCAGAACTGACTGGCCTACTCAGATAGTTTACGTGCCCATTCCCATTGGAATGCCATCGCACGCTGTGCTCCGCATCTTCAAACGCCGGGCGACATTCTGCACATGCCTGGCCTTTCGGAAACGTCGTTTGGCGACGGGCGCCATGCCAGACTTGACCAACCCTGACTATCAAACGACCTTGTCACATAACGAGAACTAGCCTACCTAGGCCACCAGCCCCTGTTCGCCGATGGCCCCTCACAATACGGATTGGTTCTCGTATGCAAATCCGAATCACAGCTCGCTATTGGGAAGGGTCGGTACCAAACCTTCTCCCCTGGAAACGACAACCTCAATCCAACAACGGCAAGGTCTCCCTGTTTCTCCATTCGAGATCCCGGTGTGCCTCCAGTCCCCTCTGAAGCGACGCTCATGAACGGCAACCCCGGCCGTTTCGTTTCCTCCCTTCCACGAGCGGCTGGGTCGACGCCGCGTCGCAATAGAACTTGTGTTAAGATCGCCCTGTTTCGTCCACCATGCGTGCCATGCGTTCGTGGTACTAGCCGGCTGCCGGCCTCGTCTGCAAGCCAACCACCATCGGGAGCTGTCAGGCCTCCCTCTCCGTAGCCCGTCCAATCCTGGAGTTTGATTGTAGGGTACAACATGATGTGTGGTGTGCCGGGCGCATCAGTCAATGGAAGAAGTCATGCCGAACTGGTGAGCTACGCATCTGAAGCGGCTCCTAACTTTTGCGGTGCGTTGGCCGTTCCGTGCGGGTTGCTTATAGGGCTGATGCTGAAATCTGTATCACTATGATGACGAAGGCCACATGTCAGATTGAACGTGAAGCTCGGGTGCAACCCTGGTCTAAACTTCGAGGCTGGGTTCCAACAGCGATGAGCCTGGCGCGTGCCTACCGCTTCACCGTGATGACGATGTTGACGTTCACTGTTCCTTAGTATTTGTTACCTAGTCAATTGTTTTGATATTCTGGTTGCGAGGTTTTGTATACCCACTTGGATCCAGCTCCTAGAAATATCGGTTTTACACCAAGCTACCCGCTCTGAGAACATCGTCTTGTAGCCAGAAACAAGTGCGGTACGCAATAAGAGTAGCATGGCGATATTTCACATTGAAAATGTTCGTCATCGCCAGCGGAGATGCAATGCCAGTCACGTATGAGCTTTCAGCGCTCGCGTAATCACGGCAATGTTGTAGGTACCTTGAACACAGTTCCCTGAAAACGCGAGTGGGCGTCTCAAGGACACCCCACCTGACCCTCCGATCGTCGGGCGAAGGCCGTGGCAACACACGCTGGTCCGGCACCAACCGTCGGCCCCCCAATGGCCGGGGTTCTTCCTATGACGGCACTCGTGCTTGAGATGCAAGCCGACATTGGTAAGCATACCGTCCACGGACGGGCTTGTGAGTGTACCAAGCTACCTAGACTGGTCAAGCTGGCAGCAGAGGAAGCTCTGGAGCTCGCGAAAGCGGGGCCAACCGCAGTACGTACTTTGTACAGGCGCTGTGATGGGCGAGCTTTCCGTGCTCGGATCTCCGACACTCGCTGGAGTGATGCTGGTATTCCGAATTGAGGCAGCGTCGGGCATTCCGCTGTGTGGGAGCACTGGGAGGGTCAGAGGAAGAGAAACGTGGTGAGGGGCAGAAGGAAGAGGGCAGACTGCCGAAGGCTGTCGTCAGAGATGTTTCTCCATAATAACGCCCCTCCCCAGGGCCCCCCATTCTCCAGCTAGACTTAACTCTTGCTCTCCCCCCTCTTCCTCTGTTGCGCCGCATACAAAGTTCTTTGAGCATCAACTGAGTCGTTTTCAAACCAAACAACAAACCCCAAAGAAACAAGAAAACAATCATCAAAATGGTCAAGGCTGGTAAGCAGGCGATCTCCCCCACCCTTTATAGCCCCGCGTGAGCTCCCAGATACTGGGTCACGCTGTCGGAATGGAGGGGTCACGGCCACCCAAGCTGCGCTGGATTGAGCGAGTTTCTCGAGGAGAGGAGCTGTCGCAGCACCTTGATGGGCGCACCTCGCGTGTCTTGCCTTGCCTTCCCCGGAGAGCCGCGTCGATCGAGTGCGTGGCTCGTAGCCAATCCAGACGAGATCCTTCCTCCCCTTGTCGTTGTTGTCGTGCCATCAAGGTCCCGCCCTTCCCAGAAGCAGAAGACGCTGACCCGTTTGCTCCAGTCGCTGTCGTCCGTGGTGACTCCAAGGTCACTGGTACCGTCACCTTCGAGCAGGAGAGCGAGTCTGCCCCTACCCAGGTCTCGTGGGACATCTCCGGCAACGACGCCGATGCCGAGCGCGGCATGCACATCCATACCTTCGGTGACAACACCAACGGCTGCACCTCTGCCGGCCCTCACTGTGAGTCCTCAACCCCCGGCCTGCCCCCTTGCCTTATTTCTCGATCCCGTCAGACAATTGCAAGATGCTGACTGGCGTTCCGCAGTCAACCCCCACAGCAAGAACCACGGCGCGCCCTCGGACGAGGACCGCCACGTTGGTGACCTCGGCAACATCAAGACCGACGCCCAGGGCAACTCCAAGGGTTCCGTTCAGGACTCTTTCATCAAGCTGATTGGCCCCCACAGTGTTATCGGCGTAAGTTCATCTTGCCGTCTTGTCTTGTCCGATACCCCAGGGTCATGGTGCCGGCAAGCGAGGAAGGAATTGCAGCTGACAAGACTAGCGTACCGTTGTTGTCCACGGCGGCACCGACGATCTCGGCAAGGGTGGTCACGCCGAGTCCCTCAAGACTGGTAACGCCGGCCCCCGTCCCGCTTGCGGTGTCATCGGCATCTCCAACTAAGAGTTGATGTCTTGCCGTTGCCTGAATAGCTGGGCGGACTTGAGGAGTGCAGGCCTTTCGAGGATTCGGATATGTTCATGGCTCTAAATACCAGATTGAATACGCCCGCACCGCACTTTCTGCCCGTCCAGAGACCGCTTAACCCAACCCTCATGTGTACTTGTGACCGGGTGCCTTGAGTGTCATCGCAATACTGTGCTCGATTCCAGTCAAATTACTAGAGAGCTATCTATGACGGGGAGCTCGGAGTTGGCTGGCAACTCACGGTGTCGTTGTTGAAATGCACTGTGAGGGGTAGACATGACGTGACCGCCTTCTCGTCCCTCCACCATCCTTCCTGTCACAGTCGCTGGCATTATAAACCAATGCAGCAGAAGCCCAATGTAAACTTTGCAAAAAATGCATCACGGTATCTTCAAGTCTTCCGTCTGGTCTAACGAGGCAAGGTATGTTCGTGCAGCTCCACCATGACATGACCCTGGGCTGAAGCTGTGACGCCTCGGCCAGCGGTGACTGGCATCGAGCCCCTCGCTTAAACAGCACCTAACCCCGAACCAGCCAGTAGGACCCCTGCCCGCTGCTGGTCCCCTGGAGCTCCTTCCCCACAGTTGCCCCTTCCCCCAGCCAAAATTGAGGCAAGCTGTTCAAAGTGAACGGCAGGCGCTCGTGTGGGTGGGTGGCCCAGCGCCAGACCGAGATCTCGTGCTCTCGAACCACTTTGAACCTTCGAAATCTCCTTTCTACCAACAACCATTCAAAAATCGTGTGCCTCAGGGATTGCTTTCATCTTCTTTCAAACTTCATCCTACGTTTCAACATCCATCTCGGTGCTCGTCTTTATCGGTCCCGGTTCCAAGGTACGTGTCTACCCAGTAGTTACGGTACCTAGCTTCCCCTTCCCGCCGGATCGGATCGTGTAGCTTCGCTTCCCCCAGCCGTGCCTGAGCTTCCTGCAGCTGCCCTATACGCGGTACCTTGCGGATTGCAGGCAATCCTACAGAAGTCGCTGTCATTGTATCTTTCGATGAGGAGACGAGCTCGTGGCTCTGACTGCGAAGGCTCGCATTTCCATCATTGCTTTTTCTGCTGTCATTGCCCACCAAACCACCGCCACATTTTCCAGTCCGCTTGACCGCCTCAAGCTTGCGATCTGTACAAATCATATTCTAACGACCACAGGCCTCATAGAAGACCTCCCCCCCCCGTATAGCCTTTACAATGTCCAAGACATTTTTCGCGAAGGTCAAGAGCGTGCTCTCAGGCGATACGCTGATCCTGACGAACCCTCAAAACCCCAAGGCCGAGCGAACTTTCTCCCTGGCCTTCGTTGACGCCCCACGCCTGCGCAAGGAGGGCGACGAACCCTACGCCTTCCAAGCCCGCGAATATCTCCGAGAAAACGTCGGCAAGCAGGTCCAATGTACCGTCCTCTACACTGTTCCCTCTGGTCGTGATTTTGGCACCGTCCTGCTGTCAAGAGAGGGCCCATCACTACCCGATGAGGCTGTCAAGGCCGGCTGGCTGAAGGTCAGGGAAGACGCTGGTCGCAAAGAAGAGTCGGAAGAGATTCTCGAACGCCTTGATCTGCTTCGTGGCCTCGAGGGCCAGGCCAGGAGCGAGTCTATCGGTGTCTGGTCTGGCTCTGGCGGCTCGATCCAGGTTCAAAATGACCTTGGCGGCCCTGAGTTCATGAACCAATGGAAGGGCAAGACGGTTGACGGCATCATCGAGCGTGTCCTCAGCGGCGATCGTCTTCTCGTCCGCCTGCTGCTCTCTGACAAGAAGCACGCTCAGGTCATGACGTTGCTTGCTGGTGTGCGCACGCCCGCCACGGAGAGGACAGTACAGTCCACCGGCCAGACGCAGCCGGCGGAGGAGTTTGGCAACGAAGCGAAGGCTTTTGTCGAGGAGCGTATGCTTCAGCGCAAGGTCAAGGTTGACATTGTCGGTGCCAGCGCCCAGGGCCAGCTTGTCGCTACCATCATCCACCCCAACGGTAACAAGAACATTGCCGAGTTCTTGCTGTCAGAAGGCCTCGCTCGCTGCAACGATTTCCACTCGACGATGCTCGGCGAGAAGATGGCCCCGCTGCGCGCGGCCGAGAAGACGGCTCAGGGCAAGAAGATCCGCCTGCACCAGAACCACGTCGCCAAGGAGGGCGGCGCTCAGTCTGACATGACCGTCACCAAGATTGTCGGTGCCGACACTATCATCGTCCGCAGCAAGGAAGGAAAGACGGAGAAGCGCATCAACTTTAGCAGCATCAGGGGCCCCCGCGCTGGCGAGCCGACCGAGGCGCCGTACAGAGACGAGGCTAAGGAGTTCCTGCGCAAGAAGGTCATCGCTAAGCATGTCCGTGTTAGCATTGATGGCCACAAGGCCGCCGCTGATGGCTTCGAGGCTCGCGACGTTGCTACTGTGACGGAGAAGAACCAAAACATTGGTCTGCTCCTGGTCGAGCATGGCTACGCCACGGTCATCCGCCACCGCAAGGACGACACCGATCGCGCTTCCAACTACGACGAGCTTCTTGCGGCCCAAGAGAAGGCCAAGGAGGAGAAGAAGGGCATCTGGTCGGGCAAGGCGCCCAAGATCAAGCAGTACATCGACGTCTCTGAGTCTCTGCAGAAAGCCAAGCTGCAGCTGGCTGGTCTCCAGCGCCAGAAGAAGGTTGCTGGTGTGGTTGACTTTGTCAAGTCTGGGTCCCGCTTCACCATTCTAGTTCCTCGCGAGGGCATCAAGCTTACCCTTGTTCTGGGAGGTGTGCGTGCCCCAAGGGCGCCCCGCAACAACGGAGAAGGCGGTGAGCCCTTTGGTCAAGAGGCGGCGGACCTCGCCAGCCGTCGCGCTAGCCAGCGCGACTGCGAGATCACCATCTACGATCTCGATAAGGTCGGCGGCTTCATCGGTGACCTGTACATCAACCACGAGAGCTTCGCCAAGGTCCTTGTCGAAGAGGGTCTCGCGTCCGTGCACGGTTACTCTGCGGAGAAGTCTGGTAACGCTGGTGAGCTGTTCCCGGCAGAGCAACGTGCCAAGGAGGCTCGCAAGGGACTCTGGAAGGACTGGGACCCTTCGCAGGACGAGCAGGTCGAGGAGGCCGCACCCGCCGAGTCGCAGGACACGCCCGAGTCGTACGACAACAAGGCCAAGGACTACCGCGACGTTGTGGTGACGGAGATGGACGGCAACGGCAGGCTCAAGATCCAGGAGATTGGCAAGGGCACCGCAGCGTTGACGACGATGATGAACGAGTTCAAGAAGTTCCACATCGACTCGAAGAACGCCAAGCCCCTGGGAGACGCGCCCAAGACGGGCGAGTTCGTCGCGGCCAAGTACTCGGTTGACGGCCAGTGGTACCGCGGACGCGTCCGCTCCAATGACCGGGCCAACAAGGTGGCTGAGGTGCTCTTCATCGACTACGGCAACTCAGAGAAGATTGCGTGGAAGGACCTGCGTCCCCTTGACCAGCCGCAGTTCAGCACGCAGAAGCTCAAGAGCCAGGCCTCTGACGCGTCCCTGTCGTTTGTGCAGCTGCCGACGGCGCCCGAGTACTTCCGCGAGGCGCAGGACTTTATCGCCAATATCACTGGAGGCAAGGAGCTGGTGGCGAGCTTTGACTTTGTCGACACGAAGGAGGGCGTCAGCTACATCACGCTGTACGACTACAACTCGGGCTCCGGCAAGCCGGGCCCCAACGACTCGATCAACAAGGAGGTCCTCGCCGCCGGTGCCGGTCTTGTGCCGACAAAGCTCAAGGCGTGGGAGCGCAGCGGACAGCACGCGTCATACCTGAAGCACCTCAAGGAGGTGGAGTCGCAGGCCAAGCAGGAGAGGCAGGGCATGTGGGAGTACGGCGACATTACGGAGGATTAGAGACAGGTTCGGAGCGGTTGTGGTGGTGTAAGGGGCGGGGCGTCAAAAAAACGGCTGGGTGGGTGCATCAAAAAGCAGATGTATGCTGGGAAGGCCATTTTGATTACGAGCGTACGCAGTGACGAAAGCTACGTGAAATGAAATGATAGTGAAGCCCAAAGATAACAGAATCGTGGCGGTCTCGGCGGTCTTGTGGTGTAGTTGTGATAGTGTGAATTTGCGCATGTCCGTGGAGTTGCGCGGTAATAGCACATTTGCGCCTTCAGCCTGCAGGGAGGGGGGCCATGGGTTGTAGTGTGTCGGGGGAGGCCGGCAGCTAGAGCTAGATGGCTAGACCTGCTGGGACCCTCGCTCTCTTTGCGCGACGGACCGGAGAGGCGGTCGCTCCCCATTGACGCGCATCCCGCCTTGAGTGGGGGGTTCTGTCTCCAGATCTCCCTTCAACAGAATTTCAACGTCGGGGGGACAACCAATGGAAGTCTTTTCCGGGCACGTGGGCTGGACCTCTGGCAGCCGAGCAATTTTAAGTTGATGAAGAAAAAACCCCCAGCCACCAATTCATCCGGGGCCGAGAGTGAGAGAGGGGGCGCTTATTTATCCCGTATATTTTCGATTCCAGCAGCGTAGCTCGGTGAGGTGAGGAGGGGCTCTGTGTAGCACTGACCGATTTGGTGAAGAGGTAAGTTGTGTTTTTTTCCGAGGTTACCTGTACATGTACCTACCCCTCCACCGAGCACTTACCCACCCACTTTGCTGTGATGGCTTAGGTGGGGGCGATGACGACAGGGGCCCTCTTGTCTTTGAGAGGCAATTCCACCTCGCTGCGCAGGTTTGCCTGTGTAGCCATGGGCTCTGATTCTTTGCTGAATCATGCAGAGGCAGTGAAGTCATGGGAGAGGCGGCGAGGCGAGCCAAGGCCGGCTGGCTCGGAGGGTCAACGGAGGGGGCGCGCATCGAGTTGCCCGGATACAGGCGAGCGCGCGCGACATTTGGGGGATGTGATGGAGGCATGTACCTAAGGTACCTACTAAATGCACGTAGTAGGTAGGTACCTACCTAAGGCAAGATGAGGTAGAGAGGTACTGGCCTTCCACCAGCAGGTCCGCTGTCGGCGGGGCGTCGCCTGGACCCCCCGTGGAGGTGGCCAAACAGAACCCCTCGACGGCCGGAGTGGGTACCCCGACAAAACAGCCGCCATATCGCCCACCCTACCGTCTGGCGCGGGGCACCGTCAGAGCCAAGTGGGATGACTGATACCCACCTCACCCAAGCAGTAGTGGAAGGAGAGGGGGGTAGTGGGTGGGAGAGGTGACGGGGAAGGCGATCGAAGGTGTGTGACGAAGCTGGTGGGAGGGTTGAATGCGGGACAAATATTTCGCCCGTCTCCCTCTGAGCTGTTCCTCCTTCTTCCCAACAACTCATCACCTTTCCTCCCATCAACCTGCAAACTCTCCAGCCTGGTGCTGCCTTTACCAAACGTCGACCTCTATCTCAAGTCGCCAAGATACCCCAACACGCACACAACATGTCTTCCTCTCTCGATCAATTGAAGGCCTCCGGCACCGTGAGTTATTACCCCGCCATGCCGCCATCGGCGCATCGACGACCCTGGGGGCTGCCCCGCCGTGGCCGTGTGCTGGCGACGCCTGCGTTGCCTCGAGCTGCGGTGTTTTGAAGCCCTCGCCATTTCGAGGCTTGCGACGGCGGTGCTCTTCCCCTCGGGACGCATTGCACTGTTCCTTGCTGCTTTGGGATGGCTTCCAATTGATGAGCACACGCTGACCGTGATTTTTTCCATTGCTTCAGGTTGTCGTCTCCGACTCCGGTAAGCTTGCTCTCCCCTCCCTCTGCTAGTTTGTCTCGAATGTCTGCTAATGAACCTCCCTAGGTGACTTTGCCTGTTAGTCCCTCTTCTTCCCCTTCCCCCTTCCCCTCGTGCTCTTCTGGCAAGAGGCAGAAAATCGACTTGACAAGAGGACGCCAAAGCTAACCTTACCTCCCTTTCAGCCATCGGCCAGTACAAGCCCCAGGATGCCACCACCAACCCCTCTCTCATCCTCGCTGCCTCCAAGAAGCCCGAGTACGCCGCTCTGATCGACGAGGCCGTCCAGTACGCCAAGTCCAAGGGCGGTGACGTCGACCACCAGGTCGATGCCGCGCTCGACAGCCTCCTCGTCCAGTTCGGCAAGGAGATCCTCAAGATCATCCCCGGCAAGGTCTCTACCGAGGTTGACGCCCGCTTCTCCTTCGACACCAAGGCCTCCGTCGACAAGGCCCTTCACATCATCGAGGTAAGGCCAGACTCGAGACCAAAGGATCTCGCAGGGGAGGGGCAACACTTGCTAACAGCCACCACAGCTCTACGCCGAGCAGGGTGTCCCCAAGGAGCGCGTCCTCATCAAGATCGCCTCCACCTGGGAGGGCATCAAGGCCGCCGAGATTCTCCAGCGCGACCACGGCATCAACACCAACCTGACCCTCATGTTCTCCCTTGTTCAGGCCATCGCCGCTGCCGAGGCCGGCGCCTTCCTCATCTCCCCCTTCGTCGGCCGCATCCTTGACTGGTTCAAGGCCGCCAAGAAGCAGGAGTACACCAAGGAGACCGACCCCGGCGTCAAGTCGGTCCAGGACATCTTCAACTACTACAAGAAGTTCGGCTACAAGACCATTGTCATGGGCGCCTCGTTCCGCAACATTGGCGAGATCACCGAGCTTGCCGGCTGCGACTACCTCACCATCTCCGTACGTTCCCACCCTTCCCTTCCCAATGCCTCTCAGCAAGCATTGCAATGAGAAACGGACCAAAAAGACTAACACACCACAGCCCAACCTGCTCGACGAGCTCCTCAAGTCTCAGGATGCCGTCCCCAAGAAGCTCGATGCCGCCGCCGCGTCGAGCCTCGACCTCGAGAAGAAGAGCTACATCAACGATGAGGCCCTTTTCCGCTTCGACTTCAACGAGGACCAGATGGCCGTCGAGAAGCTGCGCGAGGGTATCTCCAAGTTCGCCGCCGACGCCATCACCCTCAAGGACATTATCAAGCAGAAGATCCAGGCGTAAACTGTCTGTTCCTTCTTTTTTTCATGATGTTCGTTGTACAGAGTGTGGAACCTTTTGGGGGTGGACGCCATGTGTGTGGCCACTTCTGAACGATAATGAAGCGTACACAAGTGCGATATAGAATGAAAAAAAAAATGATGACATGATCCGGTGCTACGTATGCATAATGTGTCACGCAATGAGCATGAGAAGAGTCGATAGGCAGGCCACACTGATCATGCGATAGGAGTCGTGAATCTATGTATTCGGTTCAAGTCATGTACAGCCCCCAACGACGTGTATTGCCCTTGGTCTGCATGGGTATCAATCAAAGCAAACTGTCCAACCCTCAGCAGTGCACCCATTACAGCTCGCGCCTCTTGTCAGGCTTCTCGCAGTCCACCTGCACAACATGGTGCTCAACCGGGCCGCCCTCGCGAGCCGCAACGACGAGCGCGCTCAGCTTGCCCCCGCGCACGCACCCCGAGTCGAGGCCGAACGCGTACTCCCCGACATGCAGCCCCCTCTTGGCGTCGTGGCCGTACACGACGGCGATGCGGCCCTCGTCGGTCTCGGCCCTCTTCTGCGCGGCATCCCACACGGGCGCCCAGGCGTGGCCGTCGTGCGCCTCGGACGGGACGGCGACGCGGCGGTCGGCGTCGGGCTTGCGTGTGCGCGCAAACTCGTCCTCGACCATGGCGTCCGTGACGCCGGCGCGGGCCTCGGTCTCGATCTTGTCCTGCAGCCTGCTGCTGTCCTTGAGGGTGCGGTAGGCGGGCGAGGCGCGCAGGGCGTCGGCGGCGGCGCGCACGAGCGTCTCGCGGGCGTCGGCGCGGCGCAGCGTCTCGGCCGGGTAGGTGAGGGTGCGCATGTTCATGGCGGCCCAGGGATCCTGCTTCTCGGGGGCCACGCCGGGGACGAGGCCGGCGTGGGCGGCGACGAGGCGGCGGGCGGCGAAGCCGGGGACCGGGCCCAGGTCGAGGATGGCGGGCAGCGAGGCGAGGTAGTCGAGGTGCGCCGCCGACAGGGAGCGCAGCGTGTCGTGGTCGGCCTTGTTGCCGCGGTTCGAGGAGATGACGTGCTGCTGCTCGAGGTTGTCGGGCGCCGCGGGGCCCTCGTCGCCGCCGGCGGACTCGTCGGCTACGCGGGGCGTGGCGCGGTCGGCGCGCGTCAGGAGCACGCGGTCCTCGTGGTTGCCGCGGACGGCCGAGGCGTTGTGCCGGAGGAGGAGGTCGATGACGCCCGGTGTGTTGGGACCCTTGTTGACCATGTCGCCGAGAAAGACGAGGTGGTCGTCGTAGACGGCGCTCTCGGGGCCCTTCGACACCGGCGCGGCGCTGTGATTCAGCTTCTTGAGGAGGGCGTCCAGGGGAGCGAGCATGCCGTGGACGTCGCCGATGATGATGAGACGGCGGTTATTGTCGGCAGCAGGCACGAGGGCCGGATCGAGTGTCGCCAGCGGGTGGGGGAGGTCCTTGAACGCCGGGCGGGCGGTCTCGCCGTAGGACATGGGGCGGTCGGCGCCAGTGCGTCCACGGGGTTTTCGGAGCACAGGGATATGCATATCTGTCGGGAGGAGGTTGTCGAGCGACAGTAGTCGAGTGTACCCGAGGGCGATCGTGAGGACGATGAAGACGACGAGGCTCACGAGGAGCGCGCGGCGGTAGCGGGCAGGTGGTGGGGCGATGCAAGCCATGGTGACAGGACTTGGATCGAATGTGTTGAAGCAGACGCCAGGCAGTGGTCACTTGGTTGCGTCTCTGTAGAACCAAGTGTGTAGGTTTCGATAAAAGCTGGCGTGATGCCGGACGACGCAGTATGCAGGCTTCGGTGGATGCTGACAAGGAGCGTCGGATTATTCGGCAGAACAGCGCCGTGAAGCCAAGATGACGAAAATGGATGGATGGATCGAGAGAGTCCGGTCGGGTCGGATGGTAATGTACAAGACCTGGATAGCAGAAGCCAGACTAACGAATGAAACGTGGCAACGCGAATGAAAGATGGAGGCTGCCGATGCAATTATGATTACAGAGTGTGCAAAGAGAAACGAACGAGCAGCAGGACCAGCTGCCGAGTGGTGTCGTATCGATGCTGGGCGAAAAGGCTTGGAGGATGGAAGAGGAAGGCTGTGAGCCTGTGACAGACAGAGTCAGCCCACGCGATGGGCTGGGGGCTGCCTTGAGATACGGCGCCTATCCGCCTTAGGCTAGGTACCTACCTAGATATTTTTAGTGGACAGGCCGCTGAAGAAGCACCGCCTAGCATCACGTGTCTCCGCCAGCAGCCCTCAAATTCCCTGAGCGGCTTCTGAGGTGCCTGGAACGGTAAATAGGTTCACAGCCAAACAGCCCAGACGCTTGTATGGAATCCAAGCCCCAAGTGACAGTTTCTTGACCTGCTCAAGACAGTCTGAAGTCGCACAGCCTGCCGGGTTGCCACGCTTTACCCGTTGACCCTCAAGCGAGGACACTGCAAGTCCAAAGGTGCCCCTCCAGCCAGTACGATAAGCGACTGATAAGGTTGCGCTTCTTCGATTCACCCGTGCGATCAGCCTAAACCCCACCCACATTGGTGTCTCTCCTCCCTACCCCTCCATGCCCTCCCTGCCTAGTACCTCTTTCCAGCTTCAACATCAACACAGAGTAACCATTGAACTATGGCTCGCCATTCTGGAGCACGTGTTGGCCTCGAATTCTTGAATACCTAGACACACGATTTTGTGCTTTTTGTCAATTTCTCCTTCACCTGGACAAGCAGGTCACGGCGAGTGCCCGCCATACGAGAATCCCTCACGACCTCGACTGACACGGTACTCTCAGTCGCCCGAAATGAACGCCATTGCTGTCAATTCGTGTACAAAAAGACTGCAAAATCCTTATCGATGATGTTTTCGATATTGTACCCACATCCTGTCCATATCAAGCAAAAGAGTGGCTGAACGGCTCGGCTCGCGTTGCAATGTCGCGACGGATATCCTAGGCTGGGACCCCCGCCCCTTCGAGTGCCCATGCGTTGACTCTAGGTCTTCAAGCCACGGCGCAAAGCTTCAATAATCTGCTCGTGGAACGCACTCAACGCGTCAGCCGGTTTCGCCCAGACATGGCGACCCTGCTTCTCTATGCCCTGGCCTCAAAGTGCCCTCTGCCCGCAGAAACTTGCCGTCAGTTGCGCAAGGCTTTGTGCGCCAGCATGCCGTACAACGAGCACAGCAAGCCCTGCCATCCAGGGTCTTGGGGCACCAAAATCCGGACGCAGGCCTGTTAGTATCCTTTCCGACTTTGCGAGATGCGCTCGTGAGCGTGATCCGGCCAGCTGCGAATCAAGCCTAGGATAAAACTCCAGGCCTGCAAGGAGCCAGGCAATATTATCTCCTCGCCTTTCTGAGGGTTTCATCATCGCCTTTCGCTTACATAGGCAGGGAGAAGATCCCACCCGTTGCAGTCAAGTTGCTAACGGTCCACGGCGCTTGGCATGGCTACCGATGCCACTGGCTACAGACGAATGCCTTCGAAAGTCTGAAGGCTAAGGGCCAGCCCTCTCGCTCCGAGCGAATTAAACTCTCGGCGTCCGTCCTCATGTGCTCTCAATTCGATCACGGGAAGTAACGAAACCCGCTCATACCATTATTGCTACAGTTCGTTACAGACATCGGCCGTGCCATCGCCATGCATAGCGGGTTCCAGATGCATCCGAGACTTCGTCACTCATTCGCGCTGCTTGAACAAGCAATCGACACGTATCTTCACCGACGACCGTCCTCGAAACCCTCACGCAATTCCTCTGGACGCTTTCCAACTACATGAGTCCTTGCCGCCAGAAGAGTGCTCATGGGAGGTGCCGGTGCTGGAGTCGAGTTTTCCTTCGAAACTAGGGGCTTTCGAAGAAGAGTTCTTGATCTCGTCATCCCGCTCACAGATATGATTGCGATGACACCAGGCGTCATCCCCGGTGACAGAGCAGTTGCCTGACTTTTGAGGATGCAGGCGGATAGCGATCGTCCCCAGGCCCAATAAGTCTTGACTGTGTATGGTTGAGAGGGTGCACGTCGGTCCTTCGAGCAGGCATTGCGTAGGCTTATGCTCACCGCTGATCGCTTCCGGCAGGCGAGCAGCGTCAATCTTTCTTGGCTTGAGCCTGATGATGGAATTCAATTCCGTGCCTTAGGAAGGGAACCTGGCAGGCAAGTTTTATTACAAGCAGTTTTGAGTCCATGGTGGAGAGATAAGCAAGCCTTGAGCTGGTCACGCAGGCAGGCGATGCCTGATTACGCTGGCTACACCAAATGGGCATGGCTAAGAACACTACTGGTCCGGCAGTCGTCGGCCGAAGCCTCGTTTCCATCAAACTTCAGCTCTCGGCAAGCGAATCCATCCATCAAAGAGCCCGCCGACACACCCTCTCTGGCAACACAGCGAGCGGGCCCGTTCGGGTGCCGCATCACGAGCCTGCTCCTTCGGCCCCGTGTGTCTCTCAAGACCACGGACCATTACCCCGCTCTCAACCACGAACGCCTGCTCCCTTGGTCAACTTGACTTGACTCGCCAGAAGTCCAGGCCTCTGCGCTATCGTCCATCACAGTGTTTGTCTTCCTTGTCTTGCCCCATCCCGCGTCTTGACCTTGTTCATCACGTCGCCGGAACCATGCTAGTGGCGCCCCTTCGGCAAAACCTTGGTGTCGTCATTGCTGGAATACCCACGTTCCCGTCCGCTCGGCACGGCAGTCTGATTCAGCTTGAGCTTGGGCCTGCACTCCGAGCTCGAGCTTAAGTTGGAGAACCAAGCTCGACTGGCTGTCATCCCCGGTTCCTACCCTGCGGGGATCCGCATGTCTCGGTCGCGACACCGCCACGACCCCCGGCATCTTGACCTCGCTCCCACATCCTCCTTTGATTGTGATTCTTCACCATTCTCTTCTTCCTGAGCCAGCACCATTGAGATGGCATCGCTGGTATCGGCAAGAAGCCCGATGGGTGTCTCGTTCGAAGACCTCCCCTGCGAGGTGACGCTCGAGATCCTTTTCAGGCTCTGCGACATGCGTTCCATCTACAACCTGATCGTGGCCGCCCCCAGTGCTTCTCGCATTTTTGACGAATTTGGCCCTGAAATCCTTGAATATGTGCTCCCCAATTCTGTCACCCCTGAGCTTCTCACGGCGCCACGCATTCCACACATTGTGCGTCTCGTGGCTCGCATCCGCCAGTCGACGCCGTCCAATCCACCTGCGCCCAACTTTGCCTCCTTTCTCGATTCATACCTGCGCAGGAAGGAGAAGGACTTTGGTACCATGGAGCCAGGGCCCTTGACGGGGTTGTCGCTACGGGCGACTCTACGAGAGTCCCCCGACGGCCTGTCAGCGAGGCAACTGCTCTTTCTCGCACGACGTATTGCCAGCATTGCCACCGGCGGCTTCCAATTCTTCCATGACCGGTGCATGTCCATCGATGCAGAGCACCTCGCCGACGCGAGCTCGGAGTACTTGCAACCGCCACGCGGGTTTCCTTGGTCACAGCGATTCGAAGGCCGCCCGTACCGGCCTGAATCAGGTGGTCCACCATCCTGGTACGAAATGCAGCACATGACGCGTGGTCTCTGGAACCTCCAAGTAATCTATGAGGTCCGAAATGCGGCGAAGGAGGGTCGCTTGGGATGGACAGCGCACGATGTGGAGCAGTTATGGGCCATGGATGTCAATGCCTGGTTCGGCCACCCGACGGTCTACTCAGAGGAGGTGCTCACAGCGCTTTACTACGTCCATCACCTTGAGGGCAGGCCCCTCGCGGACAGCTGCATCGGGCACCCCTTCTCGGCGCCGAGCACCGGGCCGCTCGGCGAATATCCGCTGCAGCTGCCCAAGCCTTTGGCGTCAACGGCCGGAGAGGTGAATGCCCTTGGCGAGACGACAAATGTGTGGCCAGCCGATGTGCCGCACCCTCCACGAGGCGACTTTCGCGCGCGCTTCGGTTTCGAGGCGTACGGTTACAAGTGGGCGCAGTTGCTGTCCCAGAATGTGCGCTCCCCGATCCGGACCGTGTCGTTCAGGCCGTTCCGCGCGTTGGGGTTCGGGCTCTGGGACCGGCAGCGGCTCGTCGCGTTTGGTCTGGTTGATGCTCCGCCGGGGGAACTGGCAATGATGATGGCGCCCAAGACGACGGGGGACTTCTTTGCTTGGCGAAGCTGGCTTGATGAGGGGGCGAGGGCAGAAATCGAGGCGAGGCAGGAGGGCGAGTGGCGGAGCGGACGGATGGGAGGGCTGCTTAGAATCACGGGATGTTCTTGACGGGGACGATATACGAGTGCGGTGTCTTTTGGTGTATGCTTCTGTTTCCTGTATCTGAGGAATTCATCAGGCTCTGAGCCAGCGCGTGCTTTGACTTCTGCAGCTGCGATAGGGTTGCCGTGAGGGACAGTGAGGTGAGTGCGTGGCATATGAATCCGACTTTGGGAGTGTTCTGGACGGGTCATCTTTCACCAGCAGGCTTGTCTGCAGGGTAGCGGCTTCATCATACGCAGAACCTCCAAGGTGTGAACCCCATTTCTGTTGCTTTGCCTCCTTGGAAAAGTCCATGCGCATATCGATGCATCAGACTGCTCTACTTCGCACGCAGCTATCTCGACCACACCATGGTGCTAGTCCGCGTTTGCAGATCGTTCAACAAGAAGAAGGAAGACACCTCTACGTCGGCTCTTGGTCGTCTGAGCGATCGCGGCACCGACGGCGATAGTGTCGGCGGGAAAGGAGAGGGTGGCCGAGAGTAAGCCTGGATATGGTGGCGGGGCGTTGGAAGGCAATCCATCATGATGTTGAGAGGTTCGATTTCGCCTTCCGTTTGTTGGTAGGCCGAGTGGTCAACAAGCACTCAGCGATAGCGACGCCATGTTCGACGAGGAAGGAACAGCAGTCTCTGTCCCAACTGAAGGCCTGAGCAAGGGAAAAGGTTGGCTAAGGGCGAGAAGCAATTCATCAGTTCGCAACAATTGGCTGGAAGGGTGTCCAAGTATACATGTACCTAGCAAGACACCTGGTATGGATCCTACAGGTACTTAGATGCCAGCACGGTCCGCCTGTATACTCTGCATGTTGAGCCCGCTTCACGCGAGTGTTCTACTGATGCCATAAGGTGCAATTCGTTTCACTCGACTGAACGAGAGGGCCCATCACATCATGAGGAATCCATATTTGAAAGAAGGCGTAGTTCCCCGAAGATCCACCAAGCGCATATAGTCGCTTGTCTGGCCAACAAGCAGAATGCAATGCGCGCGTGCACATCAGGGCCCATCAGGGAGTGTCCTCGACGGCCGCGACGCGGAAAGCTTAGGATCGTCCTGACCATGGACGCGCCAACATCCCGCATCGCAGCGTAGGAACACGACGGTCCTGAGCCCAGCGACGTTTCACTGCGCACGCATAAACTTTCCGCGCGGCCCAGACGACGGCGCGCTCCCGAAGCCCGTGAACTTTCAGGCGGCTAGCGGCACGACGACAAGAGTCGAGATCGAGACGGAATGGTTTGAAAATGTAGAGCTGACCAGTGCAAAGGGAACCTCGTCAGCGGTTTGCTGTCGTAAGCCTCCTCGGTCGTCAGAGTGCTCGACATGTTGGTCAGCGGCGTATAGCGTTGCGTTGCATGCTGTCAAACAAAAGTCAAATTCGATCGAGGCGAATGATCGCGTTGGACACGCAAAGGGAAGTTGGTGCTGCTGGGTCGTCGAAACGCAAGCTAACTGCCACAGTGGAACTAGATTCCTCGAAACGTTTCCTACCTAGTTCAGAGGGGAAATCCGGCAGCGGCAGTGACAGCGGCAATGCGACGCTGGTGGTTCGCCCGACGCCGACTATGGGGCGGCACGGGCGAACAACGTGCCGCCGGGGGAGGGGGGATCAAGGCGTCACATGCTCTCCCTCTCGCCCTCCGAGTCTCTACGAGTGAAGGGCCGCGTGGAGGTCTGCGCCCCTGCGTTGGATGACAGCAGCACGGAATGAGGAGCATCCGATGTGCTGCCGTTACGAAGGGGCCGCCCGCCATCAGTTGGGACAGGCAAGGGTTGGCATCGTCATGGCAGACGCGGTTCGAGAGCTGGTACCACCGCGTCTCGTCCGAGCTGAGACGAACAAAACGGGTCTGCGCCGTTTCGCATCGCTTCAGTGTGGGACTGGGGCTGTGACAGGCGCTGGGGTTCTGCTGAAACGGGTACAAAGGGTCGGGGGTCTGCTCGTGGCTGTTGCGTTGCACGAGTGACTGTTCTTTTCCTCTCTTCTCCTGCAAAAGCTTGGCTTGTGGGAAATATCTGGTAGCTCTCGTCTGGTGTCGATTTTTCTGCTCATCATTGTTTTTGTCTGCCCGTGGCATACGGTCATCGTCGACGTCATGGATTCCAAGCATAAGTCCTCGCGCATCAAGGACCTGGTCCAGGTGAGTCTGAGTCTGGCGCACGGCCCCCACAGCAGTCTCAGTGGGGTCTCTCTCCCTCTCTCTATCTCTCTCTCTCATGGGAGTGAATTTCGTCCTGCCCAACCCTAACCCAGGATCACAACCCTAACCCAGGGCCGGACAATTCATCCGGAGACGGCCCCACTCACCCCCGGCCCTCCCCTCCCCCCTTCCGGGTTTCCTCCGTCCACACGCTGACCGTGTCTCCTCAGTTCCTCGCTTCCACGCAGGGTGACCTCTCCAACATTACAGCGCCTCCCATGTTCCTCGCACCGACGTCTGTTGTTGAAGTCGGCCGCTGCTGGGCTGAGCATCCAGCCATCTTTGCAGCGCCAGCCCTGGAGCCTGACCCAGCGCGGCGCGCCCTTCTCGTGCTGACGCACATGCTGTCGTCGCTGCGGTCGCAGCTCTACATCGCCGGATCCCCGACCGTGTCCATCAAGAAGCCCCTCAACGCCTTTCTCGGCGAGCTCTTCCTCGCGTCCTTCGTCGACGCGCCGGCCAAGGCGACGACGACGCTCGTCTCGGAGCAGGTCTCGCACCACCCGCCCATCACAGCCATGCACGTCTCGGACACGGCCAACGGCATCCGCGCCGACGGCTACGCGCGCGTCGAAATGTCCTTCTCCGGCACCGTCGACATCCGCCAGGTCGGCCACGCCGTGCTGCACATTGACCGCTACGCCGAGGACTACCTCATCCCGCTGCCGGCCGTGCAGGTGCGCGGCTTCCTCGGCGGCCGCCTCTACCCGGAGATCACGGGCGTCTACACCATCCCGTCGTCGGGCGCCTACGTGTCGGAGATTCGCTTCTCGGGCGCCGGCCTCTGCTGGGGCGGGCGCAAAAACGGCTTCACGGCCGTCGTCTTCCGCCGCGACGATCCGCGCCGCGCCCCCGTCTACAGCCTCGAGGGCGTGTGGTCCGACGCGTGGACGGTGCGCGACGCGCGCGGCGACGTCGTCGACACGTTCCGCCTCGACGAGGCGCGCGTCGCGCCGCTCGACATGGCGCCGCTCGACGCGCAGGATCCGTGGGAGTCGAAGCGCGCGTGGCGGGACGTGGCGGCGGGCCTGCGCGCCGGCGACGTGCGCGCGGCGGTCGCCGCCAAGACGGAGCTCGAGAGGGCGCAGCGCGAGATGCGGGCTGCCGAGGCCGACGAGGGCCGCACGTGGGCGCCGTTGCTGTTCAAAAGCGCGCCTGGTGCCAAGCACGACGTCTTCCACCGCCTCGCGGAGGGCATGGAGGGGTGGGAGCACCTGTACGACGAGAGGACCAAGGGCGTCTGGAGGGTGGACGAGGCTGCTCTGACGACGCAGAGGCCGTTTCGGGGCGAGCTGACGCCGCTGGGGTAGAGGCTTGTGGACGTGCTGCTCTGAGATGGGACGATGGGAGGCGACCTTTTTTGGGTATGCATTTGGCGTGTAAGCATGGCGAGGCATTGAGCGGGCGTTATCGGTGGGCATTCTCTTTTCTCTTTAGACTTGCTTCAAGCATTATGATGAATGAGTACACTATTCTGCGATCATGGTGCACATGGTCGGTCCTTCAAGCTGCAATCATGTAGATAGTCTCTCACACTGCAAGCATGTAAACATTCTTGCCGGCATGGAGCTAAAGCGGGTGCTACAAAGCTCAGGGGTGACAAGATTGGGGTGCATATATCTAAAGATTTCAGGGCCAAATCCATCCAAACCAGTCCGTACTAGGTACTCAGGCGCCCCCAGTGGAGTTCCTTGGGGCCTTTAGGGCATCGGTCTTCAGGGCATCGGCCCCTGTGAGCAACCACCAGAAGATGTCACATGGCGCTGGCCATAACTTGGGCTTCCATAACTTGGGCTTGCGTCAGCAGAAGCTGCCAACATGTCTTTGTCTGTTGCCGGCTTCTTTGGAATAGTAAGAAGAGAGAAGAAAAAAACATGCACCTAGATTGCCTGAGACATGAGCGACGTTGGAGAGCTGGGCGTGCCGAGCATCAGGTGTCTTGACCCAATCATCCTAGTGACGTCAACCATCATCACCATCGCAGGAAAGGCGCCGTCACCATTCACAGTTGTGACGCGACACTCGGTTCTCGTGACGACGACAGACACACATGTCGAACAGTGATATAGGCCAGTCTCGCTATCCTCTCTTCCTCTTTCGATTCCCAACTCACCACAATGAAAGTCCCTCTGCCCAGCAACCTCAAAATCGCAAAGCAAGTTGCGTCCCATCCTGCCGCCAAGTCATTCGCCACTGAAGTCCACAAGAAGATGCCCGCAGGAACCCCGTCAGAGAGTGCAAAGGCGCAAGCCGATGCGTCGGCGGGTGGCCCCTCGTTCGAGTCCATCGGCATCAAGAACACGGACATTGTCCAAAAGTCGGGCGTCTCGCTTGATTCCCACCAAAAGGTCCTCGTCGGCAGCGTCCTCGATGTACGTCACCCAGGCTCGCGAGATGCGGCACCAGTCCAGACCACCCACGGGTGCGAGATGAAGCAGAACGAATTGCAAGAATGGAAAGAATTGACCAACGTGCCCAGCTCTTCACCGGAAACCCAACGCTGAAGCACCTGTCTCTCTGGGCGAGAGAGGCCACGTTCCAGGACCCCATCACCAAGGCCGAGGGGTATGACCAGTTCGCCCCCCAGTGGTACGGCCTGCCCGCCCTCTTCCACCCCATCGTCCTCAAGTCGCACACGGTCGTGTCCGCTGGCAACCCGATCGAGATCAAGCTGTCCAACAGCTACACCGTCAAGGGCATCAAGAGCGAGCAGACCATGGACAGCGTTGTGCACATTGATGTCGGACCCGACGGCAAAATCACCCGCGTCGACGACAGGTGGAACGACAATATGCCCGAGGGTGCTGTCGCCCAGGTATGTCTTCATCTGTCAATGAATGCGCTCGTCTCCCCCCCAAAAAAACGTACTGATATCTTCGCCCAGACACTGAGAAAGCTGAATGCCGTGTCGGTGCCCAAGTTTGTTACTGTGCCGAAGACGGAGGAGGAGGACGCCAAGTTGAAGTCGGAGCGAGAGAGCCAGTAATCGGTCTGAGGCGGCCAGTCTCAAGCACAGTACACCAATACAGCCGTTTTCCCTGCAGCTGTCGCTTCAGCGGCGCCGTAAAGACTGTGCGACACGAGCTTGGTGAGCCCATTGGGCATCTCGATCGCCCATGACGAACGTTATTCCTCACTTGCGTCATGTGATGTGTGCGCGCGCATCCCACCCGCCCCCGAGACGACTGATATCATCCGCCCCAATCCATCACTGACGCCATTCTCGAATGGGTGAGGAAAAGAGAACCAAATTTTGCAATCCATTCGGAACCAAGGGAAATGACATCCTCCGTGCGAGACTTGCATATTAGTCCGCGCCTCGTCAACACAGAGGAGGGGATGGGCTCGTTCATGACGTCCATCCCCTCCACCAGCACCTTATACCTCAGCCTCGCAGGCCACGACCTCGGCCAGCACGGCGAGCTCGCCCTCGTCATCGTCCTCGTCTACCCGCAGATGCACATCGCGCTCCTCGACGTCCCGGTTCTCGACGGCGCCGTCTTCACGACCCCGGGCCGCGACGGCAGCACCCTTCAAAACATCCTGGAGGGGGCCCGGAACACAAAGTGCTTCTGGGACATCCGGCCCAACGCCGAGGCACTGTGGAGCCTCTGCGGTGTAGGCCTCGATAACGTCATGGACATCCAGCTGCTCGAGAACGTGACGCGGTCTGGCGACCGCAACTACGTGCAGGCCCTCGACTGGTGCGTTCAGCGCGACCTCGCCGTCGAACCCGAAGAGCTGCGTCTCGGGCTCCGTGCCCGGCATGTCGTCACCCGCGCCGGCGGCTCCGCGGCCCCCTTCACCGAGCGGCCCATGAGCCCCGAGACGACCCTGTATTGCGTCAACAGGGTCTTTCACCTGCCGGCTCTCCACGCGCTGTACGACGAGAACGCCGAGCCCGACTGGCCTGCCTGGGTGCGGTGGGAGAGCCTGCGCCGCGCGCTCCGGGTCCGCAGTGCCGGCTACGACCCGCGCTCGTCCGCGAGCATGATCTCGCCGTGGTCTGACATGGGGGACGGGGGTTCCTGGACCTTTGGCGACCACGTTGACGCCACGCAATACCACTGGAAGGCAGAGGCCGGGGAAGACACAGCCGCTTCGCTGGCGGCTCCGGGAGACAAATTGATCAATGCTGAAGAGTGCCGTCAATCGGGATGCCAGAAGATTGAAGCTGGCGATGGCCAGAAGTGTTTTTAAAAGCTGTGTGAGGTATCGGAGTGTGTACCAGTACGACCGTCTCAACGTTGTGTGACCTCTTTTTAGTCGAAGAATCAAAAGTTCACCGAGCAATAGCGAGCTCGATTGAATGATATTGTCTCCAACTCGAACCACCAATTCATGACGAGCCAGGCAGGCCTGGGCAAAAGGGCAAAAGATAATCGCTGGTCAGTATGAGGGTCGAACTCATGACCTTGGCATTATTAGTACCACGCTCTAACCAACTGAGCTAACCGACCAGTGGATGAGATTGTCATAATCTAAATTGATTCATAGACCCAAAACATTTATAGCAGCTCAGTAATTTGTTTCTCTCAACCTTCAAAGCAGATCATTTGAGCATGTACTTATTTTCAACACTGCGTATTCATACAACTCATTAACCCTGTCTGGAGTTTGCCGCTTGTAACGTTTCTCTACCAAATGGCCGCCTGCCTGAGATCAGGCAGTGGGAAGCTGCGCAAAAAAAAAAAAAAAAAACACAAATGTGCATGGGAAACGAGGACCTCTCAGACGGCGGAAAAGATTTAATTTGCGACGGTGCGTTCTTGTACTGCGAGGAGGCTAATCCTTTTGGTGATAGATTATAGCCCTGAGGGCAAATCGCGACATCCACACGCTACAGGCGCTTTCGCCGAACCGAACGCTGCGTTGAACCACACCGTAAACCACCATGGCAACAATGTGGCCATCTATCCCGGCCCTGACGGCTCGGAATCGTCTTACTCGCCCTCACCGTCCCCGCCCTCTTGATCCTCTTCGTCATCGTATGCATCATATACCTCGTCGTCATCGTATGCATCGTATAACTCGTCTTCATCGTCACCATCAAGCGCAAAGCTGACATCTTGTCCACCATCATACTGCCCGTACCAGGGTCGTCTCCATGACGAGTAGCTCGAGTAATAACTACTTGTATCTAGCACGTGTTAGCCGAGAAAATAGCACTGCGCGCGCCAGCGAGCAGGGTCTCACCTCGGACGCCACTGATTCCAAGCTGATCAGCAACGTTCACGTAGCCCTCGCCGTTGACGTGGCTTCCCTTTTTGATCGTCTTGACCATCTCTTCGTCCCCTTCCCACACACTGCGACAAAAGGGACAAGTCACTTCTGACTGACGCTTCGTCTTGGCCCAGGTCTGGAAGCAGTCGCGGTGAATGTTCTGCCCACAGGCGGCCCGGCACCAGACGACCTGCTCGTTCCTCGAGGTGTCGAGCCCGTCAAAGCAGATGGGACAGTCGCCCTCGACCGGCTTCCGTCGGTCATCGGCCGAAGCGCTTGGGTCCTTGGCAGCGTCGAGTGCTTCTTTGCTTTCAATGGGAGGCGCGGCGGCGAAGATCTCGCGGAGCTCGCTGCTCAGGAGGGCAAGCTGGTACACGTGCTGGAACCTGGCACGCAGCACGCGGGCCATGACCTGCAAATGTCAGCGAGCGACGGAGAGACACAAGGAGCAGAAGTTCTGACGTAGAGAATGTGCTTGCACTGGTTGCCCTTCCGTGCATGGGGACAGTTGCATGACGGATTCTGGCCAACGTGAATGTTGTAGACATTGCCCGTCGACCCAGCCAACTCGATTGACTCTTCGGGGCATTCTGCGGTTCCCCCGCGTTCACGCTTGATCACATAGAATCTTGGGGATTGGATCAGTCAACCATGAAAAGTGCAATGTGCTGCTTTGGGTAACGCACCGTTGGGAGAGCGCGCGCTCATAGATGGTGTAGAAACTCCGGGGTGGCTGAGGTCGAAACCTCCTCTGACGCTTTTCAGACTTTGGGGATTCTGGCTGTGCTTTCCTTTTTCTGCTGCTAGAGGGAGTTGATGGAGCGGCGGCTGATGTATTGTTCTGAGACGGCCCTCCCCTTGCTGGTGATGACGTCTTGTGCGTTGTTGGCTGACGAGCAGAGACCGCATGCGCCCTGGGGCGAGCATCAAGATAGGTGGCAACCGGGCTAGCTGCGCGTGTTTTTTCCATGTCTGTGCTACAATTACCGCTTCAACGCTGCGATACACAGCACATGACCTAGAGAAGCAGGTACTGACAGATCATGAGCAGGATGCGTTGACCTCAAGCACTGGCCTCGTTGGCAAACTGAGCCCAGTGGCGTGTTCACCGAGGTGAGAATGGTGAGGGTGGACGGGCCCATAAATTTACACAACTGTTGTCGCGAGGTCACGTGCCCTCTTGCCGACAAGGCATCAAAGTTACAGCGTTACTTCTTCAGGGAAACCTTTTGCCCGTCGCGTTCAAGAGTACTTGTTCTGTTGGATCCGGTCTGCGGAGAGTCCTGCCTATCGCCTCCCTGAGCTTGCGGTGGCCGATGTTCGCGGTTGTTCAGTACCAACATGGTGCTAGGTGTTGGTAGCGTTTCCGACTTTGTCAATCTCAAAAGGACAACCTCGTTAACGATTTCAAATCCTTAAAAAGGGCAAGCGCGAAGGAATGCCTTCCTATTCTCGGTTTCCATGCCGCCGGTACCGCACCATGTCCTGCGATATTTAGGTTTCGAGGGCCCCCCTTGGCAGCGATTATACCTCAAGGATCATCAGGGACCGCATGCAGGTCGAACTAATGCACTCGTTTGTATCATCCCTTTGCACGGCACAAAGATGAGCTGAAAACAGGGGTTGGAAGTATCCTAGCGATGTCGGCGTGGCCAACCCTTGGGTCTATAGAGAGAGTGGGCTGCATACCTGCTTCGAAGGCTGTCTTAGGCGACAAGTCAACGAAGACGCCATGAAGAGTACCACAGGCGCGGAATCGAAGCATTGTGTGTCAATCCCAAATCCGAATTCCTCTTTACCGGGGAGGCGCTGGTCCAGACACCTGGGGAAGTGCTTGCATCCAAGGGTTTGGTTCACGCCACAATCCTGCGGCCATCCCACGCAGCAACCACACGCGCAGGGTTCAACCGCCGCCGCGTAACTGATCAATCTCATTCAGGCCATCTCCGAGGAGTAAGGGTGCCGGGGAGAGGTCGGTTGGGTGAATCGAAGGCCCCAATGCTTGGCGTGGCTGCCAACTACCGGACCATGTCGCCATCGGTTCCTGTCGATGTCGTGATTCGCAGGAGCCAATCGAATCTCGCGTTCCCCACGCAAACCCATGGCTTTCGAGATCGCGCAACGACAGCTAGCTACAGATTGGCAGCTCAAGCGTGCCTCGTCTGCACCGTCATGTATCATGATGTAGTTGATTTGGAGGATTTTCTGCCCTCCATCAGCAAAGCGATGGACGCAGAGGTCCGGCACCCCGGCTGTCCCCATGTGGTATGCGACGATCGCCATGACACATGGCCATGGGGTTACACTTTCTATAAATTGTCGGGACTCCCTGGACCAGCGAGGACAACTGGCCTGCCCGGACTCTCTGAGCCACGTTGTTTCAATTTTCTTTAGCCGAGACACCATGTCAGAAGCCAAATCCCACGAGCTTTTCCAGGAGCCGGCCCCAAGCGGGTCGCCCGGCCCCACCACGGCGCAAGACTCCGACAGCCCCAGCGACGCCGGGGAGGCACCGGCCACCGCCAAGGCAGGCAATGAGAAACCCTCCGACATTGTTCACGCTCTCGAGATCGAGCACGGCATCAAGGAGAAGGCCCTCATTCGGAAGATTGACTACAAGCTGTTACCAGCCCTCGGTCTTCTTTACCTCCTGTCCTTCCTTGATCGCTCCAATGGTACGCGATGACCCAAGGCACATGCGCCAATAGTGAAACGTGGCATGCTGACCATGAAAAAGTTGGAAATGCTCGTATTGAGGGAATGACTAGCGATCTTGGCATCTGTAAGTGAAATCGTTACCCTCACTGTCGGCAGCTTTCATACTGACAGCAGAACAGCCGGGAACGAGTAAGACAGGTGCCGAGACACAAGGCCGAAATGCATACTGACCACACTCCTGCGCAGATATCTCACAGGTTTGACCATGTACTTCATTGGTTATGTCATTTTCGAGGTCGGTACTCGGCGCCCTGCAATGCGTGCATGCTCCAAACGAGCGACATCATGCTGATTGGAAACGCACAGATTCCGGCGAACATTGTGCTCAAGAGGACATCTCCTCAATTCTGGCTGCCTACTCTCTGTGTCGCATGGGGCATCGTGGCCACTCTCCTGGGCATAGTCCACAACTTGGCTGGCTTCCTCTCCGCTCGCTTCTTCCTGGGAGTGGCAGAGGCAGGCTATTTCCCTGCCGTGGTCTACATTCTGTCGATGTACTACAAACGCGATGAGCGACAGTACCGCATCTCCCTGTTTTTCAGCGCTGCCTCGCTGGCAGGCGCCTTTGGCGGCATCCTCGCCTACGTATGCTGCCGTCTCTCCGACGTGGTCTCGCGAATGAAACGCTAATTGGAAGTAGGGAATTGGCCGTATGAGGGGAGTTGTGTGGGAAAACAGCTGGCGCTGGATCTTCATTCTTGTAAGATTGATCTGGGCTTGCTCATACCTTGTCTGTAGTGCTGACATCTCCTCAGGAGGGTATTGCAACCGTAGTGATCGGCGTGGCCGCATACTTCTTCGTCCAGAACTATCCGGACACTGCTAAATTCTTCACCGAGCCCGAGCGCAAGTTTGTCTACGCTCGATTGGCGGCCGACTCGGACGCTACACACGCCGAACCATTCACTTGGGCAGCAGTTCTGAGCGCTCTCAAGGACCCCAAATGCTGGCTCTACGGCTTTGGCTTCCACACAATGAGTCTACCTCTGTACACATTCAGCCTCTTCCTTGTGAGTCAAATATTTCCTTTCGCGTCCCCTTAATTTGCCAGTTTTGCTAATGTTTAAATCTACAGCCTACCATCATTCGCGATTTGGGTTAGCTACTGTCTCTCGTTCACAGAAAACCGAAATACTAACGTCATGACAGGCTACTCGAGCTGGCGAGCTCAACTCTTGACTGTCCCGGTCTATGCCTTTTCGTTCGCCACCACCCTGACTGTTGCCATCTATTCGGAGCGTCTCAAGCAGCGAGCCATCTTCATCGCTGGATCTTCGTTCTTCGCTATCATCGGCTACATCATGCTGCTCGCCAACACGGACCCCACTGGACGGCCGGGGCTCTCGTACGCCGGCACGTTTTTTGCTGCCGGCGGCATCTACCCCGCCACAGCTCTCGTGCTGTCTTGGCCTGCTATCAACGTCTCTGGGCAGACCAAGCGAGCCATTGGCAATGCCATGCAGATCACGATTGGAAACTGCGGCGCGATCCTTGGAACCCAGCTCTACCGAGCCAACGACGGCCCTAGGTTCATTGTCGGCCACTCCTTTGCCTTGGGCTATCTCGCGGCTAATATTTTGGTTTGTGCCACTCTCCGCTTTATCCTTAAGAGGGAGAACACGCGCCGTGAACAGATCGCCAAGGAGGTCAAGGAGATTGGCGAATTGACGGATTGGCCTGGTGACTCGGACCCCAGGTGGCGATTCCAGTACTAAGTGATAGTCGTCAGAGAGAAGATTACGTCGTGGGAGCAGTTGAACTTCTGAGTTGCAAATCTCAGACGAGCGAACGCAATAGTAGCCACAGATAGATCGATACCGTGGGTTTACTTGTATAGTGGTCCCGCTACTTTAAGACAGCACAATTGGGTGGCATATTGGGTCACTTTCCTTAAGTATGACGATTGATGTTGGTGGTGAGTGATGTGTTCAATAGCCCCCGAATCACACTCGGGAGTAGGTCGTGGCACTCAGAAGCGGCCATTATTTTTCAGTAGCTCTAGAAGTCTTGAAATTTCCAGCCGAAAACAGCAATCCGCTTTGCGTGTTGAAGCCACCTCCACGACCATCTTCCTTTCGGACTCAAGCTAGGAAGTAGAAAGACAGGTAGCTAAAACACCGTACTCAAGATGGTTTGTTGTGCTAGGGGTTCACAGCTCCGAACTAGGTGCTTGTGAAGCTTCTTCATTCTCGTGTAGTTCCTGGCCGCCTGCAAAGGCATGAATTGGCTTTACGCGCTTCATGGGTTTCGCATTGCTGAGATCACCGGATGCCTTGTGCTTGGTCCTTGCCAGACCTTCGACTATGGCAACAAGTTAGAGAACAATTCCCATATACATAGTGGCTGCTATGGCTTGCCTTGTACTTGGCCCGTCTTTGGCGCAGCGATTCTGATTGTTAAGGGACGTGTGAACATAGAATGAGGTTCTTCGCGCAGAGCCTGTGTTACCCGTGCGACATGCAATTGCAATGCGGTACCAGTATTGTCAAGATCCGCAAGTTTGGTGACGATGTCGTCCCGTCTGGCTATGAGTTCTTTGACTCTGATTTGGAGTGCCCCGACATCAGCCAAGACTGTTGAAGCTTCAATGCTGAGCTCAGCGACCCTGTCATCGAGACTAGGGACAGATTCCAGTAGCGCCCTGAGGGCTCCGTCGGCTGCGTCTACCAGAGGTACATAGTCCGCTGCCAGGCCCTTACTCTGGGTCATTTGATGTTGATCCTGGGCTTCTTCAAGGAAACCCTCTTCAGAGTGCGCGGTATTCTCATTTTTGGGTACGTCGGATTCGGCGGCATAAATGTCGCGTATCTGCTGAAGGCATACGAAATCAGAGTCTGTGGAGATGTCCCAAGGTTTCTCGATCCAAGTTTCGCCTGGCAGCTTTCACGAAACCTCTCGCAGCTCGGTCGCGTCGGCCCCTGTTTTGTTGAAGTTCTTGGGCGTTCTTTTCAAGCGTGCGAGACGTGGCCGCCCGAAGTACCTTTTTCTGCTTTATTGTGTAGCTTACGCCGTTTTGCTGGTCCGGGACGGTTCCAGCAGTATACTCGTCAACCTTGGCATCCTTATTATGTCTTGCTGCTTCAAGGGACCTCTTCCATCGCCCAGGGGTAGGCGTTGACTTCCTTCGTGTCTTTGGAGGCTTTTGGCTGTTGTTTCATTTCCTGGTCGTATTGTGATTGCGAGCCTTCGTCTTCTCTCTTTCCCACCGTTTCTTCTTCTTTTTGATCGACGTGCTCATCAGGCTTGTACTTTTTTGAGTTGGCAACCCAAATATTGGAGTTTCTCTTGCGACCGGCCATGGTGATTCTGCGTTGATCATGTTTGTTGGAGAGTAGACTTCTATGCATTTGCTTGCGAGGAGTTTTCAGCTGACAGGATGCACTGGAGGGGTAAGACTTCTCTCTGTAACATACTTCTGGGGCAAATACGCTCACTGAGCCCTAACCATCACAGAAAGGACTACAATTCTGCTCTTGTCTACCTCTTGGGACCTTGAGAATGGCTATCGATTAGATGCTGATACTATCGAAAATCTGCAAAAGGGAGCCATGGCAGCTAAATTGAGAGTCTCCTGTGCGCCTGTCTGTTGTGAACATGGAAGGGGCTTTCTGATAACTGCCCATCCCCAGCAACACAGCCCCAGAAGCATGTCTTTGACAAAGATACCACCCTCGCTTCTACATTTTCAGTAACATCTCAGTTCCAGACGCCTTGTGCACGCCAGGGTTTAGACTTATTCTGGAGTCTTGAACGATTATAATACCCCAGCACGACTTCGTCTCCACTTATTGGTCGGTTAGCTCAGTTGGTCAGAGTGTGGCACTTGAAATGCCAAGGTCGTGAGTTCGACCCTCACATCGACCCGCTACGTAATTTTTGCCGAATTTGGCGCATGTGTTTGTAAGATAGTCAGTCATTTTGATTAATGACAGGGACAGGGTTATCATGAGTCAGGACTCTTTCGCAAAAGGCGGCTCGACAGGTACGGTTGGAAGCGGTGACCGTCTTTCAGCACATCGGACGGCCTGAAGACACAAGCTTGTGACAGATGCGATGTGATGATCAACTGTCCACACTGATTCTTGAATGTAATAGAACTCATTGCATATTCATTCATTTCGCTCAACATGCAGTAGGGCCGGGAAACAGGAAGGGCATGTAAATTCATTAAAACGCTAGAACTGAGATTCAAAGCACTTATTTGTGCATAGCAGCCACCGTCTCCGCGGACGTGGGAATCTTGTCCTGCGCCGGAGTGATATCAGACGGGTTGCCCGTCTTACCCCGGGAGTCAGGCTGCACGCTGACATCGGCACGCTGCTGACGGATAGGGTCGATAGAGCTGGCCCCGACACCCTCGAGCCCGCTGCCGTCCGACTTCCTCTTGCCGCCGTGCAGCTCCTGGCTCGTCATGCCGGCACCAGGGTGGCCGAGACCGGCGTGGACATCCGCGCTGGTGGCGCCGCCGAGGGTGTCTGAGGCCTTGGGGGCCTGGCCGGGGATGGTCTCGGAGGAAGGATCCGGCTTGTAGGCATCCCTGGAGGGGGCAGTGCCGGCAGGGTGCGTCTCGGCGTGGAACTCGGGCTTCGCGTCGTTGCCGACTAGGGTTCCCGGGGCGTGCTGGGCAAGTTAGCGAACTGGGGCTTCGAGGTTGGAAAGCTCGACAGACTCACGCCTTTGGTGGTGAGGGGCTCAGAACCAGGCACCCTGGGGTGGAACTCGCCCTGGTTGGGGCCAGCGACGGACGCGGGGTTGCTGTTGACAGACATGGTGTTTGTTACTGTGATACGGAGGCTCGTGAGTAGATAGGTTGTTGGATGCTGGACGCTGTTGGAAGTAGGCGTCGGGAGGCAATGCTGAGGGGAGTGATATTAAGACGACCAGCAACAGCAGCTACTGCACGTCTTCTTCGACAGGCCTTATATTCATTCTGACCGCGCCTATGGAAAAAGATTGTCAGGTTCGTGGAGGTGATGTCACTTCTCCTCATTACATCACCGTTGTGGGCAACACCCAAGATGAGGACCGCTTTTCTGTCGAAAAGACCATCGAGTACCAGGACTTTTCAGCCTTGGACTCGTGGTCTCGTGCAGAAAACTGGAGAATGACTTCATTGATGCCGTCTAGAGGTGTTTCCTGTTGTCAGCTTGAATGCCTTGCATGCTTATAATATGGCTCCACATCGGACACGGCGACGGTTGCTGTCGCCGCCAAGAGAACCGGGGATGAGGGACGGACATTCTGGTCCGGTCCGACCGATCCTGACTCGAGGGACCGGCAGATCACGATGATCAGGCGGATACCGCACATACTAGATTTTTTCAAGAGTCTCTAGTTGATCTCCACTAGAACGTGGGGTACTTCTTGTTACAGGCAACGTATCGACCAGCTTCTTGAGAATGAACGTTAAATAATAATCGCAATCGCAAAATTGCACCAAGGGTCCACGGAACCAGAAGATGCCTCTCATCCACGGTGGTCCTGGCGAGGAACCCCTATCAATCGGCTGTAGCCTGAGCTAGAACAAGTGCTACGTGAGGGGGAGGAGGCAAGGCACAAGAAGAGTAACAGCAACGAAAGAACTAGAAGACCATGATGGAGGAATGTATATATATCACTCCCTCCTCTATACCGACTTGGGCTCGAGAAGCTGCCGTGCCATGATTTCTTCGGTTCGACAGACATGTCGGGCCACATCTTGTGAAGAGATTATCCTTGGATGTAATCCATGCGTATGTGTCCTTGACCATCGGAAGACGTGTGCACGTCGCCGATACATGGGGTGGGGATTCCGGCTTGAGGGGCGACTCTGAGGGCCTCCGCCTCTCCAATGGGTATGCGTTTCCCAGACTTGACAACGATATTTTCAGGATGTAGGTCCTCGAGATTGTCCTAGCACCAACAACCCGTGATTCCATCATAGCAACCACTCATCCATCTTTCCTGCTGTGATTCGCATCAGGGGACCCACCCCGTCCGCACCAACAAATGGGTTATTTACAGTGTGAGAGGTGACGAGGACCTACCAACGAGCACTACAGCCATGCAACAGGCCTAAGAATCTGGTGTTCTGGGGGCAGGGGATACTTAAGCACTATCTTGACCAGCCAGTAGAGAGTCAGGCCATCCGGGTGCCAGCTTGGAGGCGGTGGCCAGCGAATCGTACTGACAGGCTTCCTCAACCCAAGGCGTCACGTGCCTAGCACGGTTGAAACACCGCACTGAACACTTGCACCTACTCCTTCTCTCCACGACCATGTCTCTTTGCACTCCGTAGCGGTCTTGCTGCTTCGCCCTGCCACTCTCCCTATGGTACGGTCGCCGGTCCTCTTCGCCGGCTCTTTGCTCAAGGAAATACCGAAACGACGAGAATAGCATCGCATGCCTTCGCAGCGGCGCCCTTCGGAGCTTGCCAGCACGCGAGCCCTTCTACGCTCAGACCTTCAACCTCGCAGTACGAGACACCAAGTGGTGCTTTCTCGAAACCCATCACATCGGACCAAGGCGCCAGTCGCGTTCCTGACGAAAAGAATCGAGCGATGGTGCGACATGCGGCGAGGCTGCTTACGGCCTACATTGGAAGACTGGCCACAGCCATCGCCTAGCCTCGCCTCACAGTTTGGTGGTTTCAGCAATGCGGGCAATTGTTCACGGCACGTGCTCTTGCGGAAACATGGCACGAATCACAAAAGCTGTCGGATGATGAAACAAAAGAAGGGGCTGTTTTTTTTTTTGTTTTGGTTTGTTTGTCGCAACTTGGACGCTACATGCTGGCCCCCTCCTCCATCGACCCGTCGCCTCAGCATCGACGTGGTCAGGTAGCCGCACCACCGGCCTGACCGCCCCGTGCGGCATTGTTGGTGCCGTTGTTGGTGCCATTCTTGGTACCGCTCTTGTTGCCTGCGCCATTGCCATTGTTCTTGCTGGTGGCATTGCCGGCGTTTGCGCCGCCCGCGCCTGGGGCAGGCGTAGGGGAAGGGCTGCTCGCAGGGGCAGACGCATTGGCACCGCCAGCCGGAGGCAGAGCGCCGGTCGGCGCCCCAGCAACCTCGAGACACCCGGTAGGTCGGACGGCGGAGACCTCCGGCATGCCCGCGGCGGCAAAGTACATGTCAATGTTGGGCAGCACGTTGACGCAGCGGTTGTTGTTGATGGCATTGACGTCGGCCTGCGCCGTGTCCGGGCCGTTGTTGACCATGGCCTGGAGGACGTCGACGACGTTCTGGAACGTGCCCTGCGTTTCGAGGACCTCGTTGGCGCTCTGGACCATGGGGTTGTCGCTGAGGCCGGCGTCGAGGATCTTCTTGTGGTTCAGCTCGTCCAGCTCGGCGTTGAGCGCAATCTGCGCTTGCCGGGTGAACTCGTCGCCCGTCAGCGACGTGGCCGTGTTGACAAAGTTGGTGACCTTGCCCGTGTCGTTCATCCAGCCCATGACGGCATTCATGAGCTGCGTGTCGCTGGGGGTGTTGTTGGAACCAGCGCCGCCGTTGTTGTTGTTATTGTTGTTGTTCGCCGGCGGCGCCGTGCCATTGTTGACCTGTCTCATGGCAATGAATCCAGCATTGCTTCGCACGCGATGGCCATGGCCAGCTGCTGGCGCAGCAGTGGTGAACGCGGCGAGGATCGAGAGGCCCACGGAGAGAGGGAGTGTGGTATGCATCGTGAGGAGGACGTGGCAGAGTGCTCCGAACAGGAGACTACAGCATTAAAGAAGGTATTGAGTTCCCGGGAGTGTCGGATCCGAAGAGGTCAACCTCTTTGTGTGAAGGAGCGAAGGGGCAGTGAGGGACAGAGAGTGTAAAGCGAATTAGTAACAGGGGGCACCAGGCAAAGAAACAAAACAGAGCGGAACTGCTCGGCAAGGCGAGGGAAGCAGTGAGAAGGCCCCGATATTTCAGTTGAACAGACTCAAGGTCTCGTCATGGGTTACTGGGGTCTGCCGTCGAGCGCAGCCGGGGTTTGCGATGGAGATGGTGTCGCGTTGCGCCCCGAGTGTCCTTGTCTCGACACAAGCTACGTGAGGTGTGTGTCATTCGCTCCTCAAAGGGGCGGTTTTGGCCGAGAGAACAAGAAAAGAAGCCAAGAAAAGCTCGAGACGACCCCAAGACGAACATGAGCCAAGTGGTTCGTTTGAAGGAATGGTAAGTCACCTCAGTGGACCATCATCAACGGTTTGGGTGTGCCACGGAGAATCATCCGACACAAGGAATCGGGCGAGGCAACATTTGATCAGTTCCTGTGTAACATCTTGCACCCGGCGGAACGACACGCGATGTCTAATGAGTCGGTACAGACAATCGTTCTCATGAAATCTTTTCGACTTTCGCTACGAGGGCCGTGCCAGGGCAAAGACGACGACGACGAGACGCTCGAGCGCCCTTGATACCTTCACTCGCATAGCTCACCTTACCTACGACATTCCCAATTGATTGGAACTAGAGACCGAAGATTGACGCTGAGTTGTTTCGCTAACGCTTTCTTTCGTGCGCTTAAGATCGACGTGATCCATCCTCCAAGAACGTGAGCCCCTTGGAGATCCACGCTCATCCCCCGCAAAGATCGATGGCCGCCCACTCCCGCTTGGACCTCGTCCACGTTGCCCCTCGGTCTCGTTGGGTAAGGGTCAACGCCAACTCGAGGAGGTCGAGCACATCCTCTGCCAAGGCCCCTCTTTGTAGCACAAGTTGGGCACAAAACAATTTCAACTATTCGGCTTTTCGGAAGAGGAATCGTTAAGCTTAGGACACGGGCAGTCAAAGGCGTTTGAGGTCTTAAGTCAGCACGAGACCAATCGCAACATCGCTCTTTGGGCCATACCGAAACCGTGTCTGGTCACTCGACAGCATGGACATCCCACGTCCTCTAGGGGCTCGGATTGTTCTGGCGAAGAGCCTCCTCGCCCACCACTAGCCATCCCATCTTTGTTGAAACCCTTCTCGACCGTCACCGAAACCTTCCTGTCGTGACTAACCTTCAATGCACACGCCAAACTGACGCTCTTCGCATTGCCCTGAGCCACCGTTGCATTCCGACAAGCGCGGATGCCCTCCTGTCCGATCCCTCAACGCACGGCAGTGAGACCTCCGCCACTGCCAGAACAAAGTCGTCCAACCACGGAGCCTTGCCCTGCGACAGCTCATCTCGACCTGAGGATGGCTTTTCGGCTTGGTCTGGCTCACATATTGCCCACCGTCATAGCATCACGTTTAATGATGGGATTAGTCTGATCGCCATCACCTTTCGACCGATGTTTGAGGATCCACTCTTCCATTTATATCATCAGTCTCATGCCCATCCCTCTTTTTCTTTCCTTCTACTTTACAGTAGCTCGAAGCGTTGTCCTTCTGACAGACCGATTTTCAGTGTGTTCTTGTCTGTCCCGCGGGCTCGGTCTCGGTGTCTGTCCCTCCTTCGTTTCTCTTGACATCCCTCAGCCCCGGTGGTTGATTGTATTGATTGTCTCTCATTCTTAATTTTTGTTTCCTTTTTCACTATTTCTTCCTTCTCTTCCATCATATTCGCTGGCGATCATCATGCTGTCAATCAAGCGGTTACCACTTGCTTTGGTCGTGGTGTGGTCAAGGTTTTCCTTCACAGCTTTGGCGCAAGACCAAAACGTCCAGTTCAACCAAGTCGTCAACATCAACGGCGATGTGAGTTTCAATTTTCTGCAGTATCTCCTAGCAGCTCTGATTCCTTACTAACATGCTCTACAGATGCAACTGAACCGCATCATCATGCCTGACCAGTCGAGAATCGAGACATTCTCACAAACGCAGCGTCAGGTCATCGTGAACCAAAATCCTGCGCCTTTGCCGGCAACCCATGTCGTCGGCAGCACGGGACAGCCTTTTATGCAGCTGTCGCCGAATGCCATGACTATCCAAACGAATCAGGCCACCGATCTCGTGGGTGGCTCTATCATTATGCCTTTCGATCGCAACGCCCTCCAGCAGAACCAAATCACCCCCGATAACACCTTCGTTGCGAAGCTATCCCCTGACCGGCAAGCGTGGATCATCCTTGAGGGTGACAAGTCTGTGAACGAGTAGGTCACGCACCGGGCTGAAGCTGTACTGTTCCGGAAGACTGACTTGAATAGGGGCGAATCGAATGTCCGCATGACCCGCATGACCAACATTGATGGCGAGTATGTCGTTGTTGGCCGCCGCACTACCGAGACTGGCGTTTCCCTCACTCAGTTCAGCCAAGACCCAAACCAAGCTGTCCAAATTCAGGGATCGGGCATCCAGGAGGTCGAGTTTCAAGACGGCTTCCGCATGTCTATCCGTGCAAGCCAGCCCATGTCTATTCAGGTCAACGTTGTCAACGGCGTCAGCTCGGGCATGATCATCAGCGGCACTCAGCCCGTCAGTACGTGATGCTGCTTTTATCCTGAGCTACCGACCTCAGTTAACACAGCGTAGACAACTATCGTTACCTCGTTTCCAGTAACCTGGCGGGTGTTCAGTCTGACCTGAACCGCATGGCGGCTGTAGTTCAGATCCCCTGTATGTCCAGATTACTCACTTCCGCTTATTTTATCACACCCAACTAACATTTGCCGCAGTGAACGCCGAACGCCTGATGCAGACTGCCCAGCAGATGGGAGCCGGCCCCAATGATGCCGTTGCTCTCAGCATTGAACAGCGCGCTGTTATACAGAACCCTGGTGGCGCAACTGGTCAGCTGTCGCCTGCCCGTCCCAACAAACGCCAGGAAGCTACTCCAAGTGACCCGGTCGCTACCGACACTGTTGCGTCTTCTGCTGCTCCCACTCAGACACCAGATGCTCAACAGCCTCCTCCTGCGGAGAGCCAGCCGCCCACTCCCCCCGCTCAGGACCAGCAGCCCCCCCCTGCTCAAGGTCAGCAGCCGCCCCCTCAACAAGATCAGCAACCTCCTCCCCAGCAGGGTCAGCAACCACCTCCCCAGCAGGGTCAGCAACCTCCTCCTCAGCAGGGTCAGCAACCTCCTCCTCCTCAGCAGGGTCAGCAACCTCCTCCTCAGCAGGGCCAGCAGCCCCCTCCCCAACAGGGTCAACAGCCCCCTGCTTCCCCCCCTCCTCCCCCTCCTCCTGCTCAAGGCGTTGCTCCTCCTCCGGCTGCCACACTGCTGCTTCTGGAGCCGACGTTCACCCCAATTGCTAGACAGACACTTCTTGACTCGGAGGGCGGCCGCATCGCTGTGCCTGTTGACTCTATCGACGGCGAGTTTGTCCTTGTCATGCAGCTCGCCGGCCAGGCACAGCCCGGCCAGATTCCCGGTGGTCAGCTGCCTGGCGGTCAGCTCCCCGGCGGTCAACTCCCCGGCGGCCAACTTCCTGGTGGTCAGGTTCCCGGTGGTCAAGTCCCCGGCACCCAACTCCCTGGCGGCCAAGCCCCTACTCAGCCACAGCCAGCCCAGCCCAGCCAGCCTCCCGCTCAGGGTCAGGGCCCCATCGGCGGCGTCATGAGCATGATCCCTATCGGGCAAGAGCAGCAGCCAAGTGCCGCTCCCGCAGCCGTTACGCCCACCCCAGTTCCCATTCCCGGTTTTCCGGCACCGGCCCCGGCCCCCGCGGCCCCGGCTGCCGCTCCTGCCGCCCCCGCCACCCCTCAACAGCCCGCCAAGCGCCAGCAGCCTCCCCAGGGCGCTATCATTATGAGCATGAACGAGCTCAATTCCATGATGTTGCGCCAACAAGGCGGCAGTGCTTGGGTTGGTGTTATGCTCGACAAGTACGTCTCCGAGATGACCGGTCAGCCCATGCCCAACCGTCAACCTGCCGAGCCCCGACAAGGCCTACCAGCCGCGCCCCCGGCTCCCCTGCCGGGTACAAACACGCCTCTTGCGCAGAAGACGAGAATGTCCCGCAACCTGAAGCGGGCTACACGAAGAGTCCCGCTGGTGGTGTAACAGATGACAGCATGGCTCACGTCAATGGATGTAGAAAGAAGGCCTTCGAGCTTGAGATCACAAGTAGTTTCGATGCGAGCTTCAGGTGTCTAGGGCATGCCACTGGTACCCAGATTAACCTGTTGTTCCATCCTTGACAAAGTATATTTCGCTTGGCTTTGAAGAGAAAATGGTCCATACACCACACTACGTTATTCAATTTCAAGCTCGTCAACGAGGCGGCTGGTCTGCTCTTCTCGAGCTCATGTGGATAATGTTAATTTTTCTGAGCCTTCGACCGCCCTCATCACATTCCTCGTGTCAGCTCTTCGTAGCCTTTGACCATCCTGTCACATGTGCGTAGTAAGCTTGGCCACCACAGCAACCTTCCAAGTATCCTTCGTTTCTCGGTAAGATCTCTCGCCAATGCCGGGCTCAACGTGCGGACTTCTGCTGGTGCTTACTAGCGTCTCTGGCATAGGTTCCTCCTAATGTTTTGTTTCGGCAGCGGAGTCAAGGGGGCGCGGGGGTTGTGACGGGCACGGACGACTGTCGTGTCTGCGTCTCAGCTGAGGACTCTGCGGCCAGATCCGGTCGGCGTCTCCTTACGTTGCGGCACTAGGGGCTGGTGAGCTTGATCCGACAACTGCCTGCGTAGCGCTGCACCACCAGGGCAGCGATAGCGTTGTTCGACTAGTATGCTGCCTTTCTAAATAACGAACGGTCCTCGGCGAAAAACTGCCAAACACTCTAGCAACTGCTTTTGAGCTGTGGAATGTCGCTACTGGGTACTAGGACTTGGTAGATTTAGGAATCTCGCGTGATATTAGGGCCAAATATGAGCCAGCTGCGCGATCACCCAAAAGGCGCAGCAAATCACTGAACACTACGTAACGATAACGGATCGAAGAAAGAGAAAAATGAGGAAGATTCCATTCAAAAAACGAAACCATAAAAGAATGTCTCGCTATCTCAGCTTAAAAGAGTGCATTATTCGCACAAGTGAACGGGCCACGAATCTCATTTTCCTCGTTATTGAAGACATCCAGCAGGCCCATGATGGCCGCCCACATGCCGGCAGAGTTCATGAACAGCGACATGACGATGATGAGTACGTTCAGAACGAAGAGCGATATCTTGCGCCAGTTGGCAAACATTTGGCCCCGGTTGAGATGGAACCAGAATATGGCGCTGATGCCGAACGTCCACCATGCAATGAGGGTGGCCGAGGATATGGACAGGATGGAGTCGAAGACGGGGATGCTGTTGCCGAGGATGAAGGCCAGCAGCCAAAAGATGGTTGCGCAGCCGACCCAGGAGCCCCATGAGCGCACATTGCGGGAAGTGAGCTGGTCAGTGGCCTTCTGCCAGCGCATAGCCGTGACGTACATGAACTTGATTGCCGTGTGGCCAAAGACGACACCCGTGGCGAGAAGACAGGGCAGCATGACGCCGTAGGCGATCTTGGCTGGAACAGGTGGCGCTGAACCGAGCGACGGACTCGTAGTGTATTGGCCGGCCAGACAGTAGATCGTAATGGCGACGATGATGTAGAGCGGGATGGAGAAGGACTGCAGGATTACAAGGCCTGGGAGGAAGTCACTCGAAGGGTCCTTCATCTCAGCAAGAAGACTGGGAAATCCGACGTTGCCAGCATAGGCATACGCGACTTGGAGGCACGAGGTAAGACCTTCACGGAAGGACGGGTCGCCGACAACTTTGACTTCTTTCTCAAAGGGGATCGGGGCGCCCTGGGGGTCGGCGATACCAAGTGAAATCATGACGATGAGGACAGCTGCGAGAACAGAAATGGTAGCAGGAATGCCGACCTGGCCGACGAAGGCAAAAGTTCTCGGTAGACAAAGAAGCCAGAAGGCAACGACGGTAACGCCCATGAAGCCAGCCGTACAGATCGCATGCTCCGACATGGTGTTAAGCGCAATTGAAACGGTGACGGTAGCAGATGTGCACGTAAAGCAGATGTTGATGATCATAGCGATGCCACCCAGAATTTCGAGAGGTTTGCCGCCAACAACCTTGCACATGTCGACAATGTTTACGCAGTGCGGATACCTGCGGTACAGCTGCAGAAGTTCATAGGCCGTGTAAGTCGAGAGGAGGCCAATGCCGACGATGGCAATGACGCCGGGGACAATGCCAAGGGTTTGGAGGGTACCGGGGAGTGACAGAATGCCGATTCCGACTTGGTTTGTGATCAAAATGATGCCGGCCATCCAACGTCCAACAGTACGGTAGTTCTTCTCCCCAGAGCTGAAGATGTTCTGAGCTTGGCCGCCGTCGACGCCGAGACTTGCCTTCCTCTCCTCAGCTGCCTGCCAGGAGTCGCGGCTATTGTTGTAGCTTGGCAGAGATGGATCGCTGCCGGCAGGAGCCTTCTCGTGACCCATAACGCCTGCGTCAGGGTTTCTGGGGGTATCTGCTATTCCATAATTCTGGGATCGCATGCCGTCAGCGGCGGCAAGATCGTTGCGGCGGCCCTCCGCATAGGCGCTATCATTATAGCGGTCGTGATCCGCCATATCGTGCTTCCTTTTTCCTTCCGTCTGGCGACGTGTGCAGTCAAGGCGTTGGGCTGGCTGTGTTCTCTTCAACGTTGAAAGTACGTGATCTGACGAAGGGGAAGCTCAGGGGCTCAAGGCGAAACCTTGACTTGCCGAGGGGTGGGAAAAGTAGATTTTCTGTCGAAGCAAGAAGTCAAGAGAATCGAGACGAAGCCATCTTATATCAAGCAGCATCACCGAGTTATCATTGCTAATAGCGTGCGGGGGACTTAAAGGGTTCCCCTAGTTCATGCGTAAGCTTATCTCTGATGGACGTTTCCCCGGAGTCCATTCCACCATATTCGACGCAGAGTCAGGTGGGAACGGCGTATCCGTCGAGCAACGACGTCAGTTGTGACGAAGGTGGATAGGAGTCGGGATCAGTTGGCCAGTGGAGTCAACCCCGTGGTTTGGCTTCGCTAAAATGACCTGGCTACGCAGGCCAAGAATTGCAATAGGGGGTCTGCAAGAAGCCAAGGGCCGAACGGCTGCAGGAGAAGCGTGAAGGAAAGGCGATCGAATGCGCATGGGTGATGAGCCGTGTGCGTTGCCGGTGACCTATATGGAGTCATGACAGAATGTTGACTTGTTCTCTCCGTCGACCCAATGTTCCTTCTCATTCTTGCTCTTGAGATAATTCTAGCTCAAGATGTGGAAAGCATCAATAAAGTCGTCGATGATCCAAGAAAAAAGAAGGCTCCTCTTCTTCTGTTCCGAGAATCTCGTAGACTCGAGCATGAATCGCAAGAGCGGACGATGAAGAGGCGGCGGAATGAGGCTGTCAAAGGCCAAGAGGCTAGGCGGCCTCCGTAGTCTCGGCACTCTCGGCACTCGTCATTCGGAGACACAACGTCCACCGGCACTCCGCACGAGCCGTAGTCCAGGTCTTGTTTCTCTCTTCCCCCTCTCGTTGGCTCACGCATTTCATCTGGGAGGATGAGTTGCAGCAGCGATCGCCCGCCGAGACCGCCAATCGTCACCTCTCTTCTCCTTGCGGTGCTGAGTGTTGCGTAACGCGAATGTGACATGAATACAGCGGTAAGTATATTCCTTGGCCACCATGAGACGTACATCGAACAGCTGGGTGGGCGGCCTCTCCGCTGCAGGATTGGCGATTGGGCTGCCGTGGCCTGAGAGTCTCAGCGCCCGTGTTGGCCCTTGACTTTGTCAGGAACTTGTTCGCCATTCCGTCTTCGTCATGTACGTAGTGTTGTACCCAGCATAGATATCCGAACGTCGTCTGTTGCAAATCCGCGGCAGCTACTGCGTCCCTTCTCGCTGTTCAAGGCATCATCGCGGGAGGAGGTTTACCAAACACGAATCGCACTGACATCATATCGTGCACCTTGCTCGCGCGCTAGAGAATGTTGGAAAGGTGTCGATATGTGTTTGCCAGAAGGAAAATAGTCGAGCCGCCTTCAGGCACTCGCGAGTAGGCCAAAGTGCTTGCTCACTAGACTGACAGACCAAGCTTTTCCCGCAGCAGCCTCCTTGCGATTTGGACAGCGGGTGCTTGCGTACTGTAGCTATTTCCAAGTAAAAGGTTTCTCATTTCACAACGCCTTGTTCAGGCGCAGGGTCAACAGTTCTCGATGTATCGGGCATTTTGTTTAGCAGACCATCCACACTCACAGTATACCTACCTTACCATAGGCATATCGCGCTAATCCCTCTGCTGAGGTCCCGGAGAGAAGAGTAGTCATGTTTCATTGTTAAACCGCGTGACTACAAGCAGTCACGAGAAAATCAGTTGCTTCCGAGTTGAACCAAGATGAACAGCCAAATCGCAAGGACCACGGCTCATGCTTATTGTGTCCATGCACAGTCGCTGGCTGTTGGACGGGCTGAGCCAACGACATGAAATGGGCACGTGACTCCAACCCAGCCAATGCGGACCCGCGAATTACTGTTTACTACTACTATGCTGCTTAGTCACCAGCGAAGCTCAGACCTCGAAACTACTCCGTCTGTTTGAACGTCTCTCGCTCCCGACGACCGTGATCGACGACGTATCGAAGCACAATCACCACTTCAATTGGGATCCCACCACCTCAATTGCATTCACGATGGGTTCCGACAATGCGCCAAAAGGTATACCGCTCTCCCCTCCTCTCTCCAGTCCTTCTTGCTCGCCGCAGATCGGCAGCAAAACGTGCCGCCCAGACTGACCATTGCCCTTCCCTTCCCAGGCCCTGCGACGCGCGAGGAGATGCGCGAGGCCCGCCTCCCCCTCGCCTACAGAGACAGCTGCGCCCACCTGCTGATCCCCCTCAACCGATGCCGTACCGAGACGTGGTACCTGCCCTGGAAGTGCTCGGTGCGTCCCGCCCTCCCGCCCCCTTCCCGGGCCAGCCCCCATATCGGGAGAGAGAAACACAAGGGCAGTGCTGACGTGGGGAAATAGGACGAGCGCCACGGCTACGAAAAGTGCCAGTACGAGGAGTTCAAGAAGCGCGTTGCCAAGATGGACGAGCTGCGGGCGAGCAAGGACGGCGCGAGGAGCAACTAAGTGCTGGGTGGATTGGTGCAGGACAAAGAGCCCGGGCAGCTGCTGCGACGAGGCTGTGTACGTACATACCGACGACGACGAGAGAGGGATTGGAAGGCTTTTATGGCGGTTAGAGATGGGAACGAATTCCATGGATATACCGCTTGCCACTCTTCCCGGCGTGAAGCGTTGCGACTATTGGCCTGCCCTGGCACACCGCTCTCTCCAGCCATGGCACGAGATGCAGAGGACATGACGAACAACGAGTATTCCAGTACGGCTGGGTATCCTATGCTAATGTCGGTAGAGACTGCCGCGCCCAACGAACGAAAGAATGACGGAAACGAGAGGTGGCTGAACGAATGCTCTGCTCCGATGTCCAACGAATGTGTCCATCCTGCTTATCATACAACCAAGGGAACTACTCATGCCAGATGAGAACCAACCCCATACGCCGCAGTCCCGTCACGCGTCGACCTTGACCATCGGCTCCCACGGCCTCGCGCTGTTCCAGAGATATGTGTCCGGCTGCTTGTCGTCGCCAGACTCGACGGCGTACTTGACAAAGACGGGACGCTGCACGCGCAGCGGCGCGGGGACGAGCGAGTTCTCCCGGCGCGGCGGCTCCCGAGCCGGCGCCACCGCCCTCGCCGCCGCCACGGAGGAGAGGAAGCCCGCGACGAGGTCCTCGTAGGCGTCCATGCGCGGCAGGCACTCGTTGACGACGACCTGGAAGCGCACCCTCTGGATGTCGATGACAATGGTCCGCACCATGGCCGGGAAGCCGTAGGAGAAGCCGCTGCTCAGGGGCCAGCAGGTGCGGCGGCGGTAGCCGTTGCTGTGGCCGTCGTACCAGACGGCGGTGCCGTGCTTGGACGTGTCGCGCACGACGAGGCGCTTCTCGGCGTCAAAGGTGATGTGGCAGTGGCGGCGGCTGATGCCGCGCAGCTTGGGCAGCACAATGTCGCAGGTGCGGGGGTCGGTGCCGATGACGAAGCCGTGGAGGCCCTTGGGCCGGTGGTCAAAGGTCAGGGCGAGGGCTGCGTTGGGACGCTTGGGCGTGAGCACCGTTTCGTTCTCCTTGTCGGATGCCGAGTTGTCGTCGTCGTCTTCTTCGACGGTGATGATATTGGCGTCTTGGTGTTCCCCAACGAGGACCATGTCGTCGAGGGCTCGGTCGAGGTGGATGCGTCTCGCGCTGTTGCCGACCATGTGTGTTGCTTGAGCTGCCCAACGGTTGTTGTTCGCGGGTAGCAGCCAGGCGATCGGGGTGGGCATTTGGGTGTCCATGATGTAAAGACGGTTGGGGAGGAGAAGTAGATGGACAGGGTCAAGATCAAGTCGGTGGATCGATCGATGATGCAAAATACAAAAATGCAAAAGATGATACGCCTCAAGTTGGGAGTAAAATAAAAAAACAAAGAACTGGCTCCGGATGATGCCCAAAGAATGAAGGCACCACTGGAAAGCTCAGGCTCGGGCGCTGTAATGAAGAACGACGGAATGGATGAGCTGAAAACTGGTTGTACATGCAGAGAGAGTTCGAGATGAATGACAGCAGCAGAAACGGCGTCCTTTATGAGAAGTTTCTTGGGCACGTAACCTGGATGTTTTGGTCTGGAGAGGCGGAGAGGGGAGACGTCGATGCACGCTTCACTCCACAGTCCTCTTCTCAGGGCAATCGGCGGCTGGCCACTTATTCATTTGCAGGGAAGTAAACAAAACACTTCTTCAGGCAACGACAGGCATGGCTGCTCAAGGGCAGAGCAACTCGTGGCTCTGCTGTGAAACGGGCACGAGAGAGGTGCCCAGATGGGGATGCAGTCACAGTGTGGGTGGCTCGTGGCCAATGAATTGGTGGCGATGGCGGCGCGTTGGCATCGCCAGTGGCAACGATGGCCCCAATCTGGACAGCACTCAGCTGCGCTGGCCGAATCGCGTCGACTGCTGCCGGAGACGATTGAAACATGAAAAATTGTGACTCTTTGCTGCCTCGTGGCAGGGCCTCATCAAGCTGTTTCCTAGCTGCTAACAACGTACATACCTACGTACCTTAACCTTAGGTACCTAAGGTAAGGTAGGCAGTGTCAGGTTGGTGTCGCCGAGGAACACAATTGGATGAAAGTCGCTTTGCTGGCTTGGTCATCATCAGGTACCTTTCTGCTGCATGTTGTAGCGAAAGAAACATGACACGCCCGTGGGTACATCCAGCGGCCGACACTGGGGCCAGACGTCGGCATTGATCATGAGGAATCGCCGTAACCGGCGCGCGCCTGCACTCGGCTCAATCCACGGAAGATGGAGTGGCGGGGGGGTCGTCAAAGTTGCCGCGCGCTGTACATGTGTGCGTCTGCACGCTGCGGGGGGGCCCCTAAAAACCCTTGAAGAACCCTGAAAGACGGCCGGACACTCCAGGAGAACCTCGGCGAAGAAAGGCGGGGAGCGGGCCTTGGGGAGACGGATGCTGGCTGATTAATAGCGGTCAGCATTTCATAATTTTTGCCCATGTCTGGCGGCAAGATGCCCACACCCCGCGCACCATTGTCGATTGAACAGTGTCTCGGTGGTCGGGCGGAAGCGGAGTCATGACTGGACACCACCACATGTCGATCCATCTCCGGCATTAGCTGACGACTTCTTTCCCTCTCAACAACCACCATCTCGCAAACAACTGCTGTCTCTCAAGCCATTGTCAAACGCTACCAGTACCCTTCGTCGCACTCTGTCCTACACACGTTTCCCCCTTCTTGTTGTATCACGTCCAAGCGATTTCGGCGAATACCCCGCCAAAAAATGCCCGCCTTCGACTCATCAACAGGTGCCGGCAACGCCAGCGAAAGCGGCGCTGCGCGGAATGGGTGGCACGAGGACACACCCCATCTCCCATCCTTCTACTCACCTCGGACACAAGCCCTCGAGCGCCCGGTCCCCCAGAGCGATGACAAGACGCAAACTACCCAAGAGCCCGATGTCGACGAATTGCCCAGTCTAGCTTCCACGCCCCTACGACCTCACGACCCCGCCTTCACCACTCAACCGCCGCCCTCGCTGCTTTCGCCCGCCTTCACACCCCCGGCGACCCCAGGTACAGCGACACCCACCACCGAGGCCGCCCCGCGCGGAGTGCCCGTCGACAGTTCCATCCCTACCGGAGGCTGCGGCAGCAAGAAGCCACGCCTTCTCGAGACCCTCCCCAAAGTGCAATGCATTGTGCGCGCGCGAATTCCGACCGTCGCCGGGACCGAAATGTTCCTTCACCTCTACAGTAACGATGTCGACAACAAGGAACATCTTGCCATTGTCTTTGGGCGCCAGATCCGCAGCACCTCACTCGACGCCGTACAGCCGGGTGAGACCGAGATGGACCGCATGGTCCGCGGCGCATACACGGGCCGCCTGTTCCCCGGTCGCACAACGAGCGGCATGGCCAGCGGCACTGGCTCCACGCCTGACTCCGCATCCAAGGAGCAGGGTGAGGAGGCGCCGCCTGCGCCGACGGGCTCACCGCTCGTGCGCATCCATTCCGAGTGCTACACCGGCGAGACGGCGTGGTCGGCGCGCTGCGACTGCGGCGAGCAGCTCGACGAGGCGGCGCGGCTGATGAGTCTGCCGGAAAACCACAATGGCGGAATCATCATCTACCTGCGACAGGAGGGTCGCGGTATCGGCCTGGGCGAGAAGCTCAAGGCGTACAACCTCCAGGACCTAGGCTCCGATACCGTCGAGGCCAACCTTCTGCTGCGGCACCCCGCGGACGCCCGCAGCTACGGCTTGGCGACAGCCATGTTGCTTGATCTGGGCCAGGACGCAGTGCGATTGCTGACGAACAACCCCGACAAAATTCGCGCTGTCGAAGGGCCGAACCGAGAGGTCAGGGTGCGGGAGAGGGTCGCCATGGTGCCATTGTCTTGGAAGGGCAAGGGTGGGTTCAAAAGCGAGGAGGTGGAGGGATACCTGAAGACCAAGGTCAGTAGCCTTTTCCCGACCCAGCCGTACTCGAGAGCATCGCTAACAATCGGCAGATCGAGAAGATGGGCCACATGCTGGGTTCGGGCACGGTGCCTTCTTGAGAGCGATCATCAGGTCAAAGGGAACATAGTTGGATTGGGAGCATTTAGCATTTTGATGGAGTTTTGCGGCAGCCCCGTTTGGGGCGCCTTCTTTAGCCTGATAGACTTGCACATGACAGGCAAGTGAGAGGTTGTACCAATGAAACAAGCCTAACAGGACCTCGTTTTGCACGGTGACGTACGGCGTGAAGCGAGCCGCCTTATGGCGAGAAGAAATTGACATTCGCAAGGACCAAGAAGGCAAATCGCAATGTTCACATCATGCGTCAGAAGTACTGCAGAAAAATATCCAACCACCTCGTGGAGGAAGTTTAGGAAGGACATATGCAAGATGAGAATGCACCTGCAGCAAGAGCGATTGAGAGTGGGGCGTGACTGCCGCCATGGACCAAACGCGACTACCCTTGTACACATCGTGCTTTCCCCACGCGTCCAACTGTCTGGAAAAAGCAGCTGGGACTCCACATTTGTGTCCTGAGGTGCGTATGCGTACCTGCCAACCCAACCGCCAACCGTCGACCTTGATTTTCACCTACCACATCGACCGCAGGTGACCTATTCTACATGCCCATGACGGCCTTGTTCATGTCGCTACCGGGACAGAACTCCAACATATGACGTGAAGCAAGCTCTTCCCGCAGTTGGCGTCGTCGCATCCACCATGTCCGACAAAGAGCTCCGTCTGCGACTGCTCGTCCGCCGTCATGGCGTCCCTGAGGTCAAGCTCGTGTGGAACGTGCCCACGGGCCCCGATTGGACCATCGCAAAGCTGATTGCCCAAGTCGACGAGGCCATTCCCCTTGAGAGCGGCGAGTGGGGTCTCGAGGACTACGCCGTTGAGCTAAGGGGTCCTGACGGCGAACCTTTTGAGTGTCTGCACTTCCAACAAGTCTCCAAGGTCCTGAAGGACGACGATCAGGTGATGTAAGTGCCACGGCCCCTCCAAATACCTGTGTACGTGAACGGCTTACTGACTTCTTGTCCGCAGTATTCGATCCCTCCTGACCGAGGACATCAAGCGTCGCCGTCTCAGTGGGAGACACCAGGTCTCCTTCGACGGCAAACATCTCGTTGATGGCCTCGCTTTCGGCCGACCTTGGCTCAGAACGCCACGCGACCGTCCACAAGTGGAACTGCCGCCCCGAAAGCGAGCCCGACTTACATGGGAAAGCGATGACGATGCTGCCGCCTCCAATCCTCCCGACGGTTCAGACGAAGACGCGGACCGATCCCCTTTACTCATAGAATATGACAAAGATGATCGTTCCACGAAGGGCCACTCCAAGAATGTCAGATTCCACGCCGAACGAGACGAGGACTCAAAGGACATTACTAGGGATGAGGAGGGTGCTGAGGACGAATTCGGAGCAGATGACTTCCAGTCCGGCAGTGAAAGCTCTGACAGCGAGTCGGTCATGGAAGATGACGAGGCGAGTTTACTTGACGAGCTCAAGGACATTCAGGAGGACCATGCCGCTGTAGAGGGCGATCATGAGGACCATGAGGTGCAACTGCCGCCTCACCAGGTTCAGCAGATATCAGAGTCTCCTCTACAGCCACAACTCGTGACCGTTCAGGCATGGATCGCCTCTTTGCGTATCTCCTTTCCCGAAAAGTCCGTTGAAGAAATTTCTCAAGCCTTGATAGAAAGCCACTACGACACCTGGGAGGCATATCGTCGTCTAGACCGCCAGCTTTATCTCCAACAGGATCAATCGAGCCCTGTACGACCGTCGAACCCTGGTCCACCCGATGTGGCATCCATCAGCAGCTCATCGAGTGCCAGCTCCAGCTCCAACTCGAGTTCCGAGTCGGACTCGGATCTGGACACAAGAAACAAACCACGAGAGAGACTAGCTATCGACTCGGACGAAGATTCGGACGACGACTCGGATTTTGATGCAGATGATGCCAACGATGATAGCTCATCATCTGACTCCTCATCTGACTCCTCAGACTCATCGTCCTCGGACTCGGAGGGCTCCGATTACAGTCCTTCCAGAAGGACAGCTGTCTCGCGCAAAGCCGTACCGGTATCGACAATCGCAGATGGTGATCTCTCGGAGAATGATGACACTGTCATCCGATACCCTATGCAAGATACGCTAGCTACGGAAATTTCTGAGGAAGACAGCAGCAGCAGCAGCAGTGACAGTAGCAGCGATGACTCTAGCTCCGAATCGGAGCCTGAAGAGCTGACCAGCAAGGCTCCGATTAGTCTATCAAGTAAACAAGCCGCTGTGTCAGCACCACAACCGTCTTCCTCCGTTGTCGAGAACGATGACCAGCCGCTCGTGCCGCCAGGACATGGAATGCGTAAGACACAAAAGAGAAACCTTAGGCGACGGTTGGCCAAGAAAATGGCATCCAGAGATCAATCAGAACTGAGCATCAATGAGCCTTCTGCCGCTTCCACGCCTGATGCCTCCAAATCTCGGGAGGAAGCAGAGTTACTGGCACGGAAAAAGGCACTCCTTGATATGATGGAAGTAGACACATCCGTACCATCGGCAAGTCCGCTCAAGTTGAACAAGTATCCCGAGTCTGCACCCGCAGATCTATCAGGTATCACAAGTCCTTCAACGTCCCCAGTAGGCGCTGTTGAAAACAGAGACGGGCCAAGCGAACATTTGGACGCGACCTCGTCGGCAGCAAGTCGCCGCACCAAGTTGAATGTCGATGCGGGGCGTCGGATGCTGTTTGGCGCTTTGGGTCTCCGCAACCCAAAGACTAAAGCTGACGAAGAGAAGTTGCGCACCAGGTTGATGAAGGATGTGCGACCACATATCAACCCTCGCGTTACTGACGCAGAGGGCAGTCAGGCGGCAGCAGTAGTGCAGGCTACCGAAGAAGTCGAGGAGGAAGACCCGGACGCCTGGCGCCAGAAGATAAACTGCAGCGCGGTTGAGTGCTGTGACGAAGGCATCGTGCTGTCTGAACCGCCATTCCCTTTTGTGCAGCGGTGGGATCCTCAGCAGCAGTACGATCCGTCACAGAAGAAGGGCAAGCGCAAGCGACCTCAGCGGAATGCTTCTCAGTTCTACCAGGAGGATGACTCGCAAGCCTGGAAGAAGCAGAGAAATTCCTTCGGAGATGACAGTCACGATGCATCATATGCCACAGAAGGGGACTTCACGCAGGATGATATTGTTCTCCAGTACGATGACGCTCCCGAAGAAGAGGCTCTACCAGCGCAGAAAGCCCAAGCAAATAGACATGTGCCTGATGTCGAAGACTTGCCACCGCTCCCAGCAGACTTGTCCACACTGAAAGACCTGGCCCCCGGAAAGGCAAAGCCGTACATGGTAATCACCTGGAAGCAGTGGATTCTTTCCGGGCAGACAAATTGGCAACCTCAGCTCTCCAACGTGACGGCTGTCGTTGTCAAGGTCGCAGGTAACGACGGCGCCGATCTACGACTGCTTCTGGCCATGAGGGACAGAGGGCTTGACAAGCCCGAGAAGACGTATGACCAAGGCACCGGCAAGCGCATATACGACAAGTTTGAGGCCCCTGATATCGACGAAGACGAAGATGAAGACGAGGTTGACGATGGCTATCGTGATGTACGGTTCAACGAACTGATCGAGCCTAAGGTTCTACTTGCTGCAGGTACCCAGAAGCAGGATGGCTGGACTGACAGTGTCGTGCGGGAGACACAGTACGAAGAAGGCAGAGATCGAGACGAGAGACTTGCCAACGGGTATGAGGATCAAATGATGACAACTACGGCGGAACAGCCCGTGGAGGCTGACGGTATGCAGGGTGATTTAGGTTCTGGTAGCAGTGCCGCTGTTTTGGAGCATGCTGCTAGTCCTACGCAGCAGAATCATGAAGAGGAGGATGCAAACCGACATGCACAACCTCGGAGCACACGCTCTTCTCCGGTCGTCTCACAACAGATCGGATCCACGGCAGAACAACCATCGGCATCTGAAGAAGTATCCCACAACTCTAGGCAGTACCATGATACCATTCCCTCACCTCGCCAGGCTTACAAAAATTTGGACGGTCTCCAGGATGGCCAGCCATCTCAGCAAGGCGACAACCATACCGAAGACCTAAACAGCCCGGCAGGAAGCTTGCACACCGACCTCATCCCCGCCGATATGACACTCGCCGCTACCGATGCGGTACCTCCATCGGGAGTACAGGGGGAACATGGTTTCTCGGCTTCGACGCCGAAGGCAAAAGCCCTGTTGAAGACGCCAAGCAAAAACATTGCATCTGAGACGCCATCGCCGAGTCTGTCACTGCCCTCCGTCAGTGAAATTTGGGCGACCGCTGCCTCCCACAATTCGCATGGCACGCAAAGCCCCTCCCGAACGACGGCAGAGTCCATTTTGATTAGAAAGATACTGAAGGATGAGGAGTATGAGGAGGCTATGCGCCGCATCGATGACGAAGATGAGGGCGAGGAAGCGTTGCTAGGCACGCCCAAGAAGCGACTGTTTTCGAACACGCCTCGGCCTGCTGATGGTCAGAAGCCAAATTTCCAGATACCTCCAGGCAGTCAGGTCATTACCCTGTCGTCAGACCGAGAATCCCAGGGAGAGGCAGAGCAGCATGAAAAGGCGAGCTTGGATGAAGCCAGTGCCAAGGGCAGTTTGAAAGGTGCCCTCAAGGGGAAGAAGAACCAGGCGCAGCGCAAGAAGGAGGCCAAGTCCCGCGCTGTCAGTATGCCTACCAAGATGGGTAAACTGCCTCAGAAAGGGCGGACGTCAGTCTCCGCGACAGTCCAGTCCAAGAGCGCTGCTAAAAGTGGAAAGGGACGACGTGCAGCCAGCGCGATGCGGGATGCATGAGTCTAGGCCCTGTGTACAGTAAGAACGTCCAAGAGCTTGTGGGAAAGGAGGAATTTACTCATGTGGACACCAGAAGTAGTCTGAGCAAGATGATACCCATACATTACTTCATAATCAAGATATCGAAGAAATTCAAGCTCTTTGAGTCATTCTAGCCTTTCACTGCAGTTTGGATCTAGTCGAACGAATTGTGGCGGTTTGCGAATGTTGGGTCGATTGAGTGGCTATCGTGGCCCCGCGGCTGTGACCACTACTAACCCCTGCATAAAGGTCGCTGATAGTCACCACCAACCGAAGGTCAATTCTAGTACAACACCATCGTAAATTCAAAAAGCTTACTGACTCTGTCACCAGCGAAAGTTCGCCAATCTGCGCTTGCTGTGACAGGAATGACTCCCTTGTCGCGCAAGTGGATACAGCAAGCTGGGTGACAACGAGGGTGACATACGCAGACACGCAAAGCAGGCTGACTGACTCCGTACGATTGTCAATCGTCATAGTTGATCTCTCAGGGGCTTGGAGTTCAGCTCGTCAGGATGGAACGCGCACTTGATGGCACTTCTTTGACGCGTTGAGAGGCGGAAGACCCGCGCCTTGGTGATATACCCCATCCTCGCCTTTCTGGAGCATCTGCCCCTTGTGCTTCATGGTGCCTTTCATCTCCAATCTTTTCCATTCTTTGTTTGTCGCAGTGTGTTTCTATGCGACCGGTTCTGTATATACTTGCCTCCATACGCTGTCCTGGAGACATTACCTCAAGATAATCATCACGGTCCTGGAGATCGCACAACCCGTCAAACGCAACCAGCCTGCTACCGTCCTTGATACAAGAAGTTGAAGAATAAGAAGACAACTGCACAATGGCGAAATCAAGGTGTCTCTCGCGCATCTTCGCCATCCTCTTCCTCGCATATCTCACAGCCGCCCTCCCAACAGCCGCAAACTCAACCACCATGACGACGACGACAGTCACCTCGCCCTCAGCGACAAGCACACCGATCCCCTCCCCGGTCTACCTCCTCATCAATCCCGCCGCAACGCCCGCCGGCCCGCCCGACTACGACGCCCTCTTCCCCGCCGACCCGGCCACGACCCCGCGGGCCACGGCCGACCTCGCCGAGCACGGCCTCCGCCAGACGACGTACTACTCGTGCGCCACGTACGCGACGACGACGCACTGCGGGTGGCACAGACCTCTGATCCCCGTCGCCGCGTCGTCGGGGGCGGAGAAGACGGCCGGCGTGGGCTCTGCGGCGATGGTGGCTGCCGCGTTGATCGCCGCCCTGCTGGCGGTGGGGTTTCCGGGGATCGAATGCTTTTTTCGAAGGACGTGAATCATGAGTGCGTGTTTGCTTTGCGGTACATGGCCGGTCGAACGACGACGCCGCATGGCTGGCCAGGCCTGCGTATTGCGCCGCGGTCGAGGGTATGACATGGGATGGGAGAACCACGACCGAAGAGCGAGCTCTGTAGCAAGGTCACCGTTGGCGACATGGATGGCATGGGCGGCTTCCTGCTTGGGCACTGTTGCGTTGGGACGCGTGGCGTTTCCTGGGGCGGTGGTACATGCGTATCTTGCTTTGTATATATTGTAACGAGCCCAAGACCTCATGACATTTATCGTTTCGGAGTGGCGCCCAGAGGTACGCCTCCATGGAAGTCTTCTCGGATGACATTTTCGTCGACGCGTGAACTGTTCGACCGGATCGAATGCCTCTGCCGCATGCAAGGACCACTGCCATTGGTGTCAGAACCACCCGACTGATTTAATCGCTTACACCACTATAGCAATGCCACATTTATTTGTGTATGACACAAAATGAATGTCTTGAGAAGGAGGGTGGAGAAATTCATCAAGACAGGCGATAGAATGTCAGACTGCCGGGTGTCCTGATCACTTACCCGCTTGTATACGAGAGCAGGCAGCGTTGACTATGATGGGCGTGTACAACAATCCTCCCTCCCTCCCACTGTCGGTCACCATGTCCCTTCAAGAAGAGCTCATTTTGTGAAGACGCGAAGACGAAACCATCATGTCGGACAACTTATCACAAGGCCAAGACTGTGTGCGGCTTGATTCTGACTTTGTGTCAGAAGCTGCCCTTGCATACGCAACAGACAAGCCATACGCAAGCTGGCCATAGTGCAGACGCAGTCTGGTGTAAGCACACGCTCGGTGTCTCCTCGACGTCCCCATTCGGCCCATAATCTCACCTTGCTCGTTCGCTTCGCCCCGCGAAAACGAACATGGTCGTGCCCTCCGTCCATAGGGTATCACAATGGCCGCGTAGCGCTTAGAACCAACAGCACATATGGTTGGCCGACCTTCGGTCTGAGCACTACCAAGGGACGAGCTGTACTCTTGATATATAGGATGCCAAACTCGACTGCCTGCGGCAAACATGAAAGGTGCAGTCGCCCAGCTGGATCTAACCATGGCCACCATCTGCCGGCAGCCTTCTCCCGCGTTGATCGCACATGTGATATTGCCCCTGACAGCGACGTGTTCAAATCAATGAGGGAACAAGCAGACGGAAACTTGCATTCCAGAATCAGTCGATGATGCAAGCCCCGTCCTCTTGAGAGATGCCAGGACACGAGGCCATCCAGCCTCGAGGGAAGAACACATCAAACCGGCCAGCAGCAGCAACAGTAAGCACCAAAATCTTGTTCTCTATTTTTCGTCCCAACACACGCTCTCCTGTTGTGCCCCCTCATATTAAGTACGCGAATAAAAAGCTCGGGTATTTCAGATAAAAAAAAAAGGGTTGAGGGTCCAAAAAAAACCAAAGGGTCCAGGTGGGATAAAAGAAAAGGGGGACAAACAACTTCCGCCCGCGTCCACCGCCACAAAAGAGCGCCAAGTGTCTCCTTCTTGCCCGCCCTCACCCATTCTTGCACTATACAGACAGTAGCCAGCTGCAGAGACGCAGACGTGGGACAAACGCACGTCTCCCTGCTGCCAAAACTCCTCGCGCTGACCCTGAGTCTGGCACAAGTCGCTCCGCATCGGCGCAACAAGAAAATGCCCGATAGTAGATTGCACTCCCGTGTCGATTGCGCTGCCGTCAAGCATGTTCGGTTCCGTCCGGTCGTGAGAGGATATAGCAGGTGTCGGGCATACTTTTTGTTGAAACAAACATAATCTCAGGCCGAGATTGGCACTCTTCGTGCGACTCTCTTTTCGACAAGGTCTTATTTCTTCGCAGGCGTAGACGGGGCCTTGACATTGTTCGACAGCCACGCGAGGCCCTCGAGCAGACCCTCGCCGGTGGTGGCGCAGCTGGGCACGACGTACCAGACCTTGTCCTTGAGCTTGGAGAGCTGCAGCGCCTCGGTGACTTCTTGGGGTTTCATGGCTGCAGGGAAGAAGACGGTCAGCGGATGCCCGACACATGTCGTGTTCAACGTGGTAGAACAAAAGAAGACACAAACGTACCATCGTTGATATCCTGCTTGTTGGCAAACACGAGCAGAAGACTGTCCTTCATCTCGCGGTCGTTGATGATGCGGTGCAGCTCGGACCTGGCCTCCTCGATGCGCGCGCGGTCGGATGAGTCGATGACGAAGATCAGACCCTGGGTACCTGGGCAGTTTGTCAGTACAGGTATACGTTGTTGTTGGTCGCGGCTCTACCCTCAGTAGTCGCGCTGTAGGCCGCAGAGATGACTGAGGAGAAGAAACATTGGGTTGGGGTGTCTAAGGGACGTACCGCTGAAATAGTGCCTCCACAGAGGCCGAATCTTGTCCTGGCCGCCGACGTCCCAGACGTTAAACTTGACGTTCTTGTAGGTGACGGTCTCGACGTTGAAGCCGACGGTGGGGATGGTGGTGACGTCCTGGCCGAGCTTCAGCTTGTAGAGGATGGTCGTCTTGCCCGCAGCGTCGAGACCGAGCATGAGGAGGCGCATCTCCTTGGATCCGAAGATCTTGCCCATCATCTTGGACAGTTGGCCGCCCATTGTGGGTGGTCTGGTTGGTGTTGGCGACTGGGCTCGATGAGTGTTTGTATGTCGGGGTCGGGCGATCGGTCGCGAGGGACGACGAGGGTTCTTTGAATAGGGCTGTCTTGGGCGAGCGTGAAGCTTTCGTCGGGGACCAGAGGGCCAGGAAGGGGAGGATACGGTCACGATCGATCGATAGGAGGCAGCTCCAATCAGACTTGGGACGAAAAGCGATGGCGGGTCAGGTTGCCGGTCGCGTAAAGCTACTACTTAGAGAGGAGAGGGGCGGAGGAGGAGAGGTGTAGGAGGAGGAGGAGGAGGAGGAGAGGGAAACGAGATTGATGGGGTGTGGGTGGAGGAGCGGACGATGGACAGCGCGGTGAATCCCAAGTTGTGGTGTGGGTGTTTCGAAACTTTGGCGATGGGACGGGACTTGGAACGTCTTTCTCTTCCCATCTCCTTCTGAGCACCCGAGTTGGGTTCGCGTCAGGGGTCTGCAGGGTCAAGCAAGGGGGCGTGGGCATTTCCCGTCCTTGTGGCCCCCCTTCGCGCCCCCCCACCCCGTCTTTTCTGTTAGCGGGCGCAACTGCTGAAGAGGGCCCCATAGGGACCGTGGTGAGGGACTGTGGGCGCGTTTGTAGGTGTCTAGGTAGGTACCTAGATACTGGAGTAGGTACCTAAGGCACACCTGTCAGGGGCCACGGCGAGGGCTGCGCGGGGTCTGCCTGCCTCCTTTGGCCAATGGGATACTTTAGCGGCAGAGACCACTGACCATCTGCAAGGTACGCGGGGCCCGTGCACAGCACTATCAACAGCGTTTCTCGGCGTCCTCCACAGATCTGGATCGACCTCCAGCCGAGCACACCGCTCTTACCCATTTCAGGGGGACATGGGCACTAGAGCATCAGACTCTGCTGCGAGACCACCATGCACAATCACACACCTGCTGAACAAAACGCTGATGGCATTCAATGAGTACCGTAGTGAACATGCCTACGACGCAGGGCAAGCTGCCGTCGTACGCCCGGCTGGCATCCAAAATAATCACACCTTGTTCACCCCGCTAGAATCCTCAACCGTGTGATCCACGGTTCACCGTGCGGCCCACCGTGTAGCTCATCACACTCATGGCCGATACTCCAGCACGTAGCGCCTCTCGACCTGATGCGTCGTCGTCGAATCATTCTCCCCGTGAAACTTCAAATTCACCGTCACACCGTCCGGTTCCGTACTCTCGACATTGGCCGCGTAGAACGCCGTCGTTTGCGGGTACAGGGCGAGAACCATCTTCCGAGGCTCCAGCTTGGACAGACCTGGCGAGTTCTCCAGCGGGATGGGGATCATGTTGGACGCAAAAGTCTTGAACTCTTTGGCCTTGGCCGGGTCCTCCGGCTCCACGTCCAAGCACTTGTACCGCCGGCTCTTGCCTTCGCCAATGACGCCGACAACTTCGCCGAGTATCCAGTCATACGGCGGATCTCCCTGTTGCGGCTCTTCCTTCTTGCGCTTGAACGCCACCTTGTCACCTTTGGAAAAGGTGATCTTGCCGCGGGGCCCGTTGCCAGCCGTCGTTGACCCCGGCAGCACCCCCGAAGATGAGCCGGCTGTGCCGCTGCCCGTGGATCCCTGCGGCTCAACACTATCGGCTTTGGGAGGGATGCTGTCTCGATTGCTGTCCCGGTTGCTGTCTCGCGCGCTGTCGCGATTGCTCGACCGGTCCCCGTACTTTCGCCCACTGGAGATGGGGCTAGGCACCGGGGAGTCCCCCGCGCCGTCAAAGTCGTACAGGGAGGACGCCGCGGCGGCGGCGGCGGCGGCAGCGCTCGCCGTCTCGCGGTTCCGCGACGAGCCGCCAGTGCGTGACGCCGTCGGCGCGGCCAGGGCCTCGGTAGCTTCCTTGTGGTTGGCCTGTTGGACTGCTTTGAGGAGCGTGAGCTGTTCAATGAGAGCGCGGATGGTGTTCGAATTGGTCTCCGACAGCCTCACACCGGACCGACAGAGTTGCTCCATTGTTGCGAGGTCTGCCCCGGTGGGACCGCCGCCATTCTTAGTAGCGGTTGCCGTCTTGGCGTCGAGCTTGAGCAGTTCGGCCAAGTTGTCATTCTCTGTGTTGACGCCGGTAACGACCTCGTGGATCTGCTGCTTGGCCATTTCCCAGAGCTGGACCTCCTCACCGTGGCCACCGCCATTGTTGCGATTCGAGCCGCGGCCGCTCCTGTGACGTTGTGACATGATGCCGGCGACTGAAGGCAACGGGAACGTAGACGCGATCCCGGGCGTGGACGAGGAACCTGAGCCGGCTACGCTTAAGGGTCTTGGAGGCAGCGATGAGTTTGCGCGCTTGGGCTGCTTCACCAGGGAGCCTCTTCGGCCAGCCTTGACCTTAGCTTTCGGCGGGTTCGCGCGGGGAGGCTTCTTATGGTCAGTCATTGAACCGTGTGGGTGTGTAGATGTGCGCGTGTGTCTGTGTGAAAAACGATGGGGGTGTAAATGTGATGGAAGGGTTGGTCTCTGGTAGTTTGTGATGACTTGTTGAGAGAAACACAGGAGGACATGAAAGATGCTGAGGGAGGGGTTGCAGAAGGACGACTCACGAGCAGGCCAAGGCCGAAGACAAGTCAAGAGAAGTCGTAGGGTTGAACGTCACCAGTGCTTTCCAGCTGGTATGATTGCTCGCTGGGCAAGTACGGCTTTCCTTCCTGTGGCACCTGCAGATGCAGTGACGGTATGACAAGCGGGGTCTGGCTGTCCAACCACGTCTTGGCGATTCGCTTGTGAATGCCGGCCACTGAAAAAGATCTGATATGGCGGGGGCTGCTGTCTGACTGATAGATGCTCTAGAGATTCGAGCCGACTAGTTGCTCGTGATATTGTAGGGGGGGTATCAAGAAAGGATGAAGAGGGCGTTCCAGGAAATCATGTTGTTCATATCCCGTGCGCTGTAGACGAATGCAGGAATGAAATTGTGCGACGCCTCCAAAAACTTACACGACCACCGACGAAAAACCTTGAACGCAATCGCCCGGCCCTGATGTCTTGATGTCTTGACGCACCTCTACAGCTAAGATGGTCTCAGCTGGTGATCCCCCGGCGTTGATGACGGGACGGGCTGAGGTTGCGGATGAGGTTGAGGGTGAAAGTGGAGGACACGAGCCGCGCGCTTCAGTGGTCAATGGATCCGATCATGTTGGCTCCCCTAGACGCGTCGGAGAATGAGCGCATGGACCAAGTCACTCGCTGTCCTCTGGCGAGGTCTCCTCTGTCGAGGTCTCCTCACTGTATGAACCGCCACAGTGCGGCGGGCCATAGTCCGGCCCGAAGTTGGGTGACGGAAGCCTCAATTTCCTGGCAACTCGGGAAGCAAGCACAGTGGAAGGCGGGGCAGCAGCTCTCCAGGGTGACCCCTGCCTGACGTCAATCGCTCCTGCTGCCGCCCACCACGAGAGCTCACAGCGCGGCCGCGGGGTCTTGAGGTGCCTGTGTCCCGCCAAACCATCTTCAAAGACGGGAGCCTTGTCTCGTAATCGCCTTTCCTCCATTGACGAGGATCTAAAACTCGCGCATCGCAGCCACTTTATATACCTCGTCTATTGTCTCTCCTATTGCCGTCGTCCACTTGTTGCCCTTTCAATCTTGTTCCCACGCCCGCACAACATCCTCTGTCTATCCCCACCATGCTGCCGGTCCCTCTGATCCGCCTCCAGTGCGGCGTCAATTCGTACGAATGGGGCAAAACAGGTTCTGAATCGGCTGCTGCGCGCTTCGCTGCCACGACGCCCGCCGATGGCTTCGAAGTCAAGTCTGACCAGCCCTACGCTGAGGTTCGCGCCAGACTCCCTCCCACATCCCCCCCCCCTTACCAGTGACCTGCGATAGACGCTAACTTGTACGGCCAAACTCCAGCTTTGGATGGGCACACATCCCTCCAACCCTTCCAAAGATGTCAAGTCCGGTCGCTCGCTCGTTGATCTTTGTGCCGACAATGCCCAGCTCCTGTCGACGACCGTCTCTGCCAAGTACGGCAACAAGCTGCCCTTCCTCTTCAAAGTCTTGTCGATCAACAAGGCCCTCTCGATCCAGGCCCATCCCAACAAGAAGTTGGCCGAACAACTGCACGCCCGCGACTCCAAGAACTACCCCGATGACAACCACAAGCCCGAGATGACCATCGCCATCACCCCATTCGAGGGCCTCTGCGGCTTCAGACCACTCGCTGAGATAGTCCACTTCCTCGAGTCTGTACCGCCGTTGAAGGCCATCGTCAAGAATCACAAGGCGGATGAGTTTATCGATACCGTCAAGGGCTCGGAAGAAGACAGCTCTCAGGAGGCCAAAGACCGCAACAAGACGGCTCTCCAACACATCTTCGCCTCCCTCATGTCCGCCACACCCGAGGAAATCAAGAAGGAAACGGCCAACCTTGTCTCCCTCGCCCGGTCTGAGGGATCTTCCTTTGCAGCCTCGGGTCTGCCCTCCACCCCTGGCTCCGTCCTCGCCGAACTCGTCACCCGTCTCAACAGCCAATTCCCGGATGATATTGGTCTCTTTGTCTTCTTCTTCTTGAACTACATCACCCTGTCCCCTGGCGAGGCCATGTTCCTCCAGGCCGACGACATTCATGCCTACCTTTCTGGCGACATCATCGAGTGCATGGCTGCCTCTGACAACGTTGTGCGCGCCGGCTTTACACCCAAGTTCAAGGATGTTTCGACCCTCGTGGACATGCTCACCTACAACTACGCCCCCATTGACGACCAGAAGATGGCCCCCCAAGACTACCCGTACGCCACGCTCAATCGCGCCGGCTACTCCTCAGGGTCCGTCGTCGCCTTGTACGACCCGCCCATCGACGAATTCAGCGTCGTCCGCAGCGTTCTCAAGGGCGATGCCGCCAAGGCCACCTTTGAGCCTCTCGATGGGCCGAGCATCATCATCTGCACCTCTGGCCGCGGCACCATCGCCGTCGGCCCGACGGTTGAGAAGATCAGCGAGGGCCATGTCTACTTTGTGGGCTCCAC